GAATGCTTTTTTTTGGTTTTGTTTTGGTGAGGCAAATGCGGTTAAGTGATTTGCTTGGAGTCACACAGTGTTATGTCCACCTAGCTGCCACCATTGATCAAAATGTTAAACCGTCAATGAAGTTAAGAAATGTTATGACCTTAGCTTTGTAGTTCTTTTGACAAAGGTGTGTGTTTGTGGACGTTATCATTATTATTATTATTATTATTATTATTTTACTTTTTACGCAGTTGGGGTTAAGTGACTTGCCCAGGGTCACACAGCTAGTAAGTATCAAGTGTTTGGTCTGAGGCGGAATTTGAACTCAGATCCTCCTGACTTCAGGGCTGGTGCTCTATCCACTATGCCACCTAGCTCCCCCCTGTGGAGATTATTTTGAGCAAAGATAATAGTTGGAGGGACAGAGGAAAGTAATGGGAGGAAAAAGGAAAAGGAGAAGAGAAGGGACCTCATCTCATAATTGAAGAGCGATGAGTATATTAAAGCCTGAAAGCCAGTAATATTCTGATGTTGCTTCCTGGAATCTGAGATACTACGACCTTGGCTCAGGGAGATAATCTGTGAGACAAAGATGTCTCAGACCAAAGGCCAAGCAGTTCTAGGACCAGATGGTATCTTCTGAATTCATTTAGATCCTTTTTCCTCTAGATAGCATCAAGCCATTTTGGACCATTGAACCTCTTAGGCATTTGTGAAAACCTCCAGAGAGGCACTGTCTGTAATTACCGGCAGAGAATACTTCCTCAGAAGGCAGCATAGTATGATGAGTAGAGCTCTGGAGTTGGAACCAAGGGTACCTGGGTTCGAATCCTGCCTGAAACATCTGCCAGCTGTATGACACGAGGCAAATCACTTAACCTCTCTTGGCCTTAACTCCTCATCTGTAAGATATGGGGGTTGGACAAGATGGTTTCTAAAATCAAATCAGCAAGCATTTAATAACTCCCTACTATGTGTAGGGCACTTTGCTAAGCTAATAAAAAAAACAAAAAATAGCCCCTGCCTTCAGGGAGCTCACAGCGTAAGGGGAAAACAATATGAAAACAACTATGTACGAACAAAAATATGCAGGATAAACTGGAGGTAATCAACAGAGAGAAGGCACTAGCATGAAGGGGGTTCACCAAAGGCTTCTTGTAGAAGGTGGGATTAAAATCTGGAACTCGAAGGAAGTTTTATAACTTCCTTTTTTTTATAACTTTGTTTTGTAACTACTCTGGGCTCAATTTCCTAATCCATAAAATGTGGCAACTATACTAGATGATTTCTGCAGACTCTTACTCTAAATCAATGCTCCTTTAAATCCTTTGATCCTCAGGAAAAGCTTTTTCTTATTTCCTTTTGTTGCAGAGAGAGATTGTTGATATTCCATAGGTTTCGTGCAGAACTGCCTAGATGTTCTTTTTTTTAAATTCACTTTTATTTTTTTCCATGCCTAGATGTTGTGAATAGGTTATTTCATACACTTGAGCCACAGTCCTTAGGCAATCATCTGTTTCAAAAATATGTATAGTATGTGTACAGTATATGTATAAATGACATACCTTCTAAATTATAATTTTAGCTTCTCTGCTGATATAAAGACCTCCATTTTTTAAAAGCAGAAGTACTAGTTTAGACTCATTTGGGTGATTTGTCTTAACACAGCTACCTTTTCTGTTTCTTTTCCAAAGGGAAAAAAAAATTAATTCTAAGTTCTTTTCATAATTTCAGTTTTGATCAGTTTATAACCAAGTTTATAAATGATCAAATTTATAATGTCATTAAGTTTATAAAAGGAAAAATATAAAATCAGATACCTACAGTGGTTCATAACTTGTGACTTCTTGGTTCTAGCAGATCCTGGTTTCCTTTAAAATTCAGCTCAAATGCCACATTCTACATAAAGCCATTCCTGATTTTCCTGGCCACTGATGCCCTTCCACCCAAAACTTACCTTGTATTTCTTCTGCATTTATTGTGTGTATATACTCATATGTATATATTGTCTTCTCTATTTTAGGGTAAGGTCTTTGAGGGCAGGACTGTTTCACTTTTGCTTTTGTAACGCAGTGCCTAATAAATACTTATTAACTGATCATTTGATTGACATGATATGATAGTTATTTCTAAATATTTTTGAGAAAATGCCTTGTATGTTATTCTTTTTGATGTATGTAGACATTCCCCAAGACTTTGTCCTGGCCCCTCTTTCTTTATACTCTCTCTTTTTGGAGATATCATCAGCTTCTGTGGGTTTAAGAATAAACTTTGCAGATGGCTCCCAAATCGATATATCTAGCCCTAATCCTTCTTTTGAACTCCACTCAAAAAATCAGCCATCTGTTGGATATCTTCTCTTGGATGTCTTTCAGAGCCTCAAACTCAAAATATCCCTCAGAGAATTCATTTTGTAGATCATTTCCATGGTTACCATGGGAAGTCATCCCTAGGTTAGAGAAGAAAATGTCAGCAGATTCTGGACATGCCAAGAATGTTATTTATGTTGATGCAAACTTTTTTGGCTCTTGTTAGACTTTGTGTATTCTAGGGGGATTTGACAAAAATGCTTTCTGAGATCCTTGTATCCCAGAGGCAGCTCTTGGGGTTTTCATGTGTCTGTAGATAGGGTTTTTTTTTTTTCTGGTTTAAGGAGTGTCTTGAGCTCTCTTCTGAGCTACTGTATAATCTTGTAGTCTTAGGCAAAAGAATTAGGTCACAGGATTACTTTGTTAGGAAAGTTCAGGCAAGAACACATTAGCTGGAAGGAAACACAAAGCAATTAAGCCTATTTTTAAACTTGTCTTTAAGAGGACAGACTCAGGCTGTGGATCTGTTATCTGGCAATGTGTCTGAGAAACAACAGGTCTCTTCCCAGTCAATAAGATATACAGGCATCAGAGCCCCAAGTAGAAATCCTTTCCCTTGGGGCAAAAACAGTTTTGGGGAAGGGTGACAATTTTGAGAACAGTCTAGTTATGGTGTAGTCATGCTGAGATAGGGTGGGAGGGGAGGTAGGACAGAGCTGCAGCCCCAGGGGGGTTGTGGGTAGAAAAAGGAGGCCATTAGAGAGGGGCACCACAATATGGAACTCTGGGAATGGTACTTTGGAGCAGGTTGAGAGAGTAGGATTTGGGGGTATAGGCCAGAAGAGAATCAGAAGGCACAGTCTGGCCATTCTCTGGACGGTCCTGGGGAGGAAGTGCAACACCCCCTGTGACAAAGCTCAGATTGCCCCCACTCTGTGTTCTGGCTAGCATTTCAGTACGTGTGTCTCATTAAGAAGCCACATGTCATTTGTGGTTCTTTGAAAATTTTATCAAAATACTTGAGATTCTCAAGACAGAGCCATAACACTTAATTATTGGGAACCCGTTAGGGGGACGGATAAGAGAGCATCTGAGGCTGTCTAAATTCTACATATTTGCACTTCTTCTGTATACATGTTATCTAGTTATGCAAGTATGTTATCTAGGCTAACATAATGTTTTAGTCTTAGCTGGGGATGGTAAGCTAATTGCATTCATGCAGAAAGCTCATGAACAAGTCAATTAAAAATCTACTCAGTAGCTGACCCTGTTCTAACAGGGCTTCCTTTGCTTTGCGTTTACTTGGGAACCAGACACCCTGTTTACTGTTATGGAATGTGTAGTCACTTCACTACTCTTCAGACAAAACTGGACAAACAGGCCATCGTAAATGACTTTCAGCTACCCTTTTATACATACAAATGGAAAGATTGATGAATTAAGATCAAATTATAAGGCTACCCCTCCTGGTCAAAGTATTTTTCCTGTTCTTGAGAGTGCCAACATTGCAGACCCTACAGTGCATGTTAGGAATGTGAGTAGTGAAGTTAATAAACACCCAGGGTCAGAGTAGCCTTATTTGTCAGTGAATACAAGACTTAATGAAATACTTTAGCATGCAAAATTTCTTGAATTATGGAATATTCCAGTTTTTCAGTTGATCATAACTTCCTTAAACTCTTGTTGCTGATCTGTTTCTCCAGATAGAATGACAGTAGCTGCCCCTCCAATCCTCTTCCCACTGTGGCATTTGATATTTGGATATCATAGGCTATGGAGTTTATTGACTGAACAGAACAGAATCTTTTCTTATCCTTTTACCAGGCTAAATCCAGTTAGCTTGTTATGTTCTGACCCTCACTTTTGCCTTCCTCTTCAACCATACCTCACTCTTCCACAGTATCCTGGCTCTTCCAGCCTTGGATAATCTCATTTGGACCCTTGACTCTTCACCGTGTTATCCCAGTGATCCCATCCTGTGTAGAAACTATGTGTACCTTTCTTTGCTATTCTCCCAGATCCTGTTTCATTTGTATGGTCCTCTTGTGAGCTATAAAGGCACTCTAGCCCAGGCCTTGTCTAGAGCCTACTTTTGTTCCTGCCTTTGGCCTTAAGCTGAGGCAGACCATCTCTGAGAGCTGACTTGGAGCTCCCACACTGTTCATCTGAAGTAGTAAAGATGGTGGTGCTGGGCTCCCACGTCCTTTCTTATGGCCCTTCTCTTTTCTTTGGACTTCTTTGGCCTTCTTGCCAAGTCATCTCTGTCTGTGGCTACAGTTCTTCTTCCGACCCTTTCTCTTTCCCCCTCATTCATCCCTACAATGTGCTACCTTATTCCAGTTACTCATAGTCTTAGCTTTTCACTCTTCCACCCATACTCACAAACCAAGGACTTTGTGTTCATGGCTCTGAGGAAGTGGGTTTGTGACTCTTTTAGGCCATGGTGGTGAGTAAACAAATATTATATGAGTCAGGGCTCAAACTGGGCTAGTGGGGTTGAGAGAAATGGTGAAATAATTGCTGGAAGCAGTAATCATGGGCCAATCTTCTTGGCATCCTTCCTTGCTTTAGGCCTTATTGCTTAATCTCATTAGTCTTACCTTGATGAATCTTTGGAGCTCTTCTTTTCTTTGTTGGTCCCACAATCCCCAGAGTCCTTCCTAGAGAAAACCCTTTACAACTCACACAGATCTTTCCTTCCTTCCCTTATAGGAATTGACAGCAGATATAATGAAGGCTGCAGGGAGCTGGCCAATTACCTTCTGTTTGGTTTGTACAACCAGAGTGTCAGTGACGCAGAGAGACCAGGGTTTTCTGAAGAAGTCCTTGATGGTAAGTCTGTAATAGTTTCTTTTTGTTTATGAAGAAAGAGATATTTTTATTTCTATAAAACTTTTTATTTTCATAGTCTATTTCTTAGATCATTAAAAAACACCCAACCTTGAATCACAGATTCTTTCTACTTTTTTTTCCCCAAAATTAATGGTGGTCATGTTCCTATTTGCTGCTGCTGCTACATGCATTATACTCCACTTTCTGTCCCCTGTTCACATGCTGGATGGTACTGAGAATGGCCACAATATACTCTTGGGAAATAAACGAACTTTATGGAAAAAGTAAACATCAGTTAGTGGTTCCAAATCCCCTTAATGGGGTCCTGGCTTCTTTTTAATTATGAACCACCTCTTCACTCCTGTGGGTGTTTACCTCCTACCAGTGTGGGCAATGAGACCTGTTGGGAGAGAATGTTCTCTCAGGCTGACTTGTGAGTCTGCATGGTGGCTGCTTTCCTTCGTAAGCTTGGCTTCCCACTTGTGCTCATAAGATAACTCTGCAAGAGAGCTCCTTATAGCAAGGACTTGACCTTGAACCTCAGTGTAGGAGTAGAGTTTCCTTCTAATGGCAGTGTCTCTGGAGGTGGTTTTCTGTACCACTTTTGTTAGTGAACACGAAGGCTAGGGTGATATCGACTTTCTCCTTTCCTGCCTCACCTCTCTTCGGTGTCCTGTGTTTGTAGTGCTTCAGGCTGTTGCCTGGGGACGATTTCTCTGCCAGCTGGAGCAGGAGCCATAGGGAAAGGCAGATAAACACTGGGCAAGAGGGCTGCTGATGATTTGGTCACTTCAGGGAAGTCAAATGAAAGGAAACATCTGACATGGAAATAGACTCCATGCTTAGTCTGGGGAAGAGACACCTCCTGAAGGTCAAAGTTCTCCACAGACATAAGTATGAGTAAGTGAGAAAATGCAAAAAGGGGAAACTGAAATTCAGCAGTTTCACTTTTTAAATCCAAAACCAGAATCCTTTGTAAAATCCTCAAATATGTCTTTAGTTTTCATTTTAAAAATTCCCCCTCCTATGATCTGTACTCATCTAAAGGATGATTGGAGAAGTCTTATTTTTGTTTGAGCTCCTGTAGATACTGAAAATTCATTAAACACAAATACAGCAGCTCTCCAGATAAGCCATGCATTTCACTGTAGAAAATACAACTGAAACCAATATAATATTTTCTCTCTATTAACAGTCCATTCCTGGGCTATTCTGGACAACTGAAGCTTGCTCTGATTAATTCTACTTGGTTTAAAATTCCTGAAGTCATAGGGCTAGAGCTGTAGGAAACCCTTGGGATATGTAATAGGTGATTTAGAATAATTTCAGTGTGTGGGATCTTTTTACTCCAAGCACAGTACTAGATTTTGTGTTGTTTCATTCTTTTTAAGTTGCTTTTCTACCTACTCTCTTTGTTGCTCCTAACCCTGCCCCCAACCAGATTCCAACTCCCACATGCAGTCCCCCTACAGAAATGACAGGCGCACCCTTTCCCTCCTCCCAGAGCCTCCATTTGACTCCGAACATACATCCAAGGGAAGTTTTTTGGCTTTTTTCTTCCTGAATAGAATGTAGCCCTACCTAGATCTTTTTGTTCCAAAGGGTTTCACTTGTACCAGCACAGCCTGGAAAGCAGAAGGAGCTGGGCTAAACCCTCCGTCCTCGTTACCTGTCAAAATAATCAACTTTTAAAATATAGCTCAAATTCCACTCCCTGGAAAAAGCCTTCCAGATCTGTGTAGTAAAAAGCGACCTCTCCCCACCCCCTGCAATCTCATAGTTTGTACCTATCTGTTGTCATTCATAGCTTTCTTCTTTTGTATAGACTTTATCTTTCCAACTAGGCCATAACTTCCATGGGAAGTAGGGCCCTTTCCCCAGAGGTGCTAAGTGCAGAGTGTTACACATAGAGGGTGCTCAGGTACTTGTTGGATTAAACTAAATGACAGAATGAAGCTTCCTTTTGCTACTGTGGCAACCACTAGCTACTTTAGAAGAAGATCCTTGCTTAATGGGGACACTATCCAAAGGTACCTATTAACCAGGCTGGAAGCTATAGCTTTTTCAAAGCCACCTTTAAGGAGTTTGTTCCTGATTTCTGTCAGGAGGCTTTCTTATTTTTACAATGCTATAACCCTACATCTTTCTCCTTTAGAGCAGATCAATTCTGCAAGTTTTGGGAGAGACACAAATTTAGAAAATGCATCATCTCAGCCATTGTGGAGCTTGTGGTCAAATAGGGAGATAAGACATGAACATAGGACTATAACATCCAGTGTTATGTACTTTACCTTACAGCATTTGAGTGGCCCAAAATGAAGTTCTAAGTGAGGTCTGAAGAGGGGGAGAGGAGGAGGAGATTTTGGATGAGTTGGGCTGTGGAAAATGGATAGGAATTCAGTAGGAGGAGAGGGGTTGAGTATTCCAGGAATGGAGAATCGTATAAGCAGCTGGGTGGCGCCATAGTGCCCAAAGCGCTGAGCCTGGAGTCAGGAAGATTCATTCATCTTCTTGAGTTCAAATCCGGCCTCAGATACTTACTAGCTATGTGACCCTGGGCAAGTCACTTAACCCTGTTTGCCCCAGTTTTCTCATCTGTAAAATGAGCTGGAGAAGGAAATGGCAAACCACTTCAGTGTCTTTGCCAAGAATACCCCACATGGGGTCACAGAGTCAGGACTGTAACACAACTGAACAACAACAATAAGCAAAAGCTTGGAGGTCGGAAAGTACAGGCCAGTCTGATTAAAGAACAGAATTCTTGGAATGAAGTATTATGGGATAAGCCTGAAAAAATAAGATAATGCCTGATGGGGGGGCAACAGGGCCCCACTGATTGTTTTTGAACAGGTAAGTAAGGTAGTCAGGTCTATGCAAATAAAAATCTGTGACCTCGTTTGTAAGGAAATATGGCAACAGTATGAAGGGTGGATTGGAGGGAAGAAAGAGTAAAGTGAGAAAGGCCTTTTATACTCTTGCATATTCTAGGTTGAGGGTAGCTAGGTGGAGCAGTGGATAGAGTGCTGGGCCTGGAGTCAGGAAGCCTCATCTTCTGGAGTTCAAATCTGGCCTCAGACACTTACTAGCTGTATGATCCTGAGCAAGTCACTTAACCTTGTTTGCCTCAGTTTCCTCATCCATAAAATGAGCTGGAGGAGGAAATGGCAAACCACTCCAATATCTTTGCCAGGAAAACCCAAATGGGGTCAAAGAAAGTCAGACACAACTGAAAGTAAGTGGACAACAATGACTACAAAATACTCTAGGTTGGTGGTAATAAGGGCCTGTGTTGAGATAGTGAGAGTTGAGAGGCGGGGAAAGATTCCAGAAATGTGAAGGTTGAATAGGCAGGAATGGGTAGGACTTTGGACATGCTGAGTTTGAGGTGTCAGTGAGCCAAATAAATGGAAATGTCTGTTAGGCAATTGGAGATGTATGCCTGGAACTCTTTGTCTTTTCTATATTTTATTCTTTTCCCAATTACACACAAAAAATTTTTAACATTTGCTTTTTGAAATTTTGAGTTCCAAATTCTCTTCCTCCCTGCCACCTGTCCCTCTCCTTGAGAAGGGGATATAGATTATCCCTGTGCAGTCATGTCTGGAGCTCTCAAGGAAGGTCAGGGCTGGAGATGAACTCTGGGAGTCATCTGCCAAGAGAGGTGATAGTTGAAGTCACGGTGATGAAGGAGATTGCCAACGGAGAGAGATAGAGAGAAGAGGCTAGGATAGACCCTTGTGTAATACCTGCCTTAAGGCTTTGGAAGGAAGATAAGCCAGCTCTGCTTTAAAGTAAGACTTAAACGGGAGCTATTAGCAGTTGAAGGAACTGTCCTGAGAGGGATATTTGGCTACTACTTGTAGACTTTCCTTTTATAGATATTTTCTCAAGCCTCCCTTCCATAAACAGATAATCCTATTTATTATTTAAAGCTTATATGTACAGAGCATTTTGTCTCCATCTTGCTTTCAGCTGATAACTTCAAATTACTATATGGAATTGATTTGGATATTCTTATAGGAGGCCATGTGGTATAGTGAGTTTACTTAATGGACTTGGAATCAGAAGACTTGGGTTCAAATCTTGACTCTGATATTGACTAGCCTTGCGACCTCGGTCAAATCACCTAACTTACCTGAGCCACGGCTTCCTCTTCTGATAATATGTGAGACTGCCTACCTTATAATGGAAGCATAGATTGAGAGCTTGGAGAAACCTTGGAGCTTATCTAGTCCATTCATTTTACAGATGAGGAAACTGAGTCTTAGAGAAGTTAAGTGATTTGCTCTCAGATAATATTCATGAAACATTTTATAAGCCTTAAAGCTCTGTATAAATGAGATGCTATTATTAATTCATTCCTTGTACGTGTTTAGACAAGGAGAGTATAGTACTTCTGAAGCCACAAAGAAAGAGTATTCAGAAAAGTGGGGGAAGGTTGGTTCCTACTATCAAATGCTATAGAAAGGTTAAAGATGATGAGAACTCTTCGTCCTTGCCCCCTCTCCCCTAAGGCATTTTAATTGGCAAGATCCTAGTGACTCTTGAGAGAACAAATTTCATTCAAGTGGTGGAAGCTTATTCTAAATTGTAAGGGGCTAAGAGTTAAACTCTCAAGGGTAGTGAAACTCTTTTGAATTAGAAGTTATCCATTGGTAGAGTCTTCCTTTCCCTTCTGCATAAATAAAATCATTGTAGCTAGAATAAAATATAAAATATAGACAGGGGAGAAATCTTTGTGTAAGGCAATTCTATTAAAAGTCTGATATCTCAAGTTTATAGGAAAAAGATAACAAAAATTTTAATACTGGTCAAAAGATATGAATAAATAGTTCCTAGAAGAGGGAGTACCATCTAGTAGCCATCTAAAAAGTATTTAAAATTATTAATAATTAGTGAAATGCAAATTAAAACCAACTCCAAGTTTGTACTTCACAGCCATTACATTGGAAAAGATAGTAAAAGACAGAAAAATTCAATACTGGTGGAAATGTGGAAAGATAGTTGAACATATTTACTGCTGGTAGAGTTGTTAGTCCAACCACTTTGTAAAATGATTTAAAATTATTCAGGAGAAGTTACAAAATTGTTTCTTCCCTTTAACTCAGTGATCCAATTATTGGGTTGATACCTCAAGGTCAGTTATTGACAATAGGGAAAAAACCTATCTATGTAAAAATATTGATAGCAGCATTATTTGTAATATAAAGAAAGCTGGAAATAAATCTTGTCCCTAAGGCTTGGGGAACGGCTGAGCAAACTGTAGTATATCAGTATTAAGAGATATTATTGCTCCATAAAGAAGAAATAACGAAGAATTTACAGACAGATGGGAAGACATGTATAAAGTGAAGCAGATTGAACAAAACAACGTCCAAATAATAGCATGTACAGTTACTACAACCATATAAACGAAGGCAAAGTTAAATGTCAGTAATATCCAGATTGAAAACGTTGGGCCCTGCTGGCACTCATTTAGAAAGCATTCTTTCCAGGCTTAGACACATAACACTTACTATTTGTGTGACTATGGGCAAGTCACTTAACCCCAATTGCCCCACCAAAAAAAAAAAGCAAAAAAAGCATACTTTTTTTTATTTATTAAAATTCTCTTTTATTTGCTGTTTGATTTGATTTGATTTGCTCTTTATTGACAGATGAATAAATTATACATTGAGTTTTCCCCATGATCTTATCTTGTCCTTTGTCCCTCCCTTTGATGATCATTTTCCAAAGAGTTTATAAAAATGTGCCTTTAGATGGCTTAGACCAGGCCCTGAAACCCCAAGGAATGGAGCAGCTACAAATAAAAAAAGCTTGTCTCTGAGAGAAAGAAAAAATAACAAAAACTGATTCCAGTGATATTAAAACAAAATGTGCTGGCCTGAGTGACATGGCCTTTCCTGGGGGCTCAGCTGCCCCTTAGAGTCCTAGGTACGCTGGTCAGGAACAGCCTAACTGCTGAGGAATGGGGGACTGGAGCACAGAAATAACTTCCATCAGTCCTCTTAAGAAATGAAAAACTACTACAGTGTAAGGTTGCGTATACTAGATATTGGTCACAATCACCCTTTTTTGCTGTTTTGCTTACCTGCTCTGGGGAAGTGTACATCATGGGGAACTGAAGTGTGAGTCTGATGAATGTTTCATATACCAGAACAAATTTTAGCAATAGAAATGATTCCCTTAATTTTCTGTTATTTAACCTTCTATATTTTGGAACCATTCTTTAATCAATTGACCCTAACCAACCGTGATTATTCTCCTGAAGTCTAAAGAATGCCAAAGTTCCATTTATAGAAAAGATTTTTACCTATAAAGACCCTTGCTTCCTTTCTCTCAGCCTTTCCTGCGTTCAGAGCCAAACTATAAACCTTCCCAAGGCTCTATCAGAGTTTGGGTCTGACTGCTTCGGCTTTATTGCTTTAAGCCAGATGAAATGAAATTGAAGGACCACCAAACACCTAACCTGTAGGACAGTTTCTCAGTGGGCATGAAAACGTTAGCAAATGACGTTTCCTGACTTGGGGCTGTATTCCTGGGATTGTCAATTTTTTTTTCCTTCATAATGACCTGCTTTGTGTTTTCCCTCTTGCAGTTAAACCTGATGCTTGGCTCTTATCAGTCAGATTGCAGACTTGTAACTAGATGGGACAGTTGACAGCAGAAAACTAAGCTATATTTTTCAGTTCAACAAATATTTATTATGCACTTACTATGTGTGAGGCCCTGTGCTCAATTCTCAGAATACAGAGCTCAATAGAACATAGACTCTTTTCTCAAGGAACATTTGATAGAGAAAGGACATGTATACAAACAACTATGTTTAGAGTGAGGGTGAAAGGGACACAAGAGAGAGCCAGGCAAGGGGCTTCTCACATTCATCATTTCTTCTGAGGCTGTAGTATTCCATTCCATTCATGCACCACAATCTGTTCAGCTGTTACATAGTCAATGGGCACCTACTCTGTTTATAGATCTTGTTTTTTTACTACAAAAAGTGCTGCTATGAATATTTTAGTGTGTATGGTGTCTTTTTGGGATCCCTGGGCCAAAGAGAATATGAACAAATTCTGCTTTCTACATCAGTAAAATAGAGAGATAGGTAGAGACAGATGCAAGATGCTCATATGACTGTCTTCTCTCAGCCTCTGTCATGTGAATTATTGCAGTGACCTTCTCAGTGTTCTCTCTGCTTTCAGTCTCTCCCCACTTCAACCCATCGTCTACTCATCTGCCAAAGTGATTTCTGTAGAGTGCCACCCTTCTGGTCAGTTATTACCTCCAGGGTCAGATATAAAGACCATTTGATATAGAAAACCCTTCCCGACCAGGTCCTTTCTTGTCTTCTAGGCTTCTAACACCTTCTTTCCCTCCACAAACTCTATCACCAGGTAAACTGGCCCACTCACTGTTGCTCATACAGATCGTTCCGTTTCCCTCCTGCATGCCTTTTGCCCTGGCTGTGCACCATTCCTGGAGTTGTCTGCTCCTTCACATCCACCTCTTAGCTTCCTTCACTTCTTTCAAGATGCAGCTCAAATCCCACATTGTGCAGGAGGCCTTTCCTGACCTCCCCAGCATCCCCTCTCTCCCACTGCTAGTGCCTTTCCTCTAAGATCGCCTTCCATCTACATGGACGTAGCTATTTACATGTTTTCTCCTCCAGTGGAATGTGAGCTCTTTGAGGGCAGGAACTGTGCTTTTGCTTTTCTTTGTATTCTCAGTGCTCAGTGTAGTTCCTTGCGCGCAGTAAGCTCTTGATAAATGCTAGTTGACTCACTGAGGTAATGCCAAACTATGTTCCAGAATAGTTGGACCAGTTCACATCTCCACTGTGTGTGCACCTGTCTTCCCTTAGTCCTTCCAGCACTGGCTTTTTCCATCTTTCCTGAATTCCTGCATTTGAGTCGAAATCTCAGAGTTGTTTTAACCAGCGTTTCCCTTACTATCTGTAGTTTGGATGATTGTTTTTATTCAAAAGGTTGTTGATAATTTGCATTTCTTCATTTGCATATTCTTTATCTCCTTTGGCCACGTATCTGTTGAGGAGTAGATTCTGGTCTTATATCTATCACACCAATTCCATCTGTACTTTGGATACCAGACTGTCATCAGAGATTTTCATGCAAAAACTTTCCCCCCATTTATCAGCTTCTCTTTTTTATCCTAGCTGCATTGATTGACAGTACATTTTCCAATTGCAGAATTTTATGGAATGTTTATTTACTAAATGTAAGTTTGTGCTTTGTTCATACTGCCTGTGGGGGAAAAACTGTTCATGTTTCTGTTCTTTTCACAGATGTAATTGTATTGATCAAATCTGACAGTGTTCACCTGTACTGCAATCCTGTGAATTACCGTTATCTCTTGCCCTATGTAGCACATTGGAGAAATTTACATTTCCACTGCATGACTGAAAATGAGGTGAGGAAATGGTGGAATTATATCCCAAGAGCATCCTTCCTGTGAAGAGGTACTGACCTAAGAAACAAGGCTGCAGAGGTGATATAAGTCAGGAGGAATAATTATAATAATAGTGCACATTCATGTAGTGCTTTAAGATTTACAAAGCGGTTTACATTAATTATCTTCTTTGATAAAGGCTAGTTTTCTTTTGTGTGAAGGCCTATATCTTGTGAATGGTAAGGACCGTTTTAGGAAGCAAATTGTATGCCTCACCCTAGGCAGCAGATACTGGAGGAGAAGGAGGGCATGGAAGAAGTTGTACCTGGAAGTGGACTGTTGCATCTGCTTTCCTTATCTGGACAGCCAGCCCTACTTACTCTTACTGCTTTTCTTCATAATATGAATTTTTTCGAGGTGGAGAATGACTTTTCCTGGGTCTGGGGGTAGTACAAGTTTTCCTAAAAGCTGTGTGGTTAGCTTGATCACGTGCTTATCTTTTCAGATTTTTGGTGGGAAACCTCAGATGCAGTTCCAAAGATGCTTTACAAATGTTTTTTATAGCAAGTGTTTCTATTGGAGTGAAAACTGCCGAAGGAAACACCCCTCAGGGTGTTGCATTTAGAATCGGTGCCCATCAGAAGTGTGCCCCATAGCAGCTACAGCAGCTAGCCAGCTCTTGGTTTGGTCTCTCAAAATGACTCATTTTCAGGCTTAGTAACTAATAGAGAAGGAGCTCAGAGGAAAAGAACAAAAGAGCAACCTCTTTTCTAGAGGAAAAATATAGCCACCATAAACTCTTAAGTTTTTCACTCAGGTGAGAATATGTATTAGGATAAAACCTAAAGGCTCTTAATATTGTTCAAGAAACAATTCTCTGAGCTACTAGAACAGTTCTTAACTGTTTTTAGGTCATGAACTTTTTGGCACTGTGAACCCTATTTTATAGAATAATGATTTTAAATGCATAAAATATATAGAATTGCAAAGGAAACCAATCATTGAAATACATTTATCAGTATTTTTGAAAAGTTCATGGACTCCTGTCCTAGAGCATACTTGATACTTTTTTCAGAGTGGGAACTCTGCTGCCCAGAGCTCTAGGTCTCCTCCAGCCAACAGCCAATCCAAACCCCTACAGCCAGTAGGGCAGGTGCAAATTTATTTAACCACAGGCTTTTGTACAAATATTTGATAACATTTATTAACCATCTACCATGTTCAAGGCCCTGTGTCTGGCTACTAGGGAAGCTATAGAGTCATTTTCCTGGGCACTCAAGGAATTTGCAGTACAGGAAAGAAGATAAGGCATGTACACAGATCTCATGCCCTGCCTTGCCTTCTAGTTGAATGTCATAATTGGTACAAAATCGATGAGAGTTCAGAGGAGGGACAGATTGCCTCCAACTGTGGAAATTGAAGACATCCTGGATAGCTTAGAAAGAATGGAGCTCAATTTTTTTCTAGGTACTTCTTTATTGTGTTTTTCTTCTTAAATAGATTTCCTCACCTATACAGTGGAGTGATCATTCTGAATTTGGTGTGGCTGTTGAAGGGTTAGGATTTGTGGCTTCATGAAAGTATTGAACTATGACCTTTAATATCCCTTCTGTTTTCCAACCTATTGTCCTGTGTTTCTGAAATCTTATTTATTTTTTTTAAATCTAATTAACAAGAATTTATCAAGTAGTTTTGTGTATCTTGACATACAGCCTACATACACTATCAGATTAATTTTGTTCACCATTTTTATCTGATTTTTGCTTACTTCTTTTGTACCTGGAAGAGCTTATATAATTAGATGATTCTCTTTTTTGTCTCAACCTATTCCTTATGATAGGATACCTTTCTAGACCTGATTTTAACAGACCCAGCTAAGAAAAGCAAGGAAAATTCAGACTGAAGGGCTCCAAATACCACTTGGATATCATAGACTGGTGTTTGGTCAAGCTCCACTGTCCTCACATTTGAGAAAAGAGAAGCAGGCAGACTCTGTTTTTGCTTCTGTAACTGTCACCTTTCTTGGAGCTGGACCTGCTGTTGGCTGAATTTTTGGCTTGCTGATACTTAAGTTCTCTCAATACACAGTGATATTGTCAGGGTGGTGCTGCCCGTGGAATTCTAGGGGATAGCAATTATTTGTCTGGCTGATCTGCCTGGGTGATTGGTAGGGATTTCCTGGTCTTATCCCACGCGTACAATTGTGTGCCAGTTTTTATGCTTCTCTGGAATTCCTGCCACCGTGATGTGCAAATGACCTTGTAAGTACTCTTTAATGGGGGTGTTACTCCCCTTGTCAGTCTTGTTCATGGAACAGTAAGACTGAGAAATGAAGCAATTGACTCTTTGGCCGTAACACTAACTCATCGATGTGAAATGAATCTTCATTATGACTGAGATATGATCATTTTATCATGTCCAAGGTTGGTTTTTTCCAGGTTTGAAAAATGAAGCACTAAACCCCCCAAAACCAAGTTTTAAGTATTCACTGTGAGCCAAGCACTGGGCTAGGCTCTGGCTGAATACAAAGATAAAACCAAAGCCATCTCTACCCTCAAGTAACATTTTACAAGAGGGTGCATCAAGTAAATGTGGCATATATACAAAGTATCTAAGGGTGAGTGGATCCCTCAGGTGAGGCATGTGGGAAATAGCATTTCAGCTGAACCTCTAAAGGAACCAGAGCAATTGTGAAGCCAGCCTGGAGCTCACAAGATGCACGAGGCTTGGATACATAGATCTGGGGGCCAGCCATAGAGGGAGAGTGTAGAGAAAGAAGAGCCCTGGGTTATACAGACCACACAGGTATCACAAGTTCGTAAAAAAAGATTGAGAAGGAGCAGCCAATCAGGTTGGTGTAGAACCAGGAGAGAGTAGTATCACAAAAATGCAGGAATAATATTCAGGAGGTTGGAATGGTCAGAAGCATCAAACATTGTCGAGACAGGTCGAGAAGAATGAAGCAGAGAGCACATTCAGTTGAATGGAGCTGGAAAGCAGCTGAGAAATGAGTGAGAAGTGACAAAGTAAAGGCAACAAGGGGAGTTCTTTCTAGGAAGTTTGGCTACAAAAAGAGAAAGAAAAGATAATAGTTAAAGAGGATGGTAGGGTCAAGTCAGAGTATTTTGGTTTTTTCCAATGGGGAAGACCTATGCATGTTTGCGGGAAGTAATAAGTATGTAAGAAGAGATTGAAAATCGTTGGTTGATGTTTTTACATGCAACTGGGAAATAAGATATATGGGCAATGGGGTATAGAAATCTATCCTGCCCTACAGGAAAGTAGAAGGGGAAGGGGATAAGAAAAGGGGGATGGTGATAGAGGGGGAGAAGGGGGTATTCAGAATGCATGCCATCTTGGGGCAGGGGGAGGGGAGAGGAGAGATGGGGAGCAAATTTGGAACTCAAAATCTTGTGGAAGTGAATGTTAAAAACTAAAAAGAAATAATTTAATTTAAAAAAAAACATAGATTGGGTGAGGGTGGTGGATGGGCCCAACTTCTAGAGGAGAGTAGAGGGGAAGGCATCAAGATCAAGGGCTCTTTTGGTACTGGACAAAGCATCCAGAGCAGGCCTGGATTTCCTTTTGGGGTGACCAGCCTTCCTGCCATGATGAGACAGTAGCAGAGGAAAGGAATTTTTGAACCAGAGCTCTTAATTAGTGATCTCTACCCTCTCATGTGAAGCCCTGCAGGTGGGAGCCTTTCTCCTCTGCTAAATGGAATGATTTGGTTGCAATTGTAGTATATTGTGGGGTTGTATTTTCTATTAAGACAGCTAAAATTGGAACCTGAGGTCTGGTGCCCTAGAGCACTATGCCCTCTGGACAGCCAACCCTTAAAATGTTTCTTTGTTCAGAATAATGCATGCATTGCTAACTGGTATGGCTACTGACAGGTCCCATACAGGGACCCAGGAGCACTGCCATCCTGGCTCATGGATGGATTCTGTGCAAGTATGCCTGCTGGTAGAGGAGCAGTTGTGTCCTGGAAGGTGGTCCGGCCTTCTCTTTGTACTTTGGAAGTTACATACACGGACAGGCTTTGCACTTCCACCTCTTGTTGTCTTGCTTTGAAAAACATGCCCTTTGAAAAGCTCCTATCCTGCAAGGGTCATTTGGCAAAACTCATTTGTTATTTCTTCTGGACTGTAGTGATGCAGATTGTTATATAAAATCATGTTTGTTGACAGAGAAAAATCTGAGGAGTACATTGTAAAACCAGTTAGTTTCTGAGAAGTTATCTTTCAAGTCCCACATTAAGAAGCAGTGTGATACAATGGAAGGAGCCCTGGAATGGGGGTCCTGGGAAAACCAGATTCTAGTCCCAGCTGTGCTACTAACTAACTAGATGACCTTGAGTAAGTCATTCCCCTTCTGTGGTCAAACTAGGTTATCTTTAGGCTCCCAACTAGCTCTCTGATTCATTGGTTTCATTTTCTCTTTAGTATGAAGATGAAGAAGCTGCTGAGGAATTTAAAATTGCCAGTTTTGTGGACATGGTTCGAGACTGTAGTCGAATTGGCATTCCTTATAGCTCTCAAGGTGAGTAACTGGCTACAAGTGGTGCTCTTGTATTGGTGAACAATGTAAGCCTTGCCCTCGTGGTCCACCTGTGCTGAAAGCACCGGCTGGCCAGAAGAGTATTTGTCACCCTTTCCTCCTATTATCGCTTAGTAATCATTACCAGCAAAAGCATCAGTAGGCCACTAATAGGCAGGTAGAACTTCCTAGTCAGGACTTTATGCCGCAGACATCCTTTTTTTTTTTTGAATAACTTTAAATAGTGTTATAATTGACAGGGAGCTCTTGCTTATTAGAAACAAGTCATTAAGATAACTGAAAGAGAAAGCTGACCTAATAGATACATTAAAAATTATATGTAGGGGCAGGTAGGTGGCGCACTGAATAGAGCTCCAGCCTTGGGGTCAGGAAGACCTGAGTTCAAATCTGACCTCAGACACTTGACACTTATTAGCTGTGTGACCCTGGGCAAGTCACTTAACCCCATTGCCTCACCAAAAAAAAAAATTATATGTAAAAGATAAAGACGTTGGCTAAATACAGCAGTATTTTGTTTTCTGTGTTTTCCAAGAAGTTTTTATCTCAGAGCTCCTTTGTAAGGAAGGAGGAATCCTTTTGGCTTGGCAAGTTTCCTTTTTTGGGACTAGGGAAGTTGGCTGGCTGTGTTTCCTGTGGGACAGAAGCCAAGCTTGAGTCTATTATAATTACATCTACTAAATGATGCAAGATGTCTGCAACAGAACAGTTATTTGGCACTTTTCTCCCTAGGAAAAAGAAGTATAAAAAAGTTTTGTTAGAGTGAGATGTGGATTTCTATGACTTACAGAGAATTTTAGTAACTCTCTCCCAACTCCAACCCCAAACTGTACACAAGGTATTACAAACTATGGCTATCTTTTAGGGGTAAGGAACCTGCAGCCTTGAGGCCACATGTGGGTTTCTAGGTCCTTGGGTGGGGCCTTTTGACTGAGTCCAGGTTTTACAGAACAAATCCTTTTATTAAGGGGATTTGTTCTGTGAAGTTTGGATTCAGGCAAAGGGCCGCACTTGAGCACCTATAGGGCCACATGTGGCCTCGAGGCTGCAGCTTCCCCACCCTTGCTAGATGATTTGTTTGGATCTTGAATATTTACATTGTTTTTTCTTCTTGAATTATGTGTTCCCTTTTGTAGTCTATGGTGACTTCATTGGGTTTTCTGGTTTGTGGTTGGTGGTGTTTTTCCTGAATGAGAACTTTTTTAAATACAGTAAAAGAACTTTTCTATAACTTAAGAGGTCAGAGAAGGACTGATGCCTTTCTTAGAGGCTAGTCATGTTAGGTCAGGTTCAGACTGGTATGTCTGTCAGATCAGGTTGGATAACAAGCTGTATTATAATAGGCTTTCCTGTGTTTGCTTCTTCCAGGTCACCTGCAGATATTTGATATGTTTGTGGTGGAGAAGTGGCCAATTGTTCAGGCTTTTGCACTTGAAGGCATTGGTGGGGGATGGATTTTTTACCATGAAATATCAGGTATATCTAAAATACTGTAACTTGTCTTTGTCCAACATGCAGAAACGGCAGACCTAGAATTGATGTAGCCATTTTCTTTGGAGGTCACAAGCCTCAATGACATGCATCTTTATGACATTTGAGAGAGGTTGATGTCATGTAGGAAGTTAGTAAGGCTGCTGGAAGTATGTATATAATTTAATGGAAGTCCTAAAATAAACAAGATTTTTTTCCTTTCATATTTCATTTCATTCCAACAAACACTAAGTGCTTCCTATGTACAAGGCCCTGTGTTGAGGAGACAATAAGACACAAATGCTGCCCTCAGGGAGCCTACGTGGTAATAAAGAGGAACGATTCATGTACACAAATAATAATGGCTAACATTTACATAACCCTTACTATGAGCCAGGCACTGTGCTACATGCTTTACAATCATTATATCATTTGGTCCTCACAACAACCCTGGGAGGCAGGAGCAATTATCATCCCCATTTTACATATGAGGAAACTGAGGCAGGCAGAGGTTAAGTGACTTGCCCAGGGTGACACAGGTAATAAATATCTGAGGCCAGAGTTGATTCAGATCTTCCAACTCCAGGCCCAGCTGTCTGTGCACTCTGGGGGCATCACCTCACTGCCCCCCCGCTAGGACAAGAGATTGAGTGTGATAAGTACAAAGGGGAGGTAGAAGCCAAGTGCAGTATGAAAGTTCAGAAGGGAAAGATCACTTTTGTGGGGAGAAGATACTGATAGCAAAATTCCCATGGAAATTCTGCTTTTTGGAAGTTGAAGAGTAAGTGACTGTCAAAGCTCACAGACAGACCGATTGTCATTTTCTGCTTTTTCTTCAGTCCTTTCCCAGCTTTAGTTTATTCTGAACACTGTACTGTCTGTTTGACAGGGTTCAAGAACTGTTCTCTTTTGCTTCCAGCTTGTGGCAGGGTCAGGCTATACTCAAAGGGCAGTTGTTCTGAGGGGCATCATTTTTCTTTCACTGCCTTGGGGTCTGCTTGGCTTTTTCAAAATGTGCTTTTCTATTTTTTTTCCTTATTTGGTTATGAACTTGACAAACATGAATATTTACATACACAACAGAAAAAGAAAATTGTAAGAGAAATAGTGAATATTAAAAATATATTTTCTGTTATGAACTTAAGAATATTCAAACATTTCAACATATGATATGTGATATACAGAGAGCAAAAGTAGAAGTGTATATGAACCTCTTAAAGGTTGTTTTCAAAAACTCAGCTTTAATGAGGTAGTAACAAAATTGCCCTGTTTAATTCCCTTCTGAACTTTTCATTTCTGTGTATTTTTTATTTATTGTTGTTCTTTTCTTTTTACGTGTCTTATCACTAACCACTAACTGTCTATTGCCACCCCAACCCATCAAACAGAAGTTTCTTCCCTTGTAATAAACAGATATAGTCAAGCAAAACAATTCCACATGGTCGGTTGTGTCTGAAAATGTGTCTCATTCTATACTTAGGCCATCTCCTCTGTGCCAAGAAACAAGAAACTCATATCAGTCATCAGCCTTCTGAAGGCGTGATCAGTCACTGGTTGGGTTGATCAGGGTCTGAAGTCTTTCAAAGTTATTTCCTTTTCATTATTGTGGTCATCTTTCTGGCTTATTCATTTAATTCTACATCAGTTCATCCAAGTCTTCCCTGGTTTCTCTGAATCTTTCACATTCATCATTTCTTATCTTATAATAATGTTCCATTAAATTCAGGTACCACCGTTTGTTCAGACATTCCCCGGTTGATGGACACACACTTTGTTTTTAGTTCTTTGCTTCAATAGAGTATTGCTATAGATATTTTTGTAATATGAGTCCTTGCATTCCACTTTGCCTGCTTGGCTATAGAGTTCCAAGATTATTCAACTTTCTTGTGATCTCTACTTTGTTTCTTTAAACCGGAATGGATTCCTAAGGGGGCTGACATTGGTCCTGCCTGCACCCATGCTAGTTAGTAAGTGTAGACTTCTCCTTCAAGACCAGAAACCCTAAGCTGGAAACCCGCTACAACTGGTTATAATTAGAAATAAGTTTATAAGTTCTCATTTTAAAAAGAAAATTTAAAACATTACACGCTTCTTTTTTAGCCAGATAGCGTTATTGACATTACCGTCAATAAATGTGTGCTCTCTTTAAAAAAAAATTTTTTTCCCAGTAGTGGGGAACCACCCACCCACCCACGCTTCCTGCATCTGGAGCTCTTAATGATCAAGCAAAGACACCAAGTTGACTGGGGTCGGAGATACAGTATTGTAGTGAGACAAGGTAGAACGTAGAGACGAAATCTGTGAAGTTCTCATTGTTAGCAAAGTTTTCAAAACCTATTGAACTGACTGGCCAGGAAATGTTCATTGGGTTCTCTGAATCAAGGTATAGCCAGTGGCCATATCTCCGGGTTTTCTAAAGGACACCTTCTACCTAGGTCACGCAGGTCAGAAACACAGAAAATTCTTGAGTTGGAATAGTCACCCTGTAGTCCAACGTGTACTTAAAAAGGAATCCCCAGCAAAGAAAATGGATACATCAAATAGTTTTGACTGAGTGACCAATCATCCAACCACTATTTGAAGACCTCCAATGAGGAGGAACCGACTACTTCCCAATAAAAGCCTATGATTCTGTGGTCTGATGTGCAGAAAGTATGACTATTTCACAGACTCACGTAACTTTTAGTGTTAGGATGAACTTCAGTGGCTATTTAGTTGGGGCAGCAAGGTGGCAGAGTGTATAGAGTGCCGGGCCTGGAGTCAGGAAGACTCATCTCCATGAGGTCAAATCCGGCCTTAGACATTTACTAACTGTGTGACCTTGGGCAAGTCACTTAATCCTATTTGCCTCAGTTTCTTCATCTGTAAACTGAGCTAGAGAAGGAAATGACAAGCTACTGCGTTATCTTTCCCAAGAAAACCCCCAAGAGTCAGACACGACAAAAACTAAACAACAACAAATAAACTGCATGCACCACAGTAATCCCCGTCATAACATTCTCAACAATCAGTCATCTAGTTCCTGCTGGCGGTTCTCCCTTTGGAAGCAGCTCCTGAAGTAACCTGTTCTACCCTGAGCCAGCTGTCATGGTTAAGAAGTATGCTTCACACCAAGTCTAAACTTGCTTCTTGAAAACTTCTACCATTGGCTTCTGGTTCTGCTCTTTGGAGCCAAACAGAACAAATATCCTTGATGAATCTGCAACATGACAACTTTCAAATGCTTGGAGATGGCTTGTGGATCCCTTCTCCACCCTACCCCCCGATCTTCTCTTCTCTAGGCTAAAAATCTGCAGTCTTTTCTGTCCCTTATTTGACGACGTTGACCAAGCACCTCATCACAGTGTCCAGTAGTATGAGACACATAGGCAACACGTGAGGAGAGTTATTTCTAAACTTCTTCCCAAGTTCAGTTATTTTGTCAGTCTCGTAATAATGGTGTTTGTATAGATAGCACCTGAGAGGCGCCGGCAAGGATAGCAGTTTTTTGCTGAGCTCAGAGGAGCCAGGAGTGCCCCACCAGGCACATGACCACCAGAGCTCACGTTATAAGCAGACAGAATAGTAAGGTGCCCAAAAGTGCCCTTTCTAGGAGAGCCCGTGCCATGGAGGCTACAGAAGCAGAAGCAATAGCCCTTCAGGGCCAGCAGAGGAGAGCTTATGGTCTATACATCTGGAAATGACACTGAGCGCTTTCCATTTTAGCATGAACAAATAATAATAACTGACATGTATGTAGTACTTATAAATTGGCAAAGGGCTTCACATCTGTTGTCTCATTTGATCCTCACAGTAACCCTTGGGAGGAAGGGAGAGACTACAGGTGTTATTAGCCCAGTTTAAAATCAGTCAGTCTGAGGGCTTCTAGGTGGCACGGTTGATAGAGGCCCTGGAGTAAGAAGGATCTGAGTTCAAATGTGGTCTCAGACACATAACATTTACTAACTGTGTGACCTTGGGCAAGTCACTTAACCCCTTTGCCTAGCAACAAAAACAAAAACGAAAAAAAAAATAAGATTGCGTGAATGCCAGTGGAGCATATGAGTTGTCCATGGGTTATCCTTTTCTCTTACTATGTAACCAGCCCATCTTTTTTTTTTATTATTTACAATCGCATACTTTTCTGAAGATATTATTATTATTATTAGAATTACCTCATGGGTTTCTTTTTGAAGTGTAAAAGAAATAGAAAAAAAAGCTTTTGGTTTTTCTGAGGATAAAATACTAAATTCCCTTTTGGGATTTTATCAAGTCCTGAACTCTCCCATTCACACAAAGATGCTTATTCTGCTTTCCCTTGAGGCCAGATCCACAATAGACTAAATGTATGCCTGAAGTTTTCCTCTGTTGCCATCAACTACCAATAAGAAATTAAGGTAAAAATAAATTAATCAAGTAACAAACAAATTATAACAAAATAAAAAATAAGTCTCCTTACCTTACTTTTTTCTACTTATTCATCTATTTTTGCCCACCCCCACTCTCGTGTCTTGCTCCTAGATACACCACCTATGCTACTGGAATATAAGCTTTAGAGTTTGGAAGGTCAGGCAGTGATGGGTAGGTGGAGCCCAAAATTCTTTGAATATTGTCCCAGTGACAGCTGAACACTGTGCAACTTCCAGGGCTCCTAATAAGTCTCTCTGTGGCTGTCATCTGGGGGCCAGTTTAGCTACATTCAGAGAAGCTCGTTCTCAGAAGGTTGGCCAACTGGGTGATGAATTTTTTTCAGCTACCCCAACTCATGAAGAACATATGATGTGGGGAGGGGCTGCATGTAAATGAGTGGGGAGAAGCCCCACACCCAAGGCTCTAATCCCAGAGCCTGGCTTCTGCTACTGAAGCACCGAAGGCTTGCGTTTGTGTGAGTAGGGAGAGCCCCCCACTGGGGAAATCCAGTTGGTAAAATTGGAATCCAGCCATTGCTTTAGTCAAGCATCTCTTGTTCTTCTACTAAGTGGTCTTTTTTTTATCCATTTTGGTGAATTTCATATATAGACCTCAAAGCTCCATATAAATGCCTTCTTGTCATTCTTGTTTCTCTTGGAAACAAATGGACAAGCACCCATACAACTAAGTAGTCATCCAGGGAAGCTTATTTTTTGAAAAAAAGGCTGCTGTTAACACAGAGCATTTTAGAAATCACTTTCTGTACTGGTTTATGAGCCACACAAGAAAACCATTCTGAAAAACTTAGGTGGATTTTTTTCCCCAAAAAAATTGGTACCACTCACCTTATTCTCTGGATTTTACTCCCTTTGAAAATCCTGGCTATGCCCAAAACCCAAACCGATGCCCAAGGGGCTGATGAGGATAGTCTATGGAATGTTCTGCCAGTTTAAGGGTAGATCAAGAAAAATTCTCAGAACACTTTGAGTATTCAGGATCATTAGAATAAGCAGCTAGTCTCCCAAGGTGACTTTCCAGAAGCAGCAAGCTTCCTCTAGATGTGTAATTTGTAGTGTTTATTAAAAAATGAGCTTCTGTATTTTGTCACTGCTCCTGTTTTCCATGTCTTTCCTGTGTGGCACAAGGCCTGCAGCAGGTAGAAGCACTCTGGGCCCTTGGGCTCCAGGATCTGCTCCTGGAACAGAAGAAGGTTTGAAGGGATCTCATGATACTGACTTTCACTGCTTTTGCCCCTGTGTTTCAGCTGCAGGATGTAAGTGCTGATTTGTGGAAAGTGTACAGCCGGATGGATCCCGTTTCGCTGGAGAATTTGCTATCCCAGGTAATGGAATTGAACTCTACATGATTCCCAGACCAGGGCCAGCTAATGTACTCACTCACGGGGGAGACTGGACTTGGAGAAATGAACGGATTTTTTTTTGGCTTTAGTTCAGCAGTGGAAGAAGCTGCTGCTCCCTAGATGTCTGTCTCTGACCATGGCCATTAATTATTTCCAGGATGCTGAATTTGGTCTTTGAGGAACAGACTATTTTGGTGACCTGTTCAAGGTCAGATAAGTGATTTTTGTGGCTTGTCAGAACCTTTTGGTTCTTCTTTCTCCACTTAGTTTCATCTCATAAAAGTCTTTGCACATTTCTTTGAATTCTTTATATTCCTCATTTCATTTTGTGCTTCTCATATTCCATTATATTCCTATAGCATAGCTTACTCAGCCATTGCCCAGGCACAAGGCACGTTGTTGTCCTTCCCCAGACCTCAGCTACACAGTTTTTTTGGTGCCGATTATTTCATTGGCAAGTGACATTGCTTTGTCCTCAGCTGCACATCCCAGATTCTTACCTGAGGAGTTTCTTTAGCCATTCAGATATAAATAATTATTTGAGGAGAGGAGGGAGAGTCACCCATGCACTCTGGGTTCCTTCATGTAATGCTTTATTGCTTTGTTAATTCTAGAAAGGGCACAGGCTAATACAAACTAAGGAAATACAAACTAAGAAAATGGACACAATCAATGACACTCTCCCCTTCCCCCCTTTTGGCAGCATGAGTTAATGATTGTGGCTATGGAGGGATGTTAGGAGACCTGGATTCATTTGGTGGTCTGAGTATTGTGTGACGCTGTCTGAGTTACTTTAACTTTCTGTAAAATGGGGGAAATACTAAATGTTGTTTCTCTCGCTTTGTAATGATCATAAGACCGTGGTATTTGGAGGTGAAAGGGACCTTGGAAACGATCTGGTCCAACTCCTTTATGTTATAGACGAGGCAGCTGAGGCCCGAGGGGGAGGGGATTTGCTGAAGGTCACACAGGTCCGAGGAGCAGACCTAGAATTCCAGCTGAGGTCTTCTGACTTTAAATCCAGGGCCCTTTCCCCTTAAATCCCACCCCTACTCCTTAGTGGTGGCAAGATGATGATTGAATCCTGCATAGCATGTGGGCACGTGGAGCTCTTTGGAAGGCAAGTGCCAAACACAAGCAACAGGACATCTGTTCTGTATAATCCTATCCAAAGAGAGAAATGACTTGCCTATGATCATGCTTGTCAGCATTAGAGGAGGCGTCAGAGCCCGTGCACAGCTACCTATAGAACTCTAGGACCCAAATGCATGAGCTTTGGAGGACGTGAATGAAGAGTCAACTAATAAGCCAATCTCTTTTACATCTGTTAGCACTCTAGATCTTGATGCTAGGAAGGACCTGAAAAGTCTGGACAGGGGGTAGAGGTGGAAATGAGGGGAATGTGTCTCTCTGTCCTAGAAGAGAAACAGCAGGCTCCTTTCTGTAAAAAGCTTCAGATGAGGCCTCTTCAGCTAAGCTTGTGTAAAATGCAAGCCAAGGGTCTTCTTCTAAAAGTATAAATTAAGTCTTTCCTGCTGTAGTTGAAAACTCATTGCTACCTGGCCTTTGATGCTTCTCTCTGTTGCTCCTGTGCTACACTGGGTTTTCAGATACCTTGGACTTTTTTTCCTGATCCTGCTTTCCAGAAAGAAGACAGAGAATTGGGTGTGTGTGAATCTACTTAACTTAAGAAAGTTCCCAAAAGCTTATGGGTCTGCAAGGCATGAGAGCCAGAATGTAAACCTTTTTGGGAGAAGAACTTTGTCTGCTTTGGCAATAAGGAGCACAAGCAAAGAATTAATTGATGAGCTGAGTTCCAACTAGAAAATAATTGTAATTGGTCTGGAAAGGTCTGGGGAAAGTGGTCCTGCAGTGCCCCTCAGTGGCCTAGGAGATGCATAGCCACAGAATAGGTCTCTTCAAATGGCTTGAATTGCCTTTGCCTGATAATTATTAACTCCCATATCTATGTTTTACAGTATGCAAGCAGATTACAAGGTGCTTCCTTTATAATGATTCTGTGAGACGAGATTCTATTCACTAATTGAGCTTTGGGGCAACTTCGTAGGGTAGATGTGTTTTTGGTTTTGTTTTTACTTTTAATTAGTTTATAGTAGGGTTTTTTTAAAAAAAACTTTATTAATTTATTTTTAGTTTTCAATGTTCACCTCCATAAGATTTTGAATTCTAAATTGTCTCCCCCTCTCTCTGCTCCCCCTTCCCCAAAACTGTGTGCAATCTGATATAGGCTCTACATATGTATTCATATTAAACATTTTCACATAAGTCATATTGTAAAGAAGAATTAGAACCAATGAGAGGAACCACAAGAAAGAAGAAACAAAACAACAACAAAAAAGAGAGCAAATAGTATGCTTTGATCTGCATTCAGACTCCACAGTTCTTTTTCTGGATGTAGATAGCATTTTCCATCATGAATCTGTTGGAGTTGTCTTAGATCCTTTCATTGCTTGAGAAGAAATAAGTCTATCAAAGTTAGTCATGCACAATGTTGCTGTTTCTGTGTACAGTGTTCTTCTGATTCTGTTCACTTCACTCAGCATCAGTTCATATAAATCTTTCCAGGTTTTTCTCATGTCTGCCTACTCATCATTTCTTATAGCACAGTAGTATTCCATTACATTGATATACTACAACTTGTTCAGCCATTCCCCAGTTAACGGGCATCCCTTCAATTTCCAATTCTTGGCCACCACAAAAAGAGCTGCCATAAATGTTTTTGTACATGTTGGTCTTTTTCCCATTTTTATGATCTCTTTGGGATACAGACCTAGAAGTGGTATTACTGGGTCAAAGGGTGTGCACATTTTTATAGCCCTTTGGGCAGAGTTCCAAATTGCTCTCTAGAATGGTTGGATCATTTCACAACTCCACCAACAATGCATTAGTGTTCCAATTTTCCCACATCTTCTCCAGCATTTACCATTTTACTGTTTTGTCATGTTAACCAATCTAATAGGTGTGATGTGGTACCTCAGTGTTGTTTTGATTTGCATTTCTCTAAACAATAGTGATTTAGAGCATTTTTTCATACAACTATAGATAGCTTTAATTTTTTCATCTGAAAACTGCCTGTTCATATCCTTTGACTATTTATCAATTGGGATACAGTAGGTTTTTACTTGTAGATATTCTCTCTCTGTGTACCATTTGCAGATTCAGTACCCTTTATTCTTTTTGATCTAGCCTTTATTTGAGTGTAGAGGAAAGTTCCTATGGAATAACTCTTTCTTGAGCAGGAGGCTTTGGGGATTTGGACCATTTGGCAAATTTTTCACCAAATTTGTGTTGGGCAAGGCTAACCAACCTGATAAAAGCTCCAAAACGACCTTTGGCTTCTAAGCCTATCTTATTGTGACTGCCCAAATGGGCAACACTGAGAGCTGCGTCTGTCTAATTTTCTTCATAAGTTCCTGGCTTTCCCTTGATCAAACAGGTTTTTTTTTTTTATGGGAGACAAAGACAACACACACACACACACACACACACACACACATTCTTTGTCTCCTATAAAAAATTCATGTATATGTATATTTTATACACACACACACACAAACACACACACACACACACACACACAGAGACACAGACACATGTCTGATGCTGGACTTCCTTGCATTCGTAGGAAGGCCAAAGGACTTGTTAATGGGTTTAGTTTCTGTTTCACTTTTCTGACCTGGATAGCTGTTTCAGCTGGTTGCTAAGATATAGCCTTCTTTAGACTAAAGGTGGACTTTCCCTTCCACATCAGGCCTAGTTGTCTCTAGTTGTCTACATATACAGTGCCCATTTCTGTGAATTTTGAATTTGTACCTGTGCAAAATGGAATCAGTTTTGAACCATCTATTAAAGTTTGCACCCATATGTGTAAGCAAGAAAAATAAGGTAAGAGAGCAGCCATTTCTTGGGACCCTACAATCTTCACTTACTCTCAGGTTCCCTCTTTCAACCCATCTGGGCTATTGCTTTAATAGCTTACCTTACAGCTTCTTATAGTTAGAAGACCTAAGAATCCTGATGTGATCTTGTAGAGACATTGAGATATAGGGGAGATGTGGGAGGGTCACTGTTTCATTGGGTTATCCTAAACATGATTAACTTTTCACATGAAGGATAGGCCCAAAAGGGTAGTTGTCAATGATGTTGCCTAGTAATTGATCCTAGAGTCCATTCTTGATTCCATCATTTAGGTGATAAATAGGATCATTGACTAAATATACTTATCATTTCTTTTAAATGATCTTAAATTTGGTAGGAGATTGTTAACCGTCTGGAACACAGGAATGATATTCCAAGTAACCAATCTCACTTACCAGACCCTTGTTAAACCATAACTCTTTTTAAAAATTTTGGAGGGTTTTTTTTAATGCCTCTTGTTTTTAAACCACATTCATTTCTGAATATATTTTTCTCCTTCTTTCCCCTATCCAGGAAGCCCTTCCTTAAAAACAAAGTTTACAACATAAAAAGTAAAAAAAAAAAGCATTTTGGTAAAACCAACCAACATATTGACCATGTCCACCTGTAACTCTTCTTTAAAATTATCAATTTATTTTTAGTTTTCGACATTCACTTCCATAAGATTTTGAGTTCTAAACTTTCTCCCCTTTCCCATTCCCCAAGATAGCATCCAATCTGATATAGGCTATCTACATATACATTCATATAAAACATATTTTTGCATTAATCATATTGTAAAAAGAATTAGAACCAATAGGAGGAACCACAAGAAAGAAGAAACAAACAAAAAGAGAGCAAATAGATTGCATTAGATTCCTTAGATTTTTTTCTGGATGTGGATAGCATTTCCCCTCATGAGTCTTTTGGAGTCTTCTGAGATCCTTACATTGCTGAGAAGAGCTAAGTCTATCAAAGTTAGTCATTGCACAGTGTTGCTGTTACTGTGTACAATGTTCTCCTGATTCTGTTCGCTTCATTCAGCATCAGTTCATGTAAGTCTTTCTAGGTATAACTCTTTTTCAAAGAGCATGTGGTAATACTGCAGAAAAGATTTATTAAAATACCCCCAGAGATGAATGATCAGTGCTACAGAAAAGTGATCTGTTGCCCAAGAAAGCTGAGTGTGCCTACCAGTATGACCTTGGGGAAGTCACTCAACCTCTTTGGGCATTAATTTTCTCATCTGTATAACAAGTGTGTTGGATTAGATGCTTGATGATCTCAAAAGTATGTTCCACCTGTCTCGTGCCTGTGGGCGTATGGTGGTAAGACTAGACTGCTATCTTCAGTTAGTTCTATGAGGTAGACATGAAGGAGTTTTATTATAATCACAGCAACAAAAATTTGGTTTAAACATGGGAATTTCTTGACTAATAGAGTAAGCCTTGAGTGATCCTTAAGTGATGCTGTGGAATCTGTCCTTAGAGATATTTAAGAGAGGGTGGTTTTTATATTTACCCGCTTTGATCTGACTCTAAGGCTGCTCTGTGCTCTTTCCTTTGATCTGTCAGTAGTATGTTTGTCCACCTTAGTGCCCTCTTACCCCGTGCTTTGATGTTCCATCTACCCCTTGGATCTTCATTCAGTCACTGTGATTAAAGGGAAGTAGTCAAAACCTTTATTAAAAGTGGTTTGTAGGGGCAGGTAGGGGACGCAGTGGATAGAGCACCAGCTCTGAAGTCAGGAGGACCTGAGTAAAATCTGGTCTCAGACCAGACATTTGACACTTACTAGCTGTGTGACCCTGGGCAGGTCACTTAACCCCAATTGAAAAAAAAAAGTGATTTGCAGTGTGGATGGGATGGGGGAAAAGGGTTGAAGGTATGCTTTTCTGTTTTGCACATAACTCTGTGAAACTCCTACACCCCACCAGGCATCTAAGACTTCGATGTCTTTGATATTTTGTCTTTAGTTTGGTAGATCCAAGGGACAGTGATATGTAAGGGAGGGAATGAATGGATGACTACCATTTGGCACTGAATTTAAGACGTACTTATTAGAAGCTTCATTCGCTTTTTGGGACTAAATGCTAATGGGCCAGGCTTAGGGATTCAGAATACAAACAGTGCTTACTCCTGCTTCCTATAATACATCCAAGTCAAGATTGGGGTCACCGTAAAATATCTAGAACTATCTAGTATTATCATTTTTGGAGGAAGTAGAGGAGAGAACTGAAGATAAAGCAAAGTTTCTTTGACTAAGAAACTAAAAAAGTTACTATATCTGGGGCCATCTCCAGTCATCCTGATCTGTATCTTGCCACTAGACCCAGATTTCTCCAGAGGAGAAAGTGAGGCTGGTGGCTTTGCACAGCCCTCCTTCACTTAAATCCAATTCACTTGCAAGTCATAGCATCACCTTCCTAATGGTGGTCGTCTTCGAGAATGAAGGTCAAACAACAACAACAACAAAAGTTGCTAATGGGTGCCCTAGGGAAACTGAGGAATATAGCTAGCTGTGTATCTTTATGGATAGGAACTGTCTGAGGGACTGAGCTGCAGTCTGAGTATCCATACCTAGGATTTTGTTGGAGAACCACTTTGTATTCACTTTATATATACTTTTACTTTATGGTTTTTGTATATACTTTTGTATATTTTATGAATATACTTGTATTTTTTGTGTTTATTTTGTGTTTACTTATCGTATGCATGTTGTTTTCCCCAATAGAATGTAAGCTCCTTAGTGTAGGCACTGTTTTATTTGGGTCTTTGTATCCCTAGCATCTGTCTCTGTGCCAGACACACAGTAGGAGTAAGCATTAATAAATGCTTACTGATTGATTGGGTTTGTTCTCTGGTTCTACATACTTCACTTTGCAGTTCATAAAAATCTCCTCATGTTTTTTCAAATTCCTCATATTTCTTGTGTAATATTATTCCAGCATATTCTCATTCCCATTTGTTTAGCCATTCTCCAAATGATGTAGGTCCCTTTATGTTCCCAGTTTTTTGCAGCCACAAAAATGCTGCTATTTACATTTTAGTATATATGGGGGCGTTCTTTCTGTTTTTGACTTTCTTGTGATGTGTGACAAGTAGTGGGACCTATATAGATCATGTCAGAGGATTATACCTTTTTTTTCCTCCTCTAACCTGAATTTTCATTGTATATTTAGTATATTATTATTCGTATAGCTTAGTGACTTCTTTCGCATAACTTCAAACTGTTCCCCAGAATTATTGGACCATTTCAAAGCTCTACCACCAGTGTATAAGTATGGCTATCTTCTTATCGCTTCTCCAACACTGATAATTTTTGTTTTTTATCATTTTTGCAGTTTGATTGGCAGAAGAAACCTTAGAATTATTTTAATTTATAGTTATCTTCTTAGTGATAGAGAGAGAACCTTTAAAACACGATTATTGATAGTTTGCAAGAACTTTATATCTTTGATCACTTATCTTTTGGGGAAAAGCTCAATGTACTTTTATGTACTTGTGCCAGTTACCAATAAAAGTTGTATATCACACTTTTATCAAAAATACTGAAGGTAAAGGCTTTTCTCCACTTCATAGTTTCTTTTCTAGATTCATTGATTTTGATCATACAAAAGCTTTTGACTTTGATGTATAGGCTATTTTAATCTCTTATGATCACCTTGGTTGCTTATTTAGTTAAGAATTTCCCTCCCTTCCCCCAGCCATTTTTGCAATAGGTACCTTCTTCCATTTTGCTATAGGTTTTTAAACTGATATTCCTGTAGTTTTAAAAAAAATGATATTGCCTTTTATTATTAGGTCACATGTCCATTTGGAGCTAGTTTGTGATATGTTATATAAGATATTAATCCAAACCTAATTTCTGCCAAATTGCTTTCTAGTTTTCCCAGCAGTATTCTAGGGTTTATCAAATACTGGAATACTGTGTTTTGCTTCAGAATCTTGCTTATCTATCCAGACTTGGTATTTAACAAACCAGTGTTGTTATCTTTAATAGCTGAGGCACTAAAATTTTCATTTTGAGAGACTGAGTTTCAACTACACTGCCCATTCTGGGGCTAGATTTTTTAATTCACTATTTTAAGGGTTTGATCATGAAAGCCAAGCCTGGTTTCGATAATAAATCTTTGCTAGAAAATTGTTGGCTTCTGTATCCTTCAGAGCCTTCTGTTAGCTACTGGCTTCTCCAACCTGGTGTTTTCTTGATTTTCCTTGTGTTTAGCTCTTTGTTCACTTAGTTTCTCTTTTGAGTAAGACTTGAGTGACTGAAAAGAAGACACCCAGGGGTTGGGTAAACAATCTGGAATGAAGGCTCCTGAATCTCCTTCTCAGCTTTTCTGCACCTCTCTTGACCCACTTTGTTCTCCTGGTCATGGCCTAAGCAAATTCAGAGTCAACAGATATTTATTAAGCAGGTTGGCCTTAGTGACTTAGGTCAAGTCATCCCTGCCCTGGTAAGAAAGAGCTTCTCTGGGAGTTCTCCCTTTGCTTTTCCTTCAGTTTCTAGCTTTGCTACATGCAGAATCCTTGAACCAAGATGTTCTCTCTGCTGTGTGCTATTGGCCAAATACTTTTTATTCTCTTGCTCTCCTTACTTCTGATTACATCTTCTATTGCATTGAACATGCTTTACTCTTTTTACATAGGTGGAATCTCTAGTGACAGGGAAAAGAATTCAGTCTCTTCTCCACCCCTTCTTTTCCTTTCCTACAGAGATGGCAGGCACACAATAGGGAAACCACTGAATTCTGTTCTTCTTGTGTGCATAAAGAAAATAGATTCTTAAACTTGGGGGTCGGGCAGGGAATGTTAGGCCCAGGGCCACGTCCTCCAATAGCAGTTGTTTCTTAGTAATCAGAAGGGGTCCAGCAGGAGGGGAGTCAGAAGGTCACTACCTTAGGACTCAGAGATATATTTTTAGACTCTGATTAGAAGAAGGATCTGAGTGGGGTTCCTACAAACTCAGAGTGAAACTGGGCTGACATTACTTCCCTTTAATACAAGCTAGGGCTGCAGCTTTGACTGGGTGGCCTTGTAACCCATGAGAGCAGAAACACTGAGATCCTCACCAGAGCTCCAGCCTGAGGGGCTGTGCCTAGTAGGCCTGAGCATCTTAGAATAGGATCTTTTTGGTGCTTGAGGACTAGACTGTCTTATGTGGGCTTCCAGACAGATTCACCTTACGCTACATTCTGCTAGTCAGTGCAGAATATTCTTATGAGGTACCTGTTGACTTTGTCAATATTTGATCATTGTGATCCATTAAACTGATTTTGTTTCAGAGTGCTGTATTTTGAAATAATACTCCCTTTATGTATATTTTTAAAAGTCAATAAATTCTGTTTTCTATTTTTTTCTTAGGATTTAATGACTTTTGAACACCAGTGGACCAACTTCTTTGCTAATTTTGACACAGAAATCCCCTTCCTACTGGAACTTTCAGAGTTCCAAGCGGGTGAGGTATGTATGTATAGTTACGGAAGAGAGTGCGGGGAGTAGGAAAGAAATGACTGGAGGAGGAGGAATGATGTAGGATGATAGAGGATTGGTTGGTTTATGATTTGAGGCTGTCATTTTTAAAATTTAGAGTTGTTACTGCTGATTAATTCCCACTATCAGGCCCCTAGACTTTCCCAGATAGTTGCTTTAGAAAAGTGGGCATGTTGCTTTTTGAGTCTTTAGGATACAGAGTTCTGTCTTGGTGTGGGGTTTGTTCTTAATCACCAAGGTCTCTTTAGTTAGGTCTCACAATGACCTCAAAGGTATAAGTAGTGTATTTGTGCTAGCTGGTCCTCCAGGTACCATAAGCCCACTCTTTTAGAGAAACTAGAAGGAACGGTGAAAAAATAAAGGATAGGAGGATATCAGCATATTTTGGGTCAAAATAGGGAGAAACAGAGGTGATCATAAGACTATACTATAGACCACCTATACAGAAAGAGGAAATAGATGAAAAGTTTGGGAAACAGATACAAGCCTGCACAGAGACGTGACGGAATAGTGATAGGGGACTTTAGCCATTCAGACATCTGCTGAAGCTCTCTCCCTCTCTCTGCCAAAAACAGCAGTTAATAACCCCTTGACTTGCTGTAGACATATTTATATCCTTCAGAAGGTGGAGGAACAAACAAGGGGAAATTCTATTCTGGATCTTATTCTCACTAACAGAGAAGGAACTTGTACCTGGGGTGGGAATGATGGAAACCTGAGGTAGGTAGGAAGTGCTTTTCTCTCCTTGATTTGTGATAGAAAAGGAGAGGTAGTCTGGATGTTGTCTGACATGCATCCTAGATCTTAGGAAAGCATATTTAAAAGAGTTTGGAAAAAAGGTAGGTGGGATCCCATGGACTAAAATGTTTCAGAGGAAGTCACTCCAAAAAGGATGGGAGATGCTCATGGAATTCTTTTTAAAAATTCTTTTTAAAAAAATTTATTTTTATCTTTTTTTAAAATTAATTTTTAGTTTTCAACATTCACTTCCATAAGATTTTGAGTTCCAAATTTTCTCCCCATCCCTCCTCTCCCTCCACCCAAAGACGCCAGCAATTTGTATAGGCTCTACATATACATTTATATTAAACCTATTTTCATGTTAATCATGTTGTAAAGAAGAATTAGAACCAGTGGGAGAAACAATGAGAAAAAGAAGAGAGAGCACATAATATGCTTCGATCTGCATTCAGACTATGTAGTTCCTTTTCTGGATGTGGACAGAATTTGCCTTCATGAGTCTTTTGGTGTTGGCTTAGATCCTTGCATTGCTTGAGAAGAGTTAAGTCTATCAAAGGTAGTCATCGAACAATGTGGCTGTTATTGTGTATAATGTTCTCCTGGTTCTACTCACTTTACTCCGCATCAGTTCATATAAGTCTTTCCAGGTTTTTCTAAAGTCTGCCTGCTCATCATTTCTTATAGCACAATAGTATTCCATTACATTCATATACCACAACTTGTTCAGCCATTCCCCAACTAACAGGCATCCCCTTAATTTCCAATTCTTGGCCACCACAAAAAGAGCCACTGAAATCAAGAATGGAGTTCTAAAGACACAAAAGGAAACAATTCCAGCGAGGAGGAATTGTCTGAATGTGGATGCACAGGAAACTCACCTGGATTTTAAAAAGAAATGTACAAAAGATGAAAGCTAGGCCAGGTAACAGAGAATGAATATGAGTATGGCATGTTCCTGTAAAAAAAATAGCGTCAGGAATAGTAAAACTCAAATGAGCTCAGACTGTCAAGGGAGGCTAAACACAGCAAAAAGTATTTTAAGCTATATTGCAAGAAAGGAGAGGATCACAGAAGGGATAAGGCCTTTGCTTGGAGTGGATGGAATGACCAACAAGGAGTGGATATGCAAGATAAATGAAGAGTCCTTGATGAATCCAGGTCAGGTCGCATCACCTGCCTCACTGACATCCTCAGGAAAGAACTGAGAAATATGACGACTGAGCCACTGCCAGTGATGTTTGAAAGATCATGGAAAATACGAGAGGTACAGATTTGAGAAGGGTAAATTGTGTTTTGGTTTTCAAGAAGGGAGAAGAGATCAGAGTCTACACACTAAAGGTCAGTGGAATTGACTGATTCCTGAGAATACTCTAAGAGAGATTATTAAAGAGATGGGTGGTAAACATGTAGAAAGAGAAACACTGATCACAAAGAATCAGTCATGGCAGACCACTTTCATTTCCTTTATGACAGCTTACTAAACTAGGAGATGAGAGGAGGATGCTGCAGATATAGCTTACCTAGATTTTAGCAAACCTCTTGATAAAGTTGACATGCTATTCTTGTGGAGAAGATAAAGAGGTGGGGATTTGACAGTAATACAAGCAGATGTATTCAGAACTGGTTGGGTGGCTGGACTCAAAGAATAATTAGTTGTTAATAGTTCAGCGTCAACATAGCAGGATGTCTCCAGAGATCTGTGCTTGACCATGTTCTATTTATCATTTTTATCAATGACATGGATAAACACATACTTTATGTGCTCAGTAATTTAGAGATTACACAGAGTCGGGAGAGATAGTTAACACATCAGATGACAGGATCCAAAAGTAACTTAATAGCCTAGAATATTGAGCTAAATCTAATGAGATGAAATTCAGTAGGCATAAATATAAAGTCTTGCACTTGGGTACAAAAAATCACTTTTACAAGTGTAAGATAGTGAAGGCACTGATAGCAGTTCTAAAAAAGATCTGGGGATTTTAGTGCATGCAAGCTCAATATTAGTCAGCACTGTGATGGACATCACTTCTATGAATAGGGAGGTGATAGGCCTATTGTACTGTCCCCTCTACTGGAATATTGTGTTCATTTTGGGACACGACGGATTAAGATGGAAGGTATCCAGAGGAGAATAGCTAAGATAGTGAAGGGGCAAAGTCCTTGTCTTATACGGGTCAGTTGAAGAATTAGACACATTTAGCCTGCAGAAGAGAAGACTGAATTGGGGGCCATGATAGCTATCTTCAAGTATGTGAAAATTTGTCATGTGGAAGAGGGTTTATATTCTCTTTGGCCCCAGAGGGCAGAACTAGAAACACTGAGTGGAAGATGCAAAGAAGCAAATTTTGACTGGATGTCAGGAAAAACTTCTTAATAATGAGAGTGTTCAAAAGTGGAATGGGCTGCCCTAGGAGGCGGTGGGATCCCTTTCTTTAGTGGTCTTTAAGGAGAGGCTGGACGACTGCTTATTGGGTATTTTATAATGGGGACTTCTGCGGTATATGAGTTAGACTAGATGAATACTGAGATTCCGTCTAGTTGTCAAATTATGTAAAATAGCTGTGAGACTCGGTGAAGGGTGGGGAAATGGAGGGGGTCAGTACTAGGAACCAGAGGAGTCATGTCAGCAGGTTTAATTAATAACCAAGAAGCAGACTAGGCTTTTGGACCTTGCAATGAGGATTCAAGATAGCCTGATGTTGTGTGTTCTTGTAACAAAATTTTTTAATGGCATAACTAGCTGAGATATAACCTCAGCTCTCCTGGGCAGGGCACAGCCTGTAACTCATTGTAAGGTGAGCAAGTGTTCACATTTTGACCAGGTCAGGAGTCAAAAGATAGACTCTGTCTCTCTTTTTTGGCCAAGATTAGAGACATCTGGGGAAAGGGCCAGATTACCTTAATTTTTTTTTTAATTTAAACTGTAGGTAACTAAGTTGGTAAGAATTCACTTCATGCCAACTCATTTTGCCTAATGTTCATTTTTCTTAGTTTGGTAGTAAAATGAACTGATCAGTCAGTCAATCAATAAACATCTACTACATTCCAGGCACTGTGCTAAGCCCTGAGGGAACAAAAGAGGCAGAAGACAGTTCCTATCCTTAGGGAGTTTGCAATCTAATGGAGCAGACAACAGTTTAACAAATATGTGCAAACAAGCTATGTATAGGATAAATAGGAAATAATTTAGAGAGGGAAGGCACTAGAATTAAGAGGGTTTGGGAAAGGCTTCCTGTAGAAGATGAGATTTTAGCTGGATTTAAGAAGTCAGGGAAGATAGTGGGTGGAGCTGAGGGAGAGAGCATTCCAAGCATGGTAGATAGCCAGAGAAAATGCCCAGAGCTGAGATGCAGTGTTTTGGTTCGAGGAATAGCCAGGAGGCCAATGTCATTGATTGAAGAATAGATAGCAGGGAGTAGGGGTGTAAGAAGACTGGAAAAGTGGGAGGAGGCTAGGTTATGAAGGGCTTTGAATGACGGAGGCCTTTGTATTTGATCCTAAAGGTGATAGGGAGCCACTGGAGTTTATTGAGTAGTGGGGTGAAATAATTGGATCTGCATTTCAGGGAAATCACTTTAGTGGCTGAATGGAGGATGGATTGGAGTGAGGGGAGACTTGAGATGGGTAGACCCACCTGCAGGCCATTGCAGTAGTCCAGGTGTGAGGTGTTGAGGGCTTGCACCAAGGTGGTAGCAGTGACACAGGAGAGAAGGGGTCTTACTTGAGAGATGTTGTGAAGGTGAAATCAACAGACTTCGCAACAGAGATTGAATATGGATATCCATTTCAAGATGTCTGCAAGGCATTTGGAGATGTGAGATTGAAGGTCAGTAGAAAGGTTGGGGCAGAAGCAGTAGGTTTGAGAATCACTGGTATGGAGATGGTAATTAAATCCATGGGAACTGTTGAAATCACCAAATGTAGTGTAGAGGGAGAAGGAAATGATCCAGGACAGAACCTGAGGGACACCTAAGGTTCGAGGGTGTGAAATGGAGGAAAATCCAACAGAGGAGACAGAACAGGATTGGTCGGATAGGTAGGAAGAGAACCAGGAGAGAATGGTCTCCTGAAAGCCTCCAGAGAAGAGTATCGAGGAGGAGAGAGTGATCAACATGTCATAGGCTATGGAGAGATCTAAGAGGAAGAGGATTGGCAGCCAGGAGATGAAGAGTAGATTAGGAGAGAGCAGTTTTGGTAGAATGATAAGATCTCAAGCCAGATTGTAAAGGGTTATGAAAAGAGTGAGAGGAGAGAGAGTGGAGACACCTAGTGTAGATGGCTTTTTTGAGTTTAGCTACAAAGCGAAAGACATAGAGAATGATAGTGGAAGTGGAAGGGTCAGCTGAAAGTTTTGCAGGTGGAGAGGAGCCATGGACATGTTTGTAGGCAGTAGGAAATGAGCCAGTAGACAGGGAGAGCACATATCCATGTTTTAGCTGAGTTTGCCATAAATTATTTAATTCAGTGTCTCAAAGCTTAGAACTTTCTCCCAATCCATTGCCTCCAGACTCTCCTTCCCACAAAACTTGATGAAATTTTCCATGATTAAATAAAAGTGAGATGTGGAATCCCTTCTGACAGTCTGGTAACTAACAAACCCATTTCCAATCTAAATTTTTTATTTTATTTTTTAAAAAGCATTAGTTTGTTGAGAACATAAATGCAAATCAGCCTTAGGCTTTCTTATGAAATTCAGGTAGTGTTCAACCCAGCATCCTACTAAGGGAACCTGAAATACGATGAGTTTAGAGGAATTTGTTATGCTAAGTTTATTTCCATTTTCAATTTCATGTTAAAACTTGAAGTGTTTTCAGCTACCCTCAAGTAATTCCCTAGACTTATAAATTTAGAACGTGAGATTTCAAAGCAAACTCTGATTTGGGGCTACTTTTTGCTTAATTATTCTCTAAGTGATTTTCCTAAAAGCATAGTCTATGTCCTTCCCCTTCTCAGTGTGGCTTCTAGGATCAAGTACAAATTATTGTGTTTGCTTGGCATCCTTGACAACCTGACTCCAGTTTACCTTTCCAGCCTGGTTATAGATTATTCTCTCTCATGCCTCTGATCCATAAAGTGGCATTCTTGCTGTTAGAAGCAGTTAGGTGGTACAATAGCTGGAAAGAAGGCTGGATCTGGAGCCATGAAGACTTGAAGTAAAATCTGGCCTGAGATACTCATTAGCTGTGTGGCCCTGGGCAAGTCACTTCACCTCTGATTGCCTTAGTTTCTTCAACTGTAAAATGGGGATAATAACAGCATCTGTTCCCCAGGGTTGTTATGAAGGTCAGTGAGATGATGTTTGTCTGGTGCTTCACACAGGGCCTGGTACACCGAGGCACTTAATTAGTCCTTATCCCCTCTTCTCCCTTCTTTTTTTTCCTCCTCTCCTCTCTTCGTGCTGTTCCTCCCACGTGACCCTCTGCATCCTGTCTCCTTGCTTTTCTGCTGGCTGCCTGACCCTAATGTCTAGCATACCCTTCCCTGCCTCGGCCCCATAGAACCTTGTTTCTTTCAAAGCTCAGCTCAAGTGCTGCTTTCTACATGGCACCCTTCCTGATGGCCCTGAGCTGCTTTGTACTTTTTTAATTTGCACTTGTATGTGTACGTGTTGTTTCCCCTATTAAAATGTAAGATCTCTGATGACCGTTCTTCTTGGGCATCTAGCACAGTGCCTGACACAAATAAAGTGTTTAATGAATGCTTAGAGATTGGTTGATACCCACCAGTTGTTTGATGGGAAGTGCTAAGTCAAAATCAGTCATACATTTTATCTAGGAGTTTCCTTTCTGTGAATAAAAGCCTTAAAAATATGCTTGGGGTTTTTTTTGTAGCCATTCCGAAGTTACTTCAGTCATGGAATGCTCTCCAGCCACATTACCGACAATAGGTAAGGATGTTCATCGGGCTATAGCAAATATCTCTACTTTTCTCTGGTGTCAGGTGTGTTATGGTTTGTTATTTACAAAACTGTTCTATTTTAGCAAAGATTTCCTACGAGCTTGACTTGTATATGAAACTGGTCTAAACCTTTAGGGCAACTAATGGTGATAAGTTTGACTGTTTGTTTTGTTTGTGGGGCCATTGTTTGACCATGAACAGGGTGTGTCTTATCAGTTGCCTCAGAGTTTGCCGTTTTGGTCCTCAGGGCTCCTACTTCAGGAGGAGGGAAACCTGCTTATGGGGACAAGGGACAGACTGTGGCCCTAGGTCTTCTCTTGGTTCTATCCCATTGTAACACCACCAGGAACACTAGCTCTTCATTCTGTGATGGAGGTAGCTAAGGCTGGAGATTCAGAAGGAAAAGGAAAATCATTTTTTCTTTTAAAAACTGCCCCAATCTACCCCACCCCAATACATGCTTAAAGATAGCAAACAGTTTTAACCTAAGAAAGGGTAAGGACAACAAAACTAAATGTTTTACAGCATGAGCCACGGCCATGACATAAAAAATAATTTTCCACAAAAATGGAAATTTACCCTATTTACCCTAATGGAATTGTAATATCCGGGAAGAATCTTTTGTAAGATGAATTATGGAAGGAATTCTGATTTCTCTTCAGGGGAAAAAACAAGCCTCAGACATGACTGGCTAGGTAAAGCAGCAGCAGATATAAGTGAGAGACTGTCAAGAGGGGAGTCTGGGCAGGTCTGGTCTTGAGATGAGGAAGACAAGAGGGTAGCAGTCAGTGAGCCTGGTAAACAGAAAACTCAGCTAGTACCCAGTGAGAAGCTCCTGTGTCTGAAGTACCTTTTACTGGTGAAAAGCCACTTGAGGCACTGAACATTGATGCTGTTGCTGTCCAGGGAGTAGGTATAATTATAATAACTGCCAGCATTTTCACAGCAATTTATAAACATTACCTCATTTGGTCCTCCTAGCAACCCTGAGAGGTAGCTGCTGTTATCATCCCCATTTTATAGATAAGATACTTGCACAAGATCACACGGCTAGTAAGTATCTGAGGCTGAATTTGAACTCGGGTCTTCTAGAACTCCAGGCCTGACACACTATACCTTGCACCACCTAGCTTTCTGAATTGAAGCTTTATATAACCTGTGAAGGGCGGCTAGGTGGCCCAGTGGGTAAAGTGCTGGGCCTGGAATTAGAAAGACTTACCTTTGTGAGTTCAAATTTGGCCTCAGACACTTATTAGCTATATGATGTTGAGCAAGTCACTTAACCCTGTTTGCCTCAGTTTCCTCATCTGTGAAATGAGCTGGAGAAATGAGCAAATCATTGCAGTATCTTTGCTAAGAAAACTCCAAATGAAGTCACAGCTGAAAAGCAACTGAACAATAACAGTAACCTATTGCTCAGAACGGTCACTCTCAATTTACGTCTTGGAAGCTTATTTTTTTTGGCTCATGTCCCAATCCGGGATTTCTGTGGAAACATCAAGATTTGGCTTGTGTCTAGGTCTACCCACAGAAAATCGAAAGGGCCCTCAGGTCCCATTGCAAGCACTCAGGCTAACAAAGTATCCAATGTAGAACAGGCTTTGTTTAACGTGACAAAAAAACCAAAAGGTAATATGTTCATCCAGAAACAATTAAGACAAGTTTCCTTCCTTTTTATTTGAACTACCCCATTCACCCAGAAGGAGAAAAGTTGTGTCGCTTAGAGATTCAGGCTGGTCAGGCCCCTCTCTCCTCCCCGCTCCTATCCCCCCACCCAGTAAATCTCTCTCAGCTTCTTACATGGTCCTCCAGATTTATGCTACTACTTGAAATTTAACATCTGACTAAATTATTCAGCTGATAATTATCAAAGTCACCTCTAAACTGCCAAATCTGATGACGTTTTATTATCTTTCTTGACTCTCTGTAGCATTGGCACTGTTGGCTACTCTCTCCTTCTAGATATTTTTTTCCTGTTGGAAACTTTATGATACTGCTCTTTCCTAGTTCTCCTGTCTATCTGACCACTCCTCTCTCCCCTTTGCCGAATCATCCTTCAGAGATATCCCCTAATTATGGGTGTTACTCTGTGTTGAGCCCCCTTTTTCAGTCTCTCACTTGCTGACCTCATCAGCTCCCATGGATACTTGACATTTCTATGTAGGTGCCTCCTGAGATCTATATTTCTAGTCCTAGACTCTCTCAAGAGTCCAATATCACCAGATGCTTGTTGGACATTTTGAACTGTAGGTCCTTCAGGCAACATAGCTGAAAAGCAAAACAACAACAACAAAACTTAGCTGCCTCCCCCATCTGTCTTCCAAGCCTGTCTTTTTCTGTGGAGGGTGGCACCATCTTTCCTGTAACCCAGGTATCACCCTCAACTCCTTAATTTATTCCATCCTGTATATTTAATCCGATGCCACATGACCTTCATAACTACTCGCCTAAACTATTGCAACAACCTTCTAATTGGCCTCCCTGCCTCAAGTCTCTCCCCATTCTGATGCATCCTCTCCATAGTTGCCAAAGTGATTTTCCCAAAGATCAGGTCAGGTCTGTTCAACATATCACTCCCTTTATCAGTAAACCTGAGTGGCTCCTAATTGTCTCTAGGATCAAATGCAGATTTCTCCATTTATCATTTAAATCCTTTCACAACCTGAGCCCAGCCTCTCTTTTTAGACTTATTCCATATTACTTCCCAGTCACTGCAATGGTGTCACGGAAGACAATGCTACCTTTCACCAAACATTTTTCGTGATCTTGTGATGAGGCAGATGCCTTAATGACCTTAAGGAAATTGCTTGTATAGAGGAATAGGGAGCTGTCCTTTTTTTCCTCAAAGAGTAACTTTTCCCAAGCAGAATGTCCTAATGAAATATTGTTAATTGCTTGTTTAGCCCAAACAGGCAGCCATTTGTTCTTTTTGGTTGCCACTCAACTGGAGAAAACCTCAATGCCAGCAACTTCAACTTTCCTTCTGAGGGGCATCTGGTGCGGAACACCGGCGTGGGAGGCAGTGCTGCCAAGCACATGGTGAGTCACCGTTGCCCCCTCTGGGCACTGGGAATTTGCCATCAGGCAGTGGAGGTGTGCGGCTGAGGCGCCAGCTTTCATGGGTTCATGCCAGTTTAGCCATTATCTCGAAGGGGCTGTGGGGCTGAGGAGGGAGTTGGTTGGCAATTAGGTCTGTTAATTTTATAGCATTTCCAAATGAATTTTTAAAAATAGTGGAAGGGAGAGTTGTGGCATTTCGGTCATTAAGAATTGAGGGTTTTCCTGTATACTCTTTGGTGTTGCCACATCATCTCTGTCACATGAGAAAGGAAGAGAGGTTGAGACGCTATTGTGTTCATTTTACAGACAGAGCCAGAGAGAGGCTGTAACTTAGGGGGAGAGGGGTGGGATCAGGAACCTCAGGGACGGGGGCAGGGGGGGGGGCGGAACAGGTCCTAGGATTGAGACGTCCAGTCTCCGGAAGCTCTGGTGTAGGTGCTTAGTCTGGTGAAAGCAAATGCTGTCTGTGGCCATAGGCTCTGAGAAAACAGACAGAGCTGGCTGACAGCATTTTGACATCCTTGTGTGAGAAAAAGGGACTCTTTTGAACCTCTAGAAGATAGCACATAATGTCAGCTTGCCTTTCTGAGCCCGTTTCAGGGGAGGGAAATAAATTTGATTTTGAATCATACAGAACCATATTCGATTCCCAGATTCTTCACATTGTATATACTCCCTGAAAAAGTTAAACAAAACAGCAAAAAGAGTGATGTAAGCATACTTTTTAGCAACATAAGCAAAATCAATAATTAAAGCAGAGGGGGTTGGGAGAACGGTTTTTTATGGGGGTAAACTTTTTTTTTTTAATAACAAATTGGCTGTTGGAAAATCTTCATTGGTATCCTTTTTCCATGTCAGTATCAGCCCCAGCCCCATTTCTCTCTGTTTCTTCCCGATGCCCAGGTTGTGCAGTGTGTCTCTCCAAAAGGACCCCTTGCTTGTTCAAGAACCTATTTTTTTGGAGCCTCTCACATTCCTGATTTAGGTAAGGGTCTCAAATTCATCATATCTGCAGTTTATATAATTAATACCTCCTCCTTCACAGATGGCTGTGACTTCTAGGTTTACTAAAGCTCCTTGTGCTGAAGACAGATTTTGTGTCAGATTGACGTATCTAGAATAAGAAGGGAAGTTGTCAAATGAGAAAAAAATCTTTGTATCATATTTCTCAGATAAGGATTTGATATCCAAAATATATAGACAGCTGACACGCATGCATACATATATACATACCTACATACGTGTTTGTAGACATACACTAACACATATGTTTACTACTTATTGTTAATAACTTTTGGTGGTTCTTTTGAGACCTATTTATTCATATCCTTTGACCACTTATATATTGGAAAATGGTTGTATATGTATGTATATACACACACATGTACACACATATAAATACAAATAGTTTTCAAAAGGATAATTGAAAACTGTTAACAACTATGTGAAAGAATGCTCCAAATCACTTTTAAGAATCAAAACAGCCCTGAGATTGGTTTTTTCTTTGTTCTTTTTATAAATTTATTTATTTATTTTTAGTTTTCAATATTCACTTCCATAAGATTTTGAGTTCCAAATTTTCTTCCCATCTCTCCCCTCCCCCTACTCCAAGATGGCATGTAAATTGATATAGGCTCAATATATGCATTCATATGAAACCTATAGGTTGTTTTTTTGTTTTTCAACTCTGAGGTTTTACCACATACCCAGCAAATTGGGAAAAATGACAAAAGATGGAAATAGTCAATGTTGGAGGAATTTTGAGAAGATAGACTCTCTAATGTGTTATTGGTAAAGCTATAAATTAGGACAACCATTTTGGAAATTAATTTGAAATTAGGCAATCAAAGTGACCCAGAGATTCTACTACTAGGCTTATTTGTATTCCCTGGCATAAGTCTTTGGTAAGAAGAAAGCCTCCATATACACCAAAATATTTATAACAACTTTTTGTGGTAGCAAAGAATTGAAACATAGTCCAATTCATTAGGAAATGACTAAACAAATTGTGGTACATAAATGTAATGGACTATTACTGTGCTGTAAGAAACTGCAACTATATTAGATACAGAGAAGCAAGGAAAGATTTACATGATCTGATGCAGAGTGAAGTAAAACAATGTACACAATGATTACTACGATGTAAGTGGAAGGAACAAGCAACAAACGATCAAAAGTGAACGCTGTAAAATTACAAACAGGCACAGTGCCGAAGAAGAGAAAGGAGGAAATACCTCCATCCCACTTCTTTGCGGAGTTGGGAAGTCCATGGATACACACCCTGTGTGTACATTTTTAGACTTTTTTGATATATTCATTGGTTTTTCTATTTCTTTAAAAATAAATATTTCTTACCTGATAAGGCTTTCTGAGATGGGAGAGGAGGGCAGAAATACTGGGAGAAATTCTGGTAATGTAAACAACAAAAGGTAGCAATAAAAATTAAAAACAGAACAGATTACTTTTCAGGTGTTAATATATAAGAATTTGGGAACTTTAGGAGGAATCACAGTTTATGTTGGTATTAAGAGGAAGAGGCAGAATGAATTCTGACGCATGGTTCATGGAAGCTTCGTAACTTTAAAGAGTCCACAGAAGCCGACCACAAAACTGAACCATTCATTTTATAGCTCTTAGGCCTTTGCTTTGGTAGTTTAAGCTGGTGGTTGGGCTCAGGTACTGAGAATGTGGAATGCCCCAGAGCATAATGGGATGAAGGGGGCACGGAAGATTGGCATACCCTGGAGTAGATACCATTCATTTAAAACCAACAGACAAAAAACCTTAAAAGAGGAATCGTGTGACTTCTTTCAGAGCCTGGAATGCTTGACCTTTTCTGAAGCCCAGAAGTTCCAGACTCCTTCAGGAATATTTAAAAACCTTGAGTTTTAACACATTTCTTAATATTGTTTGTTTTGTAGGAAGCACCGGTGAATTGCCCAAGAAAAACATGCAAGTGTAAGTTATTTCCCTTGGTTTTTCCTTCCTTGCCATTTGGTGATTCCTGAGATGTAATCATTGTGTCAGAGCCTTTACTGGGACTGACATTAGATTCCTAGAAGGGAGTAAGCAGAGCCTGGCACTTGTTGTGGGGTCCCTAGATGGACTGCTCCCATTTGGTACCCATGTACCACTGAATGCCTGGGTCTGCTCGTACTGCTTTGTCGTGGATGATTGCTGGGCTGAGCTGCTTTGCTACCCTGGCTGTTTCTCAGTGTGTTTATGAGAACTTAGGATTGCCAGTGGTTGCCGGTGGAGAATGTCCATTTGAATGATGTGAGAGCACTATAAAGTTTTTCCCATTACTTCTGTACAGATTCTCTAAGAAGTAGGGAGCAGGAAAACAATTTGGTTTGAGTGGATCTGCAAGAAGCATTGAGTTTGGAATAGGAATCTTTAATTTAGGCTTGGCATGCAAGTTAGACTTAATTGCTCTTGGTTTGGATAATGTCTTTTTAAACTGAGTGAATGGAGTTTAGAAGTCAGTGTTCAGCATCTTCTAGTTCATTCAGCCTAGAATAAGTCTGTCCTATAAGCAGAATAGTTGAGTATACATACTCTGCTGTGGAATTGTCTGCTATCTCCTTCTGTGGGAGAACTTTTCTCCCTTTTGCAGGAGCAAAAATGCAAAGTCACCTGTAATTCTTGTTTCAGGCGCATGAGGACCTCTTTGTCCAGTTTCAACCACTTCTTTTGGGTTGATTCATAAATGAAATTTCAAATATTTTGGGTTATTGTTTTGTGGCATTTCCCCTAATATATTTGAGTTCCCTTTTTACTTTATACTGTACCTGCAGTTGATTCCTTTGTTAACTAGACCTGTGTGACCTAAACCCAACATTGTTGGTCCCACTTGGGATCATGTAGTTCTGGCAAAAGTAGAAGCAGATGTATCCTAAACAAGAGAACATGTCCCTGTCTCTTAGTTACCAAGTTAAGTGGCCCCCATAGCAAGAATCCTATCTGTTGACATGGTTATTTGCCAGCTGTGTGAAGGGGCATGGTTTGGAAATTCTCATCAGGGTGAAGAAATATCAATGAAGAATGATGTAGTTCTAGAACCTTTTGCATTGAGGGAGAAAGTATAGCAAGATTAACCCTACAGAGGTGATCTCTGATTGTATTTGGGGCCAGCATCTGTGAAACTCTACATTTAATGTTTGTGTATATGCCTCAGGAACCAAATATTAGGCATAGCCCCTAGACTGTGTCTAGTGTTAGGCAATGCAGACATCCCTAGGGCGTGAGCTGACTGTTTTGAAGGTTACTTTTTATACTTTGTCCTTTTAGTGTTTCGTATCTGACAATACTAGTATGCATTGGTGTGTGATATGTTTATTTTCCCAAAAAAATTCTTCCTGTGAACTTAATAGCTACTACTTTCTTCATATGCAGCTATTTTTGTCCTGTAGTCACTAAGAGTTCATATTCTTCATGACAAACATATGAGTTCAGTTTTCCCCTTAGGTCTTATGTCTCTAAAATTGACCATCTGTGCCTTCACAACAGCTTGGTGGTACCCCCACTGAGGAGCAAAACTCTCAAGGTTTGGGGAGCCATAAATGTCTACAGGATTTGTCCTTTCCAACCCTGGCAGGACTGACTTGATAAGCTTTCTCTTGGGGCCCTTAAAAGTGGCCAGTAGTTTGAGAGAGATCATCTTAGACCACTTTTCATTCTATACCTGGGTGTAGACAGCTCATCTACAGGCGATCTCTTGGGCCTGGGACCTGGAATTAGGCCATTGCCTTTATTATGTCTAATTCCTGGCATTGAAACTTTCTCCATATGTGACACATAAGAGGGAAATCCCTTCATCCGTTGTGCTAAAGAACCATTCTCTGTAAGACACTGCCTTAGGTGTAGATTAACGTGTAGAGGTCTGCCATAACCCTCCTAAGAAGGGGCAAAGTTTGTTTGAATATTCCTGCCTGGCATTACTAACATATATCAATTAGAATATGGTGCAGTGGAAAGACCCCTGGACACTTGGGTTCTGTGAATTTCAATACCCTTATCAGTAAAACAGGGGGACTTGAATTCTATGAATATGTAACAATTTTAAAATTGAAAGAAAAATAAGTTTAACTTGTTGAGGTTCACATCTGATGCCTTATAAGCATTTTATACCTTTATGTGCCTTGATTAAATCTGTCGGTGCTTCTGCTGACCTTCTCTCACAGTTCTTTCCCCCTACAGCAGGCAAAACAACAGGGTGGGCACCCAGTTCCTCCTAAGGGTGCCATTACTCCCATTCTTTTGTGGATAGGTTGTGTTATGGGCTAATTCATTCTAGATTTCCAGTTCTCCCAAGTGGCCAGAATCTTCATAGACTCTCCTGGAGCTCTCCAGGCCTACTGAAGATGATGATTATCAGGTGTATCCATTGTACATATGCTGGCCTAGGTTGTGTTTAGCCACCTGTTTAGGAAGTGTTCAAAATCTGGCTAAACTATGAACCTCAAGGCTGCCTTTGCATGGTTTCTACCTTCCTTGCTCATCCAGACTGAACCAGTCTTAATCCCTCGCCCAAGAAACTGCCAGGAGAGGGTATGGAGGCCAAAAAAAGAGTACTGAGATAGTCACAACCACTAGTAATCACCATGAGAATCTGCCCACTAATAATCTGTCTTGGGAGGCTCTGATCTAGATGCCCATATCTGTGAAAACCAGGATCAAGGGAATGACATTCCTGGGCAAAAAAAAGTCTTTAAGTGATCAATTTATCATATTCATTTTGTTTGTTAAGAAAGATGGTTCACTTCTTGATACCACCCAGGTTCTCAGACATAAATTCCTAATCTCCATGAAATTCAGAAATTTCTTAACTGTAGGATCTCTTTTAGCTTAGCTTTTAGATGGTTCCTCTTCACAGAAGAGCTGCTTCTGCTGTGTGAACACATTTCAAACTCCATAACACAAGACAGTCTTTTTTAAATTAAATTTTATATTTTCAGTCAGCAAAATCTTCTCTCTCCCCTCCCCGATTGAGAATGAAAGAAAAAGAAAACCCTTGTTACAAACACAGAGAGCCAAGCAAAACAAATTTTCCCATTGGCCATGCAAGACAGTCTTTCTTTACTTGTCACAGGACTCAAGACACTTGAAAATAAACTTACTCTTAAATGAGATACTTTTTTCCTACCATATTCTCTATCATTTAAGCACCTATATGGTGGCCCATATGCATTCTGTGGTCACTCAGTAAACTGTCTGCATTTGTATTCTACCCCCACCTCCCTAAATGAACCAGATTTAGAGTCTTCTAGAGGTTGGCCCACCTTCCTTTCCATTATAGCCCTACTCTGGCTACTGGGGACCCTAATAGAGAGTGATTCATATTCATAAGACTAGGCTGGCTCAGTGAGGAATATTTTGAGGTACCTCCTCATTTTTCTCCACCTCAGGAGGATTGCTTGGAAAGTAGGCAGCCAGTTTGCATATCTCTTTGTAATGCCTTCATATTTAGTCTAAAACCCATACTGATTGAGCCTAGTCTCCTGTTAGAGTAGTCTCTTGTCCTATATGGCTTTCTGGCACTGTAGGACTGGCCAGCATCCTCACTGACCTGAAGACTTGTTGTCAGAATCCCTTGGAAAAAGCTGTATGGCCTTCTAGGAAGTTCAGTAAGTCCTTGTTGTAAAGTCCACAGCACTTAAGATAAATTGACCTCTGTGGCCAATGGAATTTCCCAAAAAGAGGTCACAGTATCTTCTTTAGTTTCATCAGGCACTGAAAGTGTTAGACAGCTGAATGGAACCCAGAGAGCTGTCTGCCTTTGACATGGCTTAGCAACAGCAAAACGTAAATCAGATGGAGCCCACAGTGTAAGAAAGGCACAAAGCCAACTGAAGTGGGCCTTTGTAATTTCTCCAGCATGTTTCAGATCAGTTCCTTGGGACTATGTAATTTGTATGCATGCTGTTCTTAATGGAACTGTATGATGCTATAGTTAACATAATCTCCTTTGTTTGTTAAGTAGGCAATTGTCCCAGATATATGCTGCTGTTGTTGAGGCTGTTCTGGCTGGCATTGCATGCTATGCTAAAACTTCCAGTGTAACCAAGGTAATTTGAATACTGTGTTTCTCTTCCCTCAGCAGTTCCTTCCTTATTTCGTTGCAAGAACTTCATAAAGACCTATTTGTCGTTTGGACTCTACTGTCCCTCTACTCTGGTGTGAGCTTGGCTTTAGGAGAGCTGGCATCATGGAAATCATAGCCATTCTGGCCCTGACATGGCATTATTTCTAGGTTTGAGCTATACCTGCCCATGTAACCAAGTCTGGTTCCCTTTCCTTGTGGCTGCTTTTGCAAGACTGTCTTTGCTATGTCTTTTTAGTTCCAACTAATTAACAGTTGTCTTAAAGGCATATGGTCATGTTGAAACTGCTGATAGATTTTTTAAAATCTATTTTAATAGATTAAATCTTTAATAGATTTTTTAAAAAGCTATTTTTTCAAGCTAAAGAAAGCAAAATATATTGTTTTAGAATGATGTCATTTTTCCATGCACTATCTGATTTGAGTTTCTGTAACTTAATTTAAAAGACTTAGAGGTCAGAGTACCTTAATTTCCCTAACACCCTGAGTGGTGTTGAGTCCTCTGACCATATTTTCGGTGATATTCTGCTATTTCCAAACCCAATCCAGTGAGTTCCTGGATCCAGTTGAGTTTGGAGAGAAAAAGACTATTAACCAACCCCCTGAGACTGGTGGCTTCCCAAAACTGAGAAGGCCCTTCCTGAAGGAAGCTGTTTAGCAGTGGAAAGGCTGTGTCATATTTGTATATAAGGGAGAGGGCTGACTTTATCTGTAGTCACTGACTCTCTGATACTTCCCATCTCCACACTGAGGGCACCCTAGGCTTGGTTTTTGAATCTTTGGCTTATAGGTTTCTCTTCCACATTGGTAACTTTCTAAAGATGAACTAGAGTGGGCGAGCACCCCAGACCTCTCCAGATGCTTCTCCTCAAAGTGGTTCCTGAGTTAACTAAGGGAAAAATCAGTTGTATGGAATTGCTAAGTGCTGGGAGGGATATACAAAGTGCTAGACATATCTTTTTAAATCAGTAATCAGACTTTCCCCCCATAGATCTCTTTAAAGCTACAACTCTTTGGATGTTCTTAATATGAAATAAAGGCACCAAATAGGAGCACTTATTTCTTGCCATGTTTTGCCCATGGCTAGTGGTCTAGGGTATAATAGAGTGCTGGGCCTAGAGTCAGGAAGATTTATCTTCCTGAGTTCAAATATGGCCTTAGATACTTACTAGCTGTGTGATCCTGGGTAGATCACTTAACCCTGTCTTCCTCAATTTCCTCATTTGTGAAGTGAGCTGGAGGAGGAAATGGAAAACCACTTCAGTATCTTTGCCAAGAAAACCCCAAATGGGGTTACAAAGAGTCAGACACAACTAAAAATGACTGAATGACAACAGTTCTACAGTAATTTTCTTTGAAGCTGGTTTATAACCACTACCATTGGGTTTCCATAGGGCCAGCAATACTAACCAAGCTGCTGCTTGCTGACCGAAGTGCTTCCCATAGGATGATGCCCAAATGCCCCCTTTGAATTGTCACTGTATCCAAACAGGAGTTTTTAATCTGAAGAAAGTAGACTTACATTTTCCTTAGGCAGGTGTTTATGGGTCGGGGTAAGCATATGTGGCAAAGATGTTTAGGTAGGGTCATAGATATCTCCTCTTGGGCCAAATTTTAGCCTCACTTAGCTATAGGAGGAGTAGCCTCCACTTGTCTAGCGCATCCTAGATGTGCCATGATATTTAATGCCTTGGATGTGTTTCTTTTATAGTCGAGAGAAGCAGCGGAGCTGACACTTTGGAATCTGCTAGATTCTTTTCAGATGAAGAAGCTGAAGTCTGTTCTACGGTATGCGGCCACTGATTTTCCTGGAGATTATTCGAGATTATGATCCCATTTTACGAGGAGTCCTATTTTTTCCCCCATTCCCAAGCACCATATTCAGGGTCCTCTTTAGGAAGCCCTAAGGTAATACTATGGTATTTATTAGAGTTGGGGTCTGCATATTTGCATGAAGGAAAATTGAGGCCTAGGCCTCAAGTCAGAGAGAGAAAGACTATAGCATGGAAGAGTTATTTGAGGAATATCAGGCACAGGTTTTTTGTTTTCTTAAATTGTGTTTAATAAACAAAAATGGGTTTAACAGTGAAAAAGCAACAAGCTAGATATGTCAGCTTATCGGTAAGTCACTCTATAAGCCCTTCTGAGCTGTGTTTTTGTCCGGGCACATACTTTTAATTGTGTGTAGCTGTGGGCAGTCAAAATTCTCCTGGTTCTCCTCTTTTCACTTTATACAGTTTCTTTCCATTCACAAGTTTGAAGAATAGCATTTCATGTAGATAAGACAAACATCCTGAGAAGAGCTGCTTAGCCTCTGTGTGAGGGTGTGGAGCGATTGGCACTGTCTGCCTAGGGGAGGATGGTGGCTACTCAGTGAACACACCTACAAGCAATGGGATTTTTTTGGAACAGTGGGTAAGAGTGCTTGACTTGACATCAGGAAAAATAAGTCGGAATCCTCCCTTAAACACTTAGTGGCTGTGGGACTATGGTCAAGTCACTTAACTTTTCAGAGCCTTGGTTTTTTTCATCTGTGAAACAGGAATAAAAATACACATACCATCTACCTCACGGGATTGTGGTTTAAAAAAATAAAAGTACTTTGTAAATCTTAAAGGGTTTTAGAAATGCATCTTGTCATTATAGTCCCATTTCTGGGAGGCAAGGCAGCCTGGGTCCAACATACACTCAATTTGGGTAAGCCCCCCTTCTGCCTCAGTTTCTACAAGGTCTGTGAACCTTGACTTCCTGAATAGTGTTTCATTACACATTGGGTATGCGCTTATCTTCAGGGAGCTCAAAATGCTAAATACAGTCAAAGTAAGATTAACTAGAGACCCAGTCCTGACTGAAAATAGCCAGAATGTCTCATGAATTCTTTTTTTTCTGGATGAAAAAGAAGCAAATGACAAGTGAAGAAGTTAATATCAGGAAGCCATGTTTCTTTAGAAAAGAAAAAGAAAAACCCAAGCCCTAGGCCATGGTACTGAGAAGAGTGCACACACTGGCCAGATTTCCAGGGCCTGCTGAGTGACGCACCTGGAGTCTGGTGTCATGAGAATGAACGTGTAGGGTGCTCTCGCGTCATCAGAGATGAAAATTTCACAACATGCTGTCAAAGTAGGAAAATAAACTTTTATACGCTAGAAGAGGTTTTTACTTGTAAACGTTGAAACCAGGAGGATTTGGGAGTTGGTTCTATTACCCAAAACATTCCATTACCTAGAGTACTCTGTTCCCTGGCCTTACCGTTTACTTGACAAAGCATGTTACCTTGTATTATGGAACATTTATGGTTATACGCCTGTTCACCTTTGGCCTGTAAGTAGGAATGGGATAAGAGGGCATGCAAAGAAAAGAGAGGAGAAGAGTCAAAGGAGTGAGACATAGGAAGGGGAGGATCTTGGCTGGTTGGCTTTGAAGGCCTGCCCGGACTCTACAATCCTAGAGTTACTGTAATCTTTTCTTTTCTCACTGTTGGGCTGGAACCACTAGTGAGGACAGCCTGAAAAGTCCACTCTAGCAAATGGGGAGTTCTGTGACAAGGAGCTGTCCCATGAGATAGTGAGATCATTTACCTCCTGAGATCTGCTAATGACTGAGATATGGTACCCTCCATTTTTGTCCTTCTGGCCCCCTTGGTTGACCCCTGTCTACTATGGTGGCCTCTCAGGCTGTTGTCTCAGAATCACAGTCTATATTGGAAGGGAGATCAAAGGCCACCTCCTCCCTCTATAGCATTCCTATGGCCAGCCAAGATGCTGGCAGCTTTTGTTTACCACTTCCTGAGGCAGCTAGTTCTACTTTGGATAGTTCTACTTGGTAGGAAGTTTGTTCTTGTGTCAGGCCTAATTATGCCTTAGTTCAGTTGAACAAATGGGCCTCCTGTGTGCAAGCACTTTGCTAAGCACTGGGGATGCGAGAGTCAGAATGACATTGTCCCTCCCCAAAAGGAGTTTACACTCTGCTGGGACAGTAACCATGTGCACAAAAGAGCGCAATATAAATGTGGCCTTCATCTAAATAGAAAAAGTAGAAAACTCATGGGCCTCATTGATGGCATCTGAACAAAAGCCAGCAGGGAAGTTTTGGGAGATGCTGGAGAAGGGCAAGGACGAGAGGAGAAAGCCTTTCCCTTCCACTTCAGACTAATTCTGTGGTTAATGGCTTTGTGAGTAAACAAGTTGGGGGACAGATGGTTGGACAACATTTCATCAGGATAGGATTGCTTTGGTCAGAGCTGGCTGAGAAGGAATCTTAGCCCATGACATTCTGACTGTCTCATCCTTTGACTTTTGTCCACAGCTACAAGGTGGCTTTTCGTATTCATGCTGTGAACAATCAGGGAAGGTGAGTATCTCTTTTTGCGTTGGGGAGGGAAAAAGAGAAAAGAGGCCACTTTAAAGTAGAGGAAAATGTGGTCAACAGCTGACCAGTCCTGGTCTGCAGCCTTTCCATAGCTGAAGAACAGCTTTTTGAAGGGACTTGGTCTCTTGCATCTATTTCCTCAGGAGTTGCCTCAGCTGGTGTTTGGTTTCAAAAAGGGCAATGCTTAATTAACATATCCATTCTACTGAGGGTTTCCTTCCCTCTAAAATTGGAAAAATGTTAATTTTCCCTACATGGTCTAGATTAAAATTCTGCCTACTTGCTGCTAGTGGCCAAGTTGTTTAAGAGACACCCTGGAAGAAATCATACTTCCATGTTGAAGTGGCTGATTTGAGAGAACAGTGAGTGTGTTTTGAATTTCAGCATAAAATTAACCACTTTTATGTTTTCTTTCTTTTTTTCCCTTCTCTAGAATTGTACCTCTGGACAATGAAGACAGCTTATACTCTGTTAAAACGGTAAGCAGCACTTTTTAAAAAAAAATTTTTATGTTTTTTAAAAATTTTATTAATTTTTTGATTTATCAACAATCACTTCATATGCTTTTGAGTTGAAAATTTTTCTCCCCCTTCCTCCCCCCACCCTCCCCAAGACAGCACACAATCTGATATAGTCTTTACATTTACATTCCTATTAAACATATTTTCACATTAGTGAAGTTCTAAGTAAAAATTAAAACCATTAGGAGGAACCATCAGAAAGATGAAACAAAACTCAACAGAAGGTAAAAATAAGCGAGAGCGATTCGACTTCCATAGTTCTTTCTTTGGATGTAGACAGCATTTTCCGTCCCAAGTCCTCTGGAGATGTCTTAGATCCTTGTAATGCTGAGAAGGGTTCAGTTTAACAATATTAGTCATCGCATAACGTGGCTGTTATTGTGTACAAAGTCCTCTTGGTTCTGCTCACTTCACTCAGCATCAGACCATATAAGTCTTCCCAGGTTTTTCTGAAGTCAGCCTGTTCCTCATTTCTTATAGCACAATAGTATTCCATTACATTCATATACCACAACTTGCTCAGCCATTTCCCAATTGATGGGCATCCTCTCAATTTCCAATTCTTTGCCACCACAAAAAGAGCTGCTATGAATATTTTTGTACATGTGGGTCCTTTTCCCATTTGTTTGATCTCTTTGGGATATAGCCCTAGAAGTCTATTGCTGGTCAAAGGGTATGCACATTTTTGTAGCCCTTTGGGCATAGTTCCAAATTGTTCTCCAAAATGGTTGGATCATTTCACAACTCCACCAACAATGTATTAGTGTTCCAATTTTCCCACATCTTCTCTAACATTTATCATTTTCCTGTTTTGTCATGTTGGCCAATCTGATAGGTGTGATGTGGTACTCAGAGTTGTTTTGATTTGCATTTCTCTAATCAATAAATTTAGAGCATTTTTTCATATGACTATAGATGGCTTTAATTTCTTCATCTGAGAACTGTCTGTTCATATCCTTTGACCATTTATCAATTGGGGAATGGCTTGTGTTCTTATAAATTTGTCTTAATTCTCTACATATTTTAGAAATGAGGCCTTTATCAGAGAGACTGGTTGTAAAAATTCTTTCCCAATTTTCTACCTTCCTTCTAATCTTAGTTGCATTGGCTTTGTTTGTGCAAAAACTTTTCAATTTAATGTAATCAAAATTATCCATTTTGCTTTTCATAATGTTCTCTATCTCCTGTTTGGTCATGAATTCTTCTGTTCTCCAGATCTGATAGGTAAACTATTCCTTGTTCTCCCAGTTTACTTATGGTATCAGCCTTTATATCTAAGTCATGAACCCATTTTGACTTTATTTTGGTATATGGTGTGAGATTTGGGTCTATGCCTAGTTTCTGCCATACTCTTTTCCAGTTTTCCCAGCAGTTTTTTTCAAAGAGTGGGTTCTTATCCCAGAAGCTGGGGTCTTTGGGTTTATCAAATAATAGATTACTATAGTCATTGACTACTGTGTCTTGCATATTTAACCTATTCCACTGATCCACCTCCCTTTTCTTAGCCAGTACCAAGCAGTTTTGATGATTGCTGCTTTATAATACAATTTAAGATCTGGAATTGCTAGGCCACCTTCCCCTGCATTTCTTTTCATTAGTTCCTTTGATATTCTGGACCTTTTGTTTTTCCAAATGAATCTTGTTATTATTTTTTCTAACTCTATAAAATAATTTTTTGGTAGTTTGATTGGTATGGCACTGAATAAGTAAATTAGCTTAGGTAGGATTGTCATTTTTATTATATTAGCTCAGCTACCCATGAGCAACTGATGTTTTTCCATTATTTAGATCTGATTTTATTTGTGTGAAAAGTGTTTTGTAATTGTGTTCATAGAGTTCCTGGGTTTGTTTTGGGAGGTAGACTCCTAAATATTTTATAATGTCTACAGTAAGTTTAAATGGGATTTCTCTTTCTATCTCTTGCTGTTGGGCTTTGTTGGTAATATATAGAAATGCTGATGTTTATGTGGGTTTATTTTATAGCCTGCAACTTTGCTAAAGTTGTTTATTATTTCAAGTAGTTTTTTACTTGATTCTCTAGGATTCTCTAAGTATATCATCATGTCATCTGCAAAGAGTGATAGCTTTGTTTCTTCTTTGCCTATTCTAATGCCTTCAATTTCTTTTTCTTCTCTTATTGCTAAAGCTAACGTTTCCAGTACATATTGAATAACAGTGGTGATAATGGACATCCTTGTTTCACCCCCGATCTTATTGGAAATGCTTCTAGCCTGTCCCCATTACATACAATGCTTGCTGAAGGTTTTAGATATATGCTATTTATTATTTTAAGGAAGACTCCATTTATACCTATGCTTTCTAGTGTTTTTAATAGGAATGGGTGTTGTATTTTATCAAAAGCTTTTTCTGCATCTATTGAGATAATCATGTGGTTTCTATTGGTTTTGGTGTTGATATGGTAAGCAGCACTTCTAAAGAGTGGCCATCCTAGAGGGGTCTCCAGGTAGGCGTCTGCAATTTCTCACTGGGGTCCTGGGATTTATTGTAGAAAAAACCCAATGCCAGACAGTGGGGTCACATTCCATGATTATAGGGTCTTTAGACTTTCAGGGGATGCAGGAAAGTGATTTTAAGAGAGGGAAGGTGCCTTAGTTGGCCCTACATGCATGATGTGTTAGTTACTTTGTTCAGGCAGCTAGGCTTGGAGGCTACTTTGAGATTTAGGGCTGAAAACCTTATGGTGATTTATATATCTAGGAATTTTAGTCTCAGAGTCTTCTTAGAAATGTGGTCTCTTTGCTAGTTTTTCTTTTGTGAGAATTATGATGAATCATCAGTAGTGGGATGTGCAGACACATTAAGATGGCTGTGGGAGGTGAGGCAAATTCTTGAAATAGGAAAAATTGAGGCTGGCTCCCCTCTCCTGGAAAAATCATTGGGATTAAGCCCCCCTTCCAGATAATCAATCTTCAGGGTTTCTCCCTATGAGGTTTGGGAGCCTGTGGCATGTTCTTACAACTGTCATACCTATGGCTAGAGGTGGTTAACTCAGTGTTCCAGAACACTGTGCTTATTAGGCCAAAGTAAAGGGTTTGTGGGCTAAATTAAATCGACTGTTTCATGACCAAAGAATGAGCTCTAACTATAGTTGACTGTTGTCAGAATCTGTGCCCTTGTATACAAAGAGAAACAAGTGAGTAAGTATAGAGGATTCAGTGCAAAGCCATCCCCACCAGTGGAAAAAAACAAGTCAAAGCACTGCACGGAATCTTCCCATGCTTTCTAGTTCTGTCCTCAGAGACTGAGTAGAACAAGTCTAATCCTGGTTCTTTGGCTATCTGAAGAGAGCCAGTGTGCCCATCCGAACTTTGTCTTTTCTAGGCTGAACATCTGTTGTTAGGCAGATGGCACATCTATAGTGTGTGTGTGTGTGTGTGTGTGTGTGTGTGTGTGTGTGTTTTAAAGGCCACATGCTTATATAAGCTAAAGGGTCTAACAAGGTACAGCTAATGCTTATAGGTTTGATGTCAGTAATGTATCCTATATTGTTATTGAGTCCCTATATTGTTGATGTTTTCTGGTCCTTTGAAACCACCTCAATCTTATTTTCTTTGGTCTCATAATTTAAAGATTGGGTAATCCTAGATTTTGGCCTGCTCTTAGAGGTTTAAATAGCACAATCCCTAGACTCCTCAGTCAATTTGCCTACTTAGTAGTAGCAAATAAAAAAGATGGAAAAAAGGGAGTGTTGTTCTGTTTGCCACCTTCCCTTTTTCTCATTTCAAGCCATGCTTCCTTCAAGCCCAGCTCAAGGAATACCACCTCTTCCAGGAAGCCTTTCCTGACTACTTTAGCCCTCACTGATCTCTTTTGATTGAGCTTCCTAGATAGCTTAATAACAGTTCATCTTATGGGGCAGCTAGGTGGCACAGTCACTTAACCCCAGTTGCCTAAAAAAAAACAAAAAACAAAACAGTTCATCTGAAAAAGATCTGGGGACTATAGAGGACTCGACAGAAATAATCAGTCTGACAAGCAATTAAGGAGGTGATAGTCGCATTATCCCCTATCTTGTTCAGACCTCATCTAGAATATTGTGTTTGGTTCTGGTTGTCACAGTTTAGGAAGGACATTGACAAGGAGAAGGACCAGGTAGTGAATGGCTCCAAGCTCACAGGACTTGAGCCTGAAGAACTGAAGACATGAGGGGTGTGTGGAGGAAGTTGCAGAGAGACAGATTTAAACTAGATGTCAGGAAGAACTTCTCAACAGCCAGAGCTCTCCAAAGGGAATGGATTGCTTGGGGAGGTTGTGAGTTCCTCCTCACTAAAGGTCTTGAAGATTGGATGATCACAGGTTGGGAATGTTGAAGAGAAGATTGATGGTCAAGTATAGGTTGGGTTAGATAGCCTTTGCAGTCCCTTTGAACTCTGAGGTTCTGTGGGTTGGGCCTACTGATGTGGAAAACAGGAGGGTGGCAGTTTTTATTGCTATCAACAGGATCCTTGTGGAACATACAACCCATTGGTTATGTGGGCTTTGTCAAATAACTTTTGGTTCTTTAAAACGAATTGCAGGGGGCAGCTAGGTGGTGCAATGAAGAGAGCACTGGCCCTGGAGTCAGGAGGCCCTGAGTTCAAATGTGGCCTCAGACAATTGACACTTATTAGCTGTGTGACTCTGGACAAGTCACATAAGCCCATTGCTTAGCCAAAAAAAACAAAAAAACAACAACTGAATTGCAGGTGAAATTCATCCCCTTGAAGTTTTCAGTCCTTAACCAAAGATTTAATCAAAATACACATATCTGCTTATCAAGCTGTTGTACATTGGTGTAAGAAGCTAAAGAAAGAATTGACCATTGTTTCTTGCTTTCAGCCAGTTTACACTCTGTTGAAGAAAAGTGTAGCCTAAAAGAAATGAGTGGTTCCTTTGGCCATCACTGCCCTTCCTTCTTCAGGCTGGAAGGCCCCATGGAGGACAGGCAGGGATTTTAGGATCCAAACTTAACTGTAACCTCCAGTAGCTTCATGGCTAACCAAACTGGAAATTGCCATTCCTTGTGAGGTGTTGTGTTGTTGCTGTTGTTTTAAAAACCCATTTCTGGGTTGGTTTTCTTTGGAGAGGAAGGGCGGGGTAGTTTAGGGAGAGGCACTGGCCAGTTATGTCATTCCTCATTATCAGATTTCCATGTCCACACAGGACTCAGTCACAAGTTCTTTTGCCTTTCTTCTCCTGCCAGATTTCTCCACCACATTGTTCTATTCCTCTCCCTTGGTTTTCAGCTAATAAATTAGCTCTTTCTTTCTAGACATTGGGAAACTGACTGCCTCTGGGTTGCCCTCATTTTATTTTAAGCCTCCCAAGGCTTCTGAGCTTAACCTGAGCAAATATTTTCTGAGCATATTATGTGTCAAGCACTATTGCTGGATGAGAAGAGAGATGCAAAATCTGGGTAAACTGCTTACCCTTGTCTTTCTGTCATAGTCTAACCATAGCACATGTGCAAATTATTGTCACATAAAACGCCATACACTTATAGGCCATTCACTTCATGTGGGCTGAGTTCTCTACCAAATTTGAGGAGAGCAGAGGGATCATTATTGCCTGGGAAGATCAGGGAAGAGATTTCATTGAGGTGACATGTAAACTAGGCTTTAAAGGGTGGGTAGGATTCCTAAAAATGGAGATAAAAAAGAGGATATTCCAGGTATAGGAATCAGTATGAGCTGTTTGGCAGGAACATGGTACGTGTGGATGGGAGCTAAGACTGAGAAAGTTATCTGGCACAAGACTGTGAAGGTCTCTGAATGCCAGTTTGGCCTTTGTTTAGTTGTCAGGGAGCCGTTAAAGGGTCTTGAGCAGAATAAGGACATACCTGCCTGGACCTACATATGAAGAAGATAAATCCAGCAGCTCCCTGAGAGGTGAATTATAGGTGACCAAGACTAGAAATGTAGGCAGACCTGCTGGAAAGCTATTGCAGTAGTCCAGGTGTGTGGTAATGAATGTCTTGACTAGGAGAATTTAAAAAGAAAGGGGGCAGATGCAAAAGACATTGCAGAGGTGGAATCAGTAGGATCTCATAGCTGATATGATAGGAGAAAGGAGGGAAAAGGAAGAGTCAAAGACAACCCCACCATTGATATCATAGGACACTATGAGAATGGGGGACCATAGACAGACATACTGAGATGAGGAGGGGGAGCAGGTTGGAGTGGGTAGGGATAATGTAATGATCTGAGTATTTGCCACGCATCTTAAAATAAGATCTCTGAGGATGTAGTGTTTAGGTGAGCATAGGGATAGTATATGGATAGACAGTTGGGAAATTACCATATTAATTGCCATGTAAAAAAATATTTACTCTATGAGATTTTTTCCTTTCCTACTTTTGAGATTTATTTTCTTTTTTTTTAATTTATTTTTAGTTTTCAACAATCACTTCCATAAGCTTTTAAAAATTTTTTATACATCTTTTTTATATACTTTATTTTTTTGTTTTTTTTATTTTATCATTAATTAATTTATTTTTAGTTTTCAACAATCACTTCCATAAGCTTTTGAGTTTTAATTTTTTTCTCCCCCTCCCTTCTCCCCTCCCTCCCCAAGATAGCATGCAATCTAATATAGGCTCTACATATACATTCCTATTAAACATATTTTCACATTAGTCATGTTGTAAAGAATAACTAGAGCCAATAGGAGGAGCCACAAGAAAGAAGAAACAAAACAGAAGAAAAAGAGCAAATAGTATGCTTCCATCTGCATTCAAACTCCATAGTTCTTTCTGTGGATGTGGATAGCATGTTCCATCATGAGACTTTTAGAGATGTCTTGGATTCTTGCATTGCTGAGAAGGGCTAAGTCTATCAAAGTTAGTCATCACAGACTGTGTCTGTTACTGTGTACAACATTCTCCTGGTTCTGCTCACTTCACTCAGCATCCGATCGTACAAGTCTTTCCAGGTTTTTCTGAAGTCCGCTTGCTCATCATTTCTTATAACACAACAGTATTCCATTACATTCATATACCACAACTTGTTCAGCCATTCCCCAATTGATGGGCATCCATCCCCTCAATTGATATTTATTTTCATTCAAATAAAGATGTGAAAAAAACTGTTCTTAAAAGTCAGGAGGCCTGAATTTGAGTTCTCCACAGTTTTGTAACTGTGAGATCATAGGCAGTTCATTTAACCCCTCTGGCCTCAGTTTCCTTCTTTTTAAAATGGGGATAATATTTGCACTACTTATCTCACAGGGTTAGTCTCTTCTTAAAGACTTTTGGTTATTTCTTCAGCAGTGTTGGATTTATCATTCATTGCAGGCCTCCATGAGTGTATATGACATCCCCGAGTTGACGGGAGGAAAAGAATGCTTGGGGTCCATAGTTTTCTCAGAATCATTTTTGACATCTCAGATCCTTATTAAAGAGAAGGGTAAGTGTTTCATAAAAGTCTGTTGAAAAGTATTGCTTGAACTGCAAGTGCACAGTGTGAAGTAGACATTTCCAGACTTGTTTTATCTAACTTTACTCTGTAACGAGGAAGGGGATGTTGCTGGATCTTGACATCAGTATTAGCGAAGGATTAATAAAATCTTCTTTGAAAAAGAACTAACTCCCATTCTTGTTCATTAATCCATTTGCTTCCATTTGTGGTAAAAAACAAAAAAACCCAGTCTGATCACAGGGCAGGAAACCCCCTAGATTGGAGGAACTTTATTTTTGAAGGACACCAAAGTCCATATGCTCCTGAGAGTGAGGAGGAGGAATAAGGTGATCTTTGTGATCTTGGGTAGCTCAGGGAGGATGGGGTAGGAGGTGAGGCTGGGGTGTGTAGTATTGAGTAACTTGGATTTCTTCGGTCTCCCCACAGATGGCGCTGTTACCAAAGAAACCAGCTACATGATTCTGACTGCACCCATCAGAAGATTCTGCTCTTGGCTGGTCAGTATTACTTAAATTAAGAAGTATATAAATTGGAAATATGGTTTATGCTGTGGAGAGCATCAGAGGGACACCTCTTCTTTTTGGCAAGTGACAGATCGTCAAATCCTTATTAGTTACTCTAGTGGTTATACTTTAGGAAACCGCCTTCTTGGTAAATGGTTAAACTTGGTCATGCATTTTCTCAGCAGAGATTTTGTGGAAACTGATAGACTTATCCCTTCAATGGGAGGAGACCAGTAAAGTGTTTATTGCCTGTTTTCCCCAAACTAGGCTTATCAGAATATTTGTGGTGCACCTAAATGTTTAGTGAAAGCTAGAAGCAACTCAGTGAGCAGCAGCATCTAGTGGCTTGTCCAACTTGGGACCATCCCAGTCGTTGTTTTACAACCTGTTCTAGAGTCATCTGCTATGGGGTCCTTGGGATCACTGAGAGTCCTCATAGCTCATCCAGTACAATCTCTTTGTTTGACCAGTGTCCACAGTCACACAGCTTGTAACTAAGTGTCGGAGACAGGATTTGAACTCAGATCTTTGTGACTCCATGCCTGGCACTCCAGCTGTAGTGCCATCTAGCATCTGCTGACACAGAAGACAACAAAAGAAAGATATAATCAGGGAGGAAAGCTCTCCTGGCTTGCTGAGTGTTCTAAACTGATGCCCAGAAGGCCTATTTATTTACATGAATTTACCGCAGCATTTCTTAGAGCTTCACACCTTCTCCAGACTCAGTAGCTATGGTATGATGACAGGAGCCTAGGATTTGGAGTCAGGTGACCTGCTGCCTTTTGTGGATGGGACCTTCAGTCCATCCCTTACCTCTCACAGCCTTGCTTTCCTCAAGTGAAGAGTTGGACTAAGTGATTCCCAAAGCCCCTCCTAGCTCTAGACGCTGGTATTTTATTTGAAAGTGTGATTTCTAAGAATGATAAGTGTTTTTGAAATTGATTCAAGCATGGTGCCACAATTAAATCCAGTGTTTTGTGTTATTGTATAGGGCAGCTCAAAAATCTTAGTGAAGTTTTAAGTGATTAGAGCTTAACATGCCCTGTATCAGCACTATAGCTGCTGTAAAGCCAGGCCCTTATAATTTGAATTCCTAGATTTGATCTTATTCTTGCAGTGAAAGAACTCTTATAGTGAATATGTTCATATTTTATTATTTCTAATAAGTAAAAGAATTATGGAGGTTTTCAAAATAATGAGGGTCTGGAGAAGTCATTCCCTTGTCTTCAGGCAGTGTTTCATCTCCAGCCTCCAACCACATGCATGTTCCCTTTAAAGATCTTTAGGGAGAGTTCCTAATGTCCTGTGCAACTCCGTGGCTAAATTGAACAACCTCTCTATTGAGATCACTAGTTCTGCTGGACAGGAGAGAGGGCAGGGTGGGAGCAGCTCAGCTTCTCCAAAGAATCCACTCCCACAGACATTCACACTTTCCCATTTCTGTACACATGACCTCTACCATGCCTTTTTATCTCCCACCTCAACACAGAAAACATCTGCACAAAGTTCCCACAAGCCATATTTTCTACCCTCCTCTGTCTCTTTATCTCTCCATCTCCCTCTTCTCTATTACTACTCCTTTTTCTCCGGGGATATGTTTACTATGTTGACGCAGAAACACGTGGGGCAGGGAGCGGGGAATTTTAGTGGCCTCAGGACTTCACAATTTTGTCTCCTCGTTTCATCCTGTGATTTTAGCCAAGACTGTAGGGACAGGATTTAGTGGGGGGCCATCCCAGAACTAGTCCCAGATGTGTAAAATTGTAGGGTAAATGTCTATTGTTGGGTTCCCCCTTTGATATAAGTTCACCCCTGCCTGATTGCAAATGCTGCATCAGCTATGAACAGGGCAACTTCCCTGACCATGACAAGTTCATGGCCTGACTCCCTTGGTGGGTGCACATGCAGATGGTGACAGACATGCATCATTTAGCTCATGATTAGAAGGCACTTGATGAGTTCTGCTTGACTTGTGATTTTTACTTCTCTCCAGCTTCTGGAATCAGGAATGAATTTAGAATCTGAGAGCCATTCTGTGGCTACCTTACCTACACTTCCCCCCTTACAAACCATAGACACAAAGTTCTGACAACACATGTTTGTGTGATGAAACAGAGTGGCTGCTCTGAAATGTCAGAGTAGGGAATCCTCTGTCTAGCTCTGACGAATGTGCAAATAGATGTCTCTCTGGGAAGAAGATTGCTTCCTGGGACTTTTGATACAATGCTGATCCAAAGCCTCAAAGTTATATAAGGTCTAATGACAAGAAAGGCTCATGGCAAGTGAAGGCAGTGTGAAGCCAGAGACAGAACATGGCGCTTAGATCAGGAGACAGCTTGGTTTGAGCTAGGCTGGAATGCTTCATTTTGGGGGACTTTAGGCAAATCCCTTCCCCTCTCTAGCCCTGCATGAACAATCCAAGTCACTTCTCATATCTCCAAGGGCCACAGACTTTAAAAGGGCGAGGCAACAAGGGACAGTTAGAGAGCAATAGGGGCAATTAGGGAGGGGTAGAGGGGCAGGTAAGGGGGAGTGAAGGGACAGGAAGTCATTCTAGCTAGGTGGAGATGCTTCACCTCTATGGTCCTGGGGTTCCTTTTCTGTAAAATTAGGAGTTCCATTTGATTACTAAGGTCCCAGAGAGCTCTAAATCCTTGATCCTTTGAGCTCACTAATTTGAACCAGATGGAAGAAGATTTGGGCTGAAATTTAAAGAAAGCTTGAACTAGATAATATTTTTCAAGCAATACAGTTTTATTGATTATCAGCATATCAGAGTGTGAATTTAAACCTTTAAATTAAATAAATCCCTTTCTCATCTTTGGCCTCTTCTTCCTTTCCTTGGTGCTAATTGCAATTTTTTTATATTTTCTCCATGGCCCTAGTTTCTTGTGCTTACTTAAATGTTTTCTTCTTGAACCCCTCCATGTTCTCCAGGTCCTTTTAACTTGAGGATACTAGAACTGTGTTCTGCACTCATTTGAATTGTATGTATATCCTTAAAGTCTGGAGATTTTTACCCTGGGAAATGTGAACTTGTTTTTTAAAAAAATTTTATAACTATTTCAATAGAATTGGTTTCCTTTGTAATCTTGTATATTTCATTTTGGTCATTTAAGAACATTTTCTGACAAGGGGTCCTTAGTTTTCACCAGATTTGATGAAGAAAACCGTGACACGAAAAGGTTAAGAGCCCTTGTCTTAGACTAAGATCACTAATTTATTGATTCTAAGGCCCAGAGTGAATTTATTTGGAGTCCGCCATGTTTCTGCAAAGATACACATTAAGAAAATTCTCCGTGTGAGATCTATTCCCATGGGAATTGGGCCAAAATTCTAGTGCCTTAGGTTCATGAAAAGGTGGCTGCCCTGACCCTCAGGCAGTCAAAGAGGTCATTCCAGAGTAATTTCTTTATCTAGTTTCATGGTCGTGACCTGGTTGGACCAACAAGTAGTACTGTTCACAACAGTTAACATGTTTAAAGAATTATAGGTTTGAATGAGAAGAAAAAACTCTGAAATATGTGTGTAAGGGGTCTCCTTGACCCTCAAAAGATGTTTTGATTTTTTAAGTGCTTCTCTTCTTGTTAAGACTAAGCATCCTCTTATAAAATTTCCCTTTTGAGCACCTCATTTGATTTAAAAGTTACAGTTTGAAGAACTGTATTACCCCAAATTTCCAATTGTGGGTGCCAGGGAGCCCAGTGGAAGAGGGGCTCCCAAGCCTCAGCTTCAGAATGTTCCAGGAAACACTGTTCTGATGCAGGGGCTCTTTGGATTCTTTTTTTTCATGTCATAGACCCTTTGGGAAGTCTGGGAAAAACTACAGACCCTTTCTCAGAAAATATTCTTAAATGCATAAAATAAAGTACATAGGATAGCAGAGGAAACTGGTTATACTGGCAGACAGCTATCAAAATATTTATCAGCCAGTTTCTTGGAAGTCAGGTTAAGAAACTCTGTTCTCAGTGCAAGTGAACATCCTCACAGTTTTAGTTGTGAAATACTAAATATCAAAGTTGGCATTATTTTGGATACAGGTGGAAGATAATGAAGTGAAATTGTCTGAGAAAGCCCAGCTCATGGTAAAGGTGAGTAATGTTTATATTCTAAATAGTAACGCACTTAAGGCTCCAAGTGAACTCTAGTCAAAGGAAAATTCCAATAATCAGTCCAAATGTATAAATGATTAAATTTGCAAAATTTCTAAATTATTCCTTTATGCAGCCAGAACGAGAACTACTGGGAAGTGATTGCTTGTCTTCAGTTCCTGCTCAGATGCCCTTTTCCCCTTCCAGGGAGGTCCCGAAATAATCATTAATGGTGGGAAAACAATGGAAATCCTTTCTGCTTTTTAACAGGGCACAGTGAAAACTGACCCAGGCAGGCAGTTGATGGGTCTGGGAGCTAAGCAGCATCAGGGTTCTACAAGTCAACAAAAAATACATGGTTTTTACCACCAGGAAACCCTGCTGCCTTCTCCCCTCCTTTTTCATATATAAAATGAGAAAAGGGAATACATTCATCTCCAGGCTTTTGGGTCTGGGGTGAGAGTATATTCATTATTTGATATATATTGTGTTTGATACCCTTTAGTAATGACAACACATGTATTATCCTTTCAGTGTCAGTCAGCCACTATGGGTAGTCTGACCTTGTTTGAAGCTCAGGGCCCTGGCACCAAGTGCATTTGATGCTGAGTGTGCTGAGTGAGTGACCCTTGGAATCATTTTCTGTCTTGGCAGGGGGTGGAGACAGACTTGAGGGGGTTTATTTCCTTTTCCTTTAATTCTCTGTCCCTTGCCCTGGTGTATGGAATGAACATTTTTCAGGGTTTATATTTTTCATTCAAGGCTCCAGAGCACCTCCTGCTCCCATCTAAATAATTCTTCTTTGCTCTATTACTTGGGCATATTTTAGTAGCTATTCCATTGGGAAATTTAGAGCCATTCAAGTCAGGTTTTCTAAGGACATCCCATGCTGGATGGCTGCCACATACCCTCCCCATCCCTTCCTTCTGTCTTCCTCCCCTTGTCAGTTACGACCTGCCCCATCCTGATCTTCCCAGTTCTGTTCCTAAGGCCCTCAAAGACTATACCACACAATTCCTTGTGCTAAAGTGTAGCTTAGTACATCGGCAGAATATTGAGGCGCACCCCTCCCCAGCTTTCTCCTAAGCAAAGGATCTCTCTCCAGGTATCCTTGAGCAAAATGCTAATTGACAGTTGGTAGTTCCTGCAGGATAAACCTTCCTAGAAGATGGTGGCTCTTTAGCCTGGCTTGCTCTGTCCTTCCACCCTCTAGTATCCTAGTACAAGTAAGGGTAGCATTGGAATGTTGTGCTGCTTGGCCCAGTAATGGAGGAAGAGTGACCTTGAGGCCACTTTACAACCTGCCAGAGGTGGGAGTCATCTGGGGAAATGTGACTTAGTGGAATTTTCAGCTGTAATTCTCCTGAGTGGTATTTCTTTTCTTTTTTAATTTTAGGAGGATGAGTCTTTCTTGGGTACTGTCCTGACAGGAGGAGATAAGCATATTTTTATTCCAGCAATGCACAGGCCTGGCCAGAGGAAGGTAAGCAGTGACTCTTCTAGTGGAAGAGCTTCTTTGATTGACTTTCGGAGCTCCATTTCTTGCAGATGATATTTGCAGGCATGATGAAAATGATGACTAGTAACTTACACATACGTAGGGTTTTATCGTTCCAAAAGCATTTTCAGAGACATTATAGGATTTGATTGTGTCAGCAGCTCTCTGAGGCAGGCAGGGATTATCATCCCTCTTGTGTAAACAGGGAAGCTGAAGCTTTCAAAAGTAAGTGACTTTTCTAGGTTCAAACTGTAATAAATGATAGATCTGGATAGAACCAATGCCTTCTGGGGCTACAGCCTGTCATCAGAAAGCTCTCTGTCCAAGTAGATGAAGTGGGGCAAAGAAGTTCTCTCACTTCAGTGGACTCTACTTAGAGACCAACACTGACCTCCTCTAAAGAACACGAGCCCTAACATGAGCCAGCAACCTTTTTGACATTACTTTTTAATTCTATATAAATTGCCCTTTCTTTCAAGGCCCAAAATGAGATGGCCTCCCTTGGAGAAAATCTAGTCCCTTCACCAGATCTCTCTGTTTTTCCTAAAAAAGTGGGACCATTCTGGGCAGTTTCAGCAATTTCTTCTTCTTCCTTTTGAAAGTATTCTGTCTGGCAACAAATGTCCTCCATTAAAGCTTTTTGACCTCTGTTAGCTGACCTGGTTCATCTTGTCTCTTCCCTGTAAAAGGAAAGTCAGAAAAGAGCTGCTCATTAAAGATGCCTGTTAAAAGTCTGACAGTAATGAAGTTTGCTACCTTGTCCATGAAAGCACTTGCTGTCTTTTGGTCCTAGCATGGAATTTATCCTACCTTAGAAGGCAGAATCCAAGCCAGGCTCCTGGGGTTTACCCAGGATACAGCCTTTGAATGTAATGACAATTTATAAATAGTAGGTAATAGGCATAACACAGATGCTGTTGTGCAATTGCTTGGCAGAGCCAATTATAATATTTAGGAAGGAGTTTTGCCAAGGGAAAGTGTGCACCTCATTAGCAAAGAGCCTTGTTAGGAAAATGGCTGCTCCTGTGTCATATTATATTCTCCAACAAGATTTGGTCCCTTCTGCGGTCCCTGCATAGGCCTGAGGGTAGATGACCAGGGCCGTCCAGGACCTTCTATTTTACGTTTCAGAGAAGTTGGTTTTCTGTCTTGCTCAGATTTCCCAGGCCTCCTGGTTCCCCATGTGTGGGTTGGGGCCACCGGCCATCACAAGGAAGATTTGGAGGCCACCAGCCTCAGCACAGAAGGCAGCTAGAGCTCTGAGACAGATCAGTGTGCCAAGAACAGATTGTTGTAGTACTAACTAGCCCTCCCTGAGGTACTGCCCTCATCACATGAGACAAGTGGATGCCCTAGCTGAGAAGAGAGGACTTCAACCGAGGCTTCCTCCACACCACATAAGGGTTCTGCAGGGAGGCAAGCCTGCTGCCATCAGAAGAGAACACTCCTTCCCTGCCAGCAGGTAGCTGAGCTTTAGAGGGTCAGGGGGGCCTGACCGTTAATGTCTCCTCACCATGTTGGGCTCCCCTTCAAGTTCTTCAGTGTTGCCACACCTGAGACAGGCTCCTCCATCTGTCCCCAAACCCCCAGGCCCTGCTTATTATGCCCATGAGACATCAGAAGGTGCCAAGCACCATAGTTCCCCATCACAGTCTGGTGGTGATTTACTTCTCTTGCCCTCTGACCTCACACCCATGAACTTTATATACTCCAATCATACTGAATTGTTCTTCAAACACACTGGGGGTGCAATGAATGGAGCACAGGCCTGGAGGCAGGAAGACCCCAGTTCCAGTGTAGCCTTAGACACTTTCTAGCTGGGTGACCACTGAACTCTGTCTGACTCAGTTTCCTTATCTGTAGAACGAGGATAATAATAGCACCACCTTTTCGGGATTGTTGTGAGAATCAAACCAGATAACAATTGTAAAGCACTTAGCACAGTGCTCAGCATGTAGTAGGGGCTATGTAAATGGTAGTTGTTTTTACCATTACCTCTATGCATTTGCTCATGCTTTTCCTCATCTCTGCCTTTTGAAATCTCTCCAGCTTTCAAGGCTCAGCTTAAATGTCACCTCCTCTGTGAAACTTTCCTTTATGGCTCCTAGCCAGCAACGATCTTATTGCTCCTCTGAATTCTCAAAGCACTTAGTTTGTACCTCTCTAATTTATTATGTGATATTTATTATTATATTAATTTATGTACATATCTCCTCTACTAGGTTCTAAGCACCTTAGGGAAGGGACTGTGCAACTGTTTGATTTGATTGATTTTTTTATTAATGTTTTCTTGATGCTTTTTCTTCTTATCTCATCGTCATTTCCGAATAAATCCCTAGCCCTAACCCCAACCAGGAAGCCTCCCCTTGTAACAAAGGAAAACAGCTCATTAAAACCAAATGCGTGTTTGTCTCTATATTCTCATATCACCTTGCATATAATAGGTGCTCAGTAAATTATTATTGAATTGAATTGAAATACTTAGTATACAGATTATGTTATGGATTTTAATGGAGCTGATAGTCTGTTCATTACTACATATAGCTTGGAAAGATGGTATGAATGATTTAGATAAGTCATTTAATCTCTCTGAGTATCAGCTTTCTCATCTGTAAAATCAGGCTAATGATATAGTTAATAGCATTTCTAAATTGCTTTAAAGTTAGTAAAGCATTTTATTTGTTAAAAAAAAAAACCAATGCAGCAACTATAGCTAGTGATAATATGCAATAAAATGTACCCATTGGGGACTATATTTTATAGAGCTCTCCCTTGCTGCACTTGGGGGAAATGTGGCTCTCATCTTTTGGTGGAGGGGATATAACTCTGACCCTAATCAACAGGAAAACCTACCATTTTGGCTAATTTGATTCATTGGGAATTCAGTATTTCTATTCTACTCCCCTCTTTTTATAGCTGGAGAAACTGGGGCACACAGTGGTGGAGCGACTTGCCAGGTGATAAGTGGCAGAATGGGGATCTTCTCAGTATGGCGGCCTTGGTTACTATGGGGAGCCTCTGTGCCCTCTCCCTTTTTCAGTCCTCTGCTTTCATGCAGTGACTGTCTTAGGCAGGAGGGGAGAGAAGGGGACTTCCCTATGGAGGCAGAACATAGGCTGTGCTCATCAGCTCTCTGTACCCATACTTAATACTGTAGCAGGAAGGTGACTGAGAAACTTTGAGAGGAACTTCTCCAGCTACAACATGACCCAGATTTCCCAAATGTTCTATTCCTTGTAGTGTAAACTCCCTTGGGTGCACAGCAAGCTTTCCTATGGCCTCTTCCCATAAGCTGAGCTGATGAAGGCTCTCTATTAAATGAGGTTATGTCGATAAAGCACTTTGTAAAACTAAAGCTCTATACACATAGCATCTGTTGTTATCGTTTGCATCTACTGAGTAATGTAAGAGAGAGGAAGAACCAGCTACTTTGTTGGTGCTTATTGGCACTTGGAGCCACACTGTTCTGGCAGTTCCTCTCCCTCCCTTCCATTGGTCCCCTGGAATCAGGAAACTGGTGGGAAAGAGAGGCCAGCTCCTTCCCACTTTGACCCCTGGGTGTCCAACAGTAAGGAAGGGATCTTCCTTCCTAGTTCAGTTCAACAGGCATTTATTTCTTATATGCCTGCTATGAGCATAGGAATGGGTATAAAAACAAAAATAAATGCCCACAGTGAACAACGTTCTACTGCGGGACAGTACACATAGAAACATAATTCAGGGTAAATTGAGGAGGGAGACAATCCTAAGAACTGGTAGAGAAGGGGTTAAGGAAGGCTGCAGGGAGAAGGTGACACCTAGAAGGAAGACAAGGATTGTAAAGGGCAAGATTGAAGATTCTCAGGACCAGAAATGACAGAAGAGTTCTGCACAAGCTCTACTCAAAACAGGATTATTCCCTGACCCTGAGTCAGCAGCCTGGCTCTGGAAATGAGTTACCAAGCAGTCCCTGAGCACCTCCTATGCAGGCTCTGCCTTGAGGAAATCCCTGTCCGTTTTCACTGGTCCTGGCCATCTGGCTCACTGGTTCTTAGATGTATGCTCATACATGTAGATTCTCTGATGTCCATCTGCCTCAGTCTCTGTTTATCTCCTGTTTAATTCTTACCTTGTAAGATGTGTGGGCTATTCCTGGATAGCTCATTATTTCTCATCCCAACTAGGCCTATTTCTCATCCCAACTAGGCCATTAGTAAATATGGGCTTAGTTGTGCTGGATGCAGTATAGTGAGAGCTGCATGGCCCTAGGCCCTGCTCTTGGGGAGCTCATAGACACTCACTAGAGTCTGCAAAAAGGAAATACTGACCATGTAAGGGATCGTGTTTTCATTAAGCACAGGCAAGGTCAGTGAGTCAGATATGGGGCTGAGATCCCGTGTCCTGTCCTTGAAGCTTCAACTCCTCTTGCTTATCAGTCCATTCCTGTGAATTTGAGTGCTGTAGAGCATGTACCCATCATTTAGGATTCCTCTTGTAATAAATGTACTTATCTACTTTTGTGTGCCTGGAATCACTTTTGCTGTGACAGAACCGTGATCACCAAAAAGCCCCGCAGGTGTGCATTGGATGGAAGCATAGGTGTCATGCTTATCAAATTGTAGATGACACAAAGACATGGGGGAAAGAGAGAGATGATAAGTTGAATGACCAAATTGGAATCCAAAAAGATATTCAATCTTGCTGTTGTGGCCAAATCTAAATAGTTAGATGGTGGTTAGTAGGAATGGATTGTAAAAATGTGGGGTCCAACAATTAGATTCAAAAATTTACCCAGGTGTGGTTGGGGGAAATGTGGCTAGACAACAATTTATATAGGAGAAAAAAGACTGGGGATTTTGTTTGACTTCAAGCTCAAATATGTGTTAATAATAAATGTCATATTCTACTTCACATACATTATTTCATTTTGGATCATAGATTTTGAGCTAAAAGGGGTTTTAGAGATCATTTGATCCCCATTACAGACCCATGAATGATTTAGGTGTATGGATAGCACCAGGTCTGTAGTGAGGAAGACTCATCTTCCTGAGTTCAAATCTGGCTTTGGACACTTACTAACTGGTTGACCCTAGGCAATTCACGTAACTCTGCCTCCGTTTCCTCATCTGTAAAATGAGCTGGAGAAGGAAATGGCAAACCATTCCGGCCTCTTTGGCAAGAAAACCCCAAATGGGGTCACTAAGAGTAGGACATAACTGAAATAATTGAACAACAATAACAACAAATCATGAGTCTCCCTTTACACATTGGGAAACTGTTACTCAGAGAGGTTATATGACCTCCCTAAGATCACTTAGCTTTTAGGAGGAAGGCAAGGGTTTGAACTCAGGTCTTATGATTGAAGAGAATGGTGTTTTCTACTATCCCCTGCTGCAGCTGCATTGTGGTAGAAGTTTCCCTAGGATGAGGAAGGTACGAATTGAGTTGTTTCTGCCTTGTCAGAGCACATTGAAAGAGTCAGATTCAGGTCGTAAGTGCCACATTTTAGGAAACTGTTGACAAGCTTTAGGACCCTCAGAGGAAGGCAGCCGCCATGGTGGGGAGACTTAAAACCAACCAGGTCATGCAGAGATAAGTAGAAGGAACTTGGGATGTTTATGTGGGAGAAGCCAAAACTTAAAGAGCGCTTATATAATAAGAGCTTGTCGTATAAATGAGGATAACGGTTTTCTCATAGCTGAAAGGTTGTCGTGGGAGAGGAGAACTAGATTTGTAGTGATCGGGCCCAAAAGGCAGATTCAGGACCCTTGCACACAAAAGATGGGGAGAGAGATATTTCACTCTGATGTGTCAGTAGGTCAAGGAACTACAATTTGTCTATGAAAACTCCCTCCATTGACACAGATTACATTGAATTCTTAGAGAATTGCCTGAAATACAGAGAGGTCAAGAAGTTTACTTTGTCCACAGTCACACAGCTACTAACGGTTAGAAGCAAAAGTTAAACTCTGGTCTTTGTGACTCTCTTTTCTCAACCGCAGTGCCTCTGACATTCAATTCCAGATGAGGGAAGATCCATTAATCACAGCAGTCCAAAAATAAACTACTTTAATTGGTAGGTAGTTCCCTATTTCTAAAGGTCATTTTGTCAGAATTTTGTAGAGGAGATGTCTGCTTCAGGTCTAGGTTGACCTCTTCCAGTCTGTCTTTTTGAACTCTGATACAATTTGAAGATCATAACAGCTAACATTTATATAGCACTTACTGTGTGCCCTCATTTAATCCTTACAACAACCCTGGGAGGTCGATGCTATTATTATCCCCCTTTTACAATTGAGAAAATTGAGGCAGACAGCGGTTAAGTGACTTGGCTAGGGTCACATAGCTAGTAAGTATCTGAGCCTGAATTTGAATTGAGGTCTACCTGATTCCAGGCCCAGTGCTCTATATGCTGTGCCACCTTGCTGCCTCATGTACCTAGCAAAAGAACAAGGTTCAAAATGTCTGTTGTTTCTAGTAGATTTAGATGTCAGGGAGACTGGTTGCTCTCATTGATAAACTTGAGTCCTCTTAGCTATGCATGTGTTTTCCACTTGTACAATAAAGATAATGGCATTTGCCATCAGAGCCTGACTGAGATTATTGCTCCTTCTTTGAGCTCAGTCCTGTGTGAAGATTGACTCTCTTTGCCTTGATTTCCCCTGGTTCTGTGATTAAAAGAAAGGTATGGGGCTAAATTTGCCGTTGGAGTCGAAACTCCTCCCTCTGAACTGCTGTGACTTCTGGGGAGATGCTGAAGGTAGGAAATAGGCAGCTGCTTCTGGCCCTCTCGCCTGGGAAATGTGGAAGATTTCCAGGCAGGTCTGGACTATAGTGGAGTGAAAAAAGCCTGAGTCAAAGAACCGAAGTTGAAACCCCACCTTTGACACGACTTCGGTGATGTTAGACCAGCAACTTTAAGTCCCTGGCCTCAGTTTCCTCGCCTATAAAATGAGGTGATTGGATTAGATTACCTCTAAATTCCTTTCCTGCTCTACATCAATGGTTCTATTACCTTAACATCATCATGTGGTTCTGAGGTTTTCAGATTTGGAGATCCTAGAAGTTATAATTTTCCTACCAGTCTGGCAGTGGAATATTGAGTAACTGCTAGAATGAGAGAGGATATGGGGAATACTTAAAGGGTATCTGGTAAAGTGGGTCCATTGTCTCTTTGACAGCTTCTTCAGGTTCAGCAAAATCTGCAAGTGCTAGATATCTTAATCCTTTGTGTGGTCCTCCAAATGGTCCAGGAACTGGTACCAACTTAGTGTTTGGAGGAGTTTGAGGAAATTAGAAAGATTCATCCATCTGCTTTAAAATTAAGGTGTAAGCAAATAGCTCTTGAGTGTAAGGAGTAGTAGTAAGATGGCCTCATTGTTTTCAGGAATACTGCTGGTGGGGAGGGGGTAAATACCTGAGCCCAAGAAGCATTGAAGTTTTCATCAATCACTTGGTAGTTTTCAAAATTATTTTTATTATCATGAAATTTATAAACATTAACAAATGTGAACATTTCCCTAAACAAAGAATAGGACTGGATATATGAAAATGTGAATCTCCATCACTTACAACTTGTTATTAAACCATCCAACATCTTCATGGTATTTCTTCCAAAGGTTGTTTTTCCTCATTGCCACATGTCATTTGGGCCTTGAAAGCCTCGCTGGGATGACCCTATGACCCTATGGATGTTGGGGATCTTGAGTTTTCCCACTGGAGCTCGGCTTCTAACCCTTCTCCCAGTTCCTGAAAATGTCACTGCTGTTATTTGCTGGACCGTCTCTTCTGGCATTCCAGTAGCCCTCAAAATGCTACCTTTTCCAAGTTAGCCTAAATAGAAGATAACCAGAAAATTCTAAACACATCATTCCCCTAATTATCACCTGTGTCCCATGCTGAAAAACCAACTCTAGATCCCCTGACCACTGAGGAAACTTTGGAGCTATCATTTCCCCAGTTCTGGCCAGGTTCAGACAGGCAAGCCCCAAGACTCATTGTCTTGGATCTCTGAGTATCTATAGAGCTAAGCTAATTTATTTCCCCTCTCCTCCTTGTTCTTTCATTTGGCCCAGTCACTTCATCCCTTCTGGAGCTAGGGACCCAGGGAGACATGCCCATTATCCACATACATATGCACGAATCTAGTCTTTGCCCAGGATTTCACAAAGAGAGAACCACAAAGTCTAGACCAAAATTCTGGCCAAAGGAAACCCCTATAAGAAAGAACAATTTCTCTTCCCCTTGTACTGTGGTATGAAAATATCTTCCCCATTTACTGTTTCATGATCAACATTATTCAGTTCTGTTACATTGTCTGTCTCTCTAATTTATGTTGCTATGTCTCAGGCTGTAAGATCTGAGAAGACAGGAACCATGGAAGTTCACGCATTTTATGTGGTGCATTATAGCACCATGTGGAAGTTGGTATTTTAGATACGTGCTTGAAGCTAATGGGACTAAAGTGCTTCATTATCAAATGATAAAATGTTTGAAAAGTGCTTAGCACATAGTAGGTAACTTAATAAATGCTTGTTCTTTCCGCGTTGGGGTTGCCCTACTGAGATGTCATGATATAGTAGGAAGAATTTTATATTTGTAGGCAGAAGACTTGAGTTTTGAGTTCTGAGGACCTCTTTCATAAGCATTTGACTTTGGTGAAGTCACAACCTCTCCAAGCCTGTGGGGAAGTTCAGCTAAGAAAATGGATTTAAATTTCACAAACTCTAAAGCTGTAAGCAGATGTGTGAAGTATAATTCATATTAAAGAGCATGCTCATCACTGTCCTGGGTCTGTGTTGGCAGCACTGAGTGGCCTGAGTTGTAGGGAAACCATCTCTAATGGGGTCTCTCTTTCTTTCAGGAAAATTTTACTTCTTTTCAGATGGCCTTTTGTTTTCCCACCGTCATTATGGAAGTATTACCATCTCTAAGAATCACATGAATTCCATATGCTTCTATGATGGGGTAAGTGTTTCACTTTTACCAGACCTGCATTTTCTTTATTTTATTGTATCATTTGTTTTTATATCACCTACAGGATAAAATCAAGTCATCTTTAAAGAGTGGCATCCAAGCTATCAGTGTTCATTTGAAAAAAATGCTTCAAATTACTCATCGGAGGAATGCAAATTCACACAAATCTGAGCTTCTACATCATCCTCATCAGATTAGTAAAAGTGACAAAAAAGAAAAATACCAATTGTAGGAGGGTTGTGGGAAAACGGGTATACTGATATGTTCTTGATGGAGCTATGAATTAGTCCGGCCATCCCGGAAAGGAATTTAGGGCTAGACTCAAAGAAGTTACCACACTCTGCATATACTTTGATCTAGTGATGCTACTCACTAGTGGGTCTGAACCCCCAAATCTCTCAAAGAAAGAGGAAAAGAACCCAGATGTACAGAAGTTTGGAAAGCAGTTCTTTTTGTGTTCCAACTTGAGGGTGTTTAGCAATGGATCTGTCAAAATGGGAGGGGGGGAGAAAAAGAAGAGAAGCTCCCTGAGGCATTTTTCAGATTCCTGAAAGAGAACAAAAGCTAGAACAGCTTCAAAAATGATACATTGAATTTATTATGCTGAGAAAGAAAAGTAAGATGGTCATGGTGTGGCTTTGTAGCTTCGCGTACGACCCTTTTTTTCTCTTCCACTTGATGTCCAGAAATACTCTTTCTTATTTGGTTTTGGTTAAATTCAGAATTGAATTGAAACAATTTTAGAAAAAAGACTAGGTGGCTCTCCAAAAGGGGATGGAGATGGATAAATGACATGTTTTGGAAGAGGATTTTGATAGGGAACAGTATAGAAACATTTCTTTTTGGAAAAGAATTGTAAAAATAGAGTTTTATAAACAAGTGGGAGGGACTTTAGACATGATACAAAAACAGTTATTAAATATTTAATACATGCAAAGCATGGTGCTAAATGCTAGGGACATAAATAGAAAAGGAAGACCAGTCTCTGCCCTCAAGGAGCTCACATTCTAATGGGAGAGACAACACACAGAGAAGAGATTTTAGCTGTAAGTCAAATGAAAAGGTTCCATGGATCTTAGGGGGAAGCAGCAAAGCAAATGGTAGTGCATCTTCTTTAATGTTGTTTCCAGTGATAAAATCATACCTTTTTCTTTTTTGAACCATTTCATAGTTCTAATGGTTTTGAGTCTAATGGTTGTGGTTGCTGAGGAAGCTTGGACTTTAGCAAGGTGGCATCTCCATAAGGGTTGCCTCCCTAATTGATGGCTGTAGGTGCAGGTGTAGAACTAAGATCTATGTTCTGGAAGCCACTGCTGTTCCCAGGGCTCTTGGGCTTACCTGTCCTTGGGTGGCAATTAATCCAGTAGTAGCTGGCAGTAAGTGTCAAAGAAGGTAGACCCTTTCTGCTTAGGGATTGCCTCCTTCAGTGATGGTGTAGGGTGCAGATGGAAGTAGGCCTGTTGGTCTGATGGGTACTGCTTTACCCAGGGCTGTTGGATTTGCTGTCCTAGGATGTTTCCATTGGATCTGAGAGGAGGTGGGAGTCAAGATGGTGGTGGATGGTAGTGGTGATTTAACTCACCTAGCACATGCCATTTCCTCTTTCTGCCTTAAGGTACCTTGCTTGCTTATGGGTGGCAGATGCTATTTATTTAATTATTTCTTCTCAGTGAATATAATATACTGGCTAGTAGGTTGTTTTGCTGGCTTTGAGGTCTAGAGCAAAGGGACATGCAAAAGCATTCCCACTCTCTGAGAACTCCCAGAAAATTTTTAAAGCCTTTGGTCATGAACCCTGTAGGGGACCAAGGTTGATTTTCAGAAGCAGGTTAGGTTAGCACCCCCTTCAGAATCTCCTACTGTAGATGGAGATAGAATACCAAAGAGGTCTATGCTGATGTGGAGGACAACCCCAAAGGAGACACTTTGTCTTTGCCTCTGATCCAGTGTAAAGGTCATCTGGGAACCTTTTCTCAGCCTAACTGGACGGATCCCTAGGAGCCCAGGTTACTGGGTAGTATCTGACTTACTCAAGCCTCTGCTTTTCCCCTCCCTCTGCTGACCCGCTGAAGGTTACTCTATTGGCTAGTACTCAGACTCCAAGGACTCTTGACCATGGTCACGTCCCTTCCCTCTTGATGTCAGAGAGGGAAGTGGAGCACTTAGGTTCTCTGAGCAGTCTCCATATATTAATGATATTTGGTCAACTGAAACCAGAGTTTGACATGAGTTCATGGTGATCTTCGGGAACCTATCAGTGTCATGCAGGGCACTGTATCTGATTACGGCCAAATAAGTGAGCTTGCCATTGGCAGTATCATCGGGGGAGCTGTCCCAAGGGAGGCAGAGAAGATAGCTATCCACTTACTCCTGGAGGAGCCTCACACTCAATGCATTTCTGTCAATGCAGTCTCTCTGCCACTTAATTTAATAAGCAAATGGTTAGGATGGTGTAAGCATTTCAACCATAATACAGAAAGAAAACAAACCAAGAGACCCTCCTTATCCTTGCTCCCTTTCTCGTTAATGCTACATTGACTGAACCTTTGTAATTCAGTAGCTATTTTAATACTGACCTTCCTTTAATTGTTTCATTCAAGAGACTCTCTTTTCATGCAACTGTGGCTTTTTTCAATATCCAGCTATCAGCCTTGACTCAGGGCCAGATATTGTTAAAAGCCTAAAGTCAAATTTTATTGTTTCATAACTGTGTGGGGCAAGCACAGTGGAGGAAAAAGGGCCAGAGGTGAAGGAGGGTGACTCAGGCAAGGTTGTGGGCAGCCTCGCCACGTGATGGCAACCTCATGGCACGGAAAAGAGTGACTCCTTAGGCCTCCTGCAGGCTAGCTTTCTGAAAGGAAGTGAACCACGCAGTGGCATGCATGTGTGTGAATTTTTAATGAGAACAAAACATATTTACTGTCCTGGACTGTCTGAAAAAGGGCATGTGACTGTAGTTGTTGGGAAGGCATTTTTGGTCCCTAAGATATCAGTTTCCAAAGGTTATTTATGTATGTGCCGCAGTGATGCATGCCTTTCTTTAAAAATTAGTGGTGGACCTGTCATTTCTCTTCCATAAATTCCTTCCTAAACCTACAGCTATTTTCAACCTCTCCATTTCTCTGGATTGTGATTTTTATCAGTGTGCTCCCTGTTGTGTAAAATAGGACTTGCATTGATTAGTTCTAATCACCCTTGAGCAGAGAGTCCCCTTTTAGTGCTCTGAAATTTGGTGAACAAGACTGTGTTCATTTTGTGTCCTTCATGAGAACTTAGGCTTATTTCTTGCTAATGATCTGGCAAATCTCTCTTTTGGTAAAGCTGTTGTATTTGGTTAAAAACCTATGGCCCTTTCTGTGTTATGTCTTGGACCTGAAAATGATATATTTTTCTGGGAATCAGAGGTATGTGACTTTTTTCCTTTAGTCTTTATAGTGAGTCTTTATTACATCCCAGAGGTGTTTAATTTGTTAAGAGAATTATTTGTATTAGTCCAATTTTAGTAACATGTTACTAATACAGAATTTTAGCCAGTGTTTACAGAAAAAGAAAACATGTCCGAGCAGGCCCATAGAGCTACAGCCTATCTTCCATGGTGGAAAATTGTTAAATCTCCATTAATGAGAATTGTCGTAATTCTGTGTGTGGTTGGGCTGAGGCTATAGTCTCTTAGAAAGGACACCATGTCCTGAGAAGTACCTGACTTCTGAAGTGACTGTGAATGTATGTGTTTACACTCTTCAGCTTCCCATATTAGCTGCTGGGGTGACACTAACCTCAAAAGAGTCAGCTTATATCTTCTTTTGCTGTAGAGGAAGTCCCTGGGTGAAGTTGATTTCCTCACACTTGTCCAGAGGTGTGTTTGGGAGATAACTTGGGCCCCTTTATGTGCCTGGCACCTAAATTGGGAGAGTGGTCTCTCCTTCTGTGAGGAGCTAGAACAGGTAGACTCTTAGGAGGTATGATATAAGGACCAAAAATCTATCCTCCAGGCCCTTGTCAGGTGTCCTGACATTTGTTCATTATGAAGATGCATTCCTTGGGTCTAGAAGGCTTGTCAGAGCCTTCTAATGTCTCCCATTAGAGTTCAGCTATGTCTAAAAGATATCATACCTTAATATCAGCTAATACATTAACAGGGATTAATTAGTTGATCAGATTGCTTTTCAACTGTGCCAACTATCTGGACAGGTCCTTGCAGAATGGGGTCCAGGTGGGATATGGGAAGGAAATGAGAGAAATTGGTAATGAAAGGGGGGAAATGAAGACAAGCTTCACCCAACTTAAGAAAAATGCCTGTAGGAACCCTGACTAGTAATCAATGGGAGAAGAGTTTCAAGTTCTCAGCTTTCACAAGATAGTGGAGGGAGTGGCTTTCACTGGAAAGTAGTTTTTGGCATCCCATGTGGAAACCCGAGACTCTTCCCCAATTATCTGTCAGCCCTATGGGGGAGAAAGAGAGAGGAGAAAAGTGGACAGCTTTAGGACAGGAATACTGTCACAGCTGAGGGAGCCAAACATGAACTGCCGAGACTGTGAAAGTAGCTAACTTTGTACTCTTCTTCCTTTCCTTGTGGGAGCCATTGATGTTTTTGGAGATTACATGGCATTCTGGCAGAGCTGATGAGGCAGCCAGGTGGTGTAGTGAATAGCACGCTGGACCTGGAGGCAGGAAGACTAATGTTCAGAAACTGCTAGCTGGGTGACCCTGGGCAAGTCACTTAACCTCCCTCTGCTTCAGTTTCTTTATCTGTAAAAAGGGGATAGGGCAGCTAGGTGGCACAATAGATAGAGCTCTGGCCTTTGAGTCAGGAGGACCTGCGTTCAAATGCGGCCTCAGACACTTGAAACTTACTAGCTGTGTGACCCTGGGCAAGTCACCAATTGCCTCACCAAAAAAATAAAATAAAATAAAAAATAAAAAGGGGATAATAATAAAACCTGTCTCCCTGGGTTATCGTGAGGGTCCAGTGAGATAACATATCTAAAGTTCTTTGCAAACCTTTAAGTGCTATATAAATGCTAACCATTCCAACTATCCTCCATTCCTGATCCTTCATAAATCTGGAGGGGTCACTACTCTTTCCCTCTGCCCGACCCCAATGGCCAGTCAGCTGTCTAGTCTTATTTTTTCTACCTCCGGCACTATTTTTCACATCTGTACCGTCCTCACCACATCCTCTGTAACTGCCCTAGTTCAGACCCTTACCTTTTCTTGCTTTGACTGTTGTGATAGTATATTAGCTGCTATTCATTTTTTTAGCCTATCCTTTGCCTGCCCATGCTCTGCTCACCTTGCTTCTCTCTATACAGACACCTTCAGCGGCTCCCTAAACTATTAAATAAATGTAAATTCCTTAACCTGGAATTCAAGCCTTCCATAGTCTGGTTGTAACCTACCTTTCCAAACTTATCTCATACTACTCCACTTCACACGCTCTCTATTCCAGCCCAGCTACACTTTTCTCTCTCTGTCTCGTGACGTTCTGCCTTCTTAAATTTCTGTGCCCTGACTCAACCTGTCTGCCATTCCTAGAATGGATACATCTCCCCACAATCATCTCCGTATTGATGTCACTCTCCTCAAGGACTAACTTCGATGTCACTTCTTCCATGAAGATTTAATACAGTCACCCCAAACTGAAAGGGATTTTTCTCTCCTGAGATTTTTTTATATCCCCTTGTCTCTAATCTCTCCTTTGTACCCATCGCATTCTGCCTTGTGTTCTACTCATCCTTATAACTCGTCTCTGCCACCTACTAGGCTGTAACCCCTTAGTGGGAAGGCACTGTGCTGCTTTCACCTTTGTATCTTTGTGCTTAGTACAATGCCTTGCACATGGTAGATGTTTAATAAATGTCTATTGAATGGAAGAGGTGAGAATAGACAAAGGGTTGTGGTTATTGGCTTCTGTATTAGCTGTATGTATGATGGGCGGCATAAGCATCGATGGAAACATTCTCTTCCTTTTTCAAAAGTGTTTTTAATAAAAATCTTCTTTTCTTTTCTATTTAGGATTCCACCACTGTTGTTGCTGCCTTGTTGATAGACTTCAAAAGTTCCCTGCTTCCTTATCTTCCAGTTGAATTCCACACATCGAGCAATTTTCTGATGATTGCCCTTTTCCCCAAATCCAAGATGTACCAAGCATTCTATGCAGAGGTGACACCAGTTTATTTCAAGATTTCTTTAAAGACATTGAGAGAGTTTGGGGCAAAACATAAGTATAGTGTTCTGCACACAGTAGGTGCTTTGTTTTTGTTTTTGATTCTAAAACCACTGCTGGTTTATTTTAAGCAATTTAAAAGTGAGTGGGAAAACAGGAATGATGATCTTTAGGGAAGATGGCAATGAAATTGGAAGAGCTATTTGGATGCTTCAGTGAAGCAGTGGCACCAAGAATGGTAAAAGGTCCTATGTTGACTATCACTGACTTTTGTTGAGACCTCACTGAGGCAGCTGCCAAAATGAGGTTCAGCTCCAGTCCTCAAAAAACCTAGAGGCTAAGCTTAGACTGACACTACTTGGGGTCTCTAAGCTGCTGGCTGAGAAAAGCACAGGGACTAAGACTTTTAAGTGCATTTAATAAGAAAATGGCCACCATTACATGGAAGCGGGTCTCTGGCTTCCCCCTTATTTTAAATTTTGGGGATGTGTGGCTTTGGCATCTAAAGGATTAAACAATTAAGAGGTTTTCAGTTTCTTTGAAGATTCTCACCCAGTACTTGATTTTATTTCTTCTTCTTAAGGGCCACCCCTGGATTTTTTAGGCTCAGGGTTCAGAACCAAGCCTAGGTGTATGGTTGCATTAATAGCTCTCTCATGATCCAGAGAAAATCATTCTTTGTAGTCCTGCCATGATCTTTGGCTCCTTAGTCTAGATGAATGCCTTTGGCTTTAGCTATCAGAATCCTTGACCCAGGTTTCTAGACTGTGCAAGTGTTTGCCGCCTCTAATCACCAGTTCCTTTCTTCCCTGCAGTATGAGAGGCACGATTCTGCACCTGACTCTCCTAATCTTTTGTGTGAGAAAAATCTTCTTCATTTTTGTAGATATCCCTAGCTCTTAGTGATTACTTATTTACTAACTCCCTTATTAATAGCCTGTAGTCAATTGGAATTCTTATTTGTAGTCTATTCTAGTTAGTCCATTCCAGTTTTAGAAAACAGATGTTATCTTCGTTGATGTTTGAGTATGGCGCTTCCTGTCTGTTTGACTAGTTTCATGGCTAGTTGTCTCCTCTTCCTGGACAGTGAGGACCCCAAAGCTGCACCAAGGCTGCTAGAAAGAAGGGTTCTGAAAAGTGCTTACGGCAAAAAGGTTTCATAATCTTCTCTCCTAGCTGTCTGTTTCCTAGTTTTCTCAGTGTAGCTCATTGGCTATTGGTCCAGGCTTATCTTACTACTCCTGCCCTCTGTCCATTTAACTCCATGATAGGACTTTTCTGGCAACTCCTGGGACAGTGACCTAGGGTTGGTCTTTCTTTAGGTGGGAACCCTTGGGGAAGTGGACCAGGCTTGGCAGATGGAAATCTAAATATGGCTTCATCTGCCATGTTTCTTAATGATGAAAGTGAATTGGCCAAGATTTTTTGTCAAGTGTCAATTAAGAAAGGAGGGGGGAAAATTCAGTGTTCGTAATGGTGTCCTTGGATGCCAATTTCCTTTGTCCAGCAACCTTGCCAGCAATTAGGCAGAGACTTCATTTCAAGGAGTCGCATCTCCCAGAACATTATACAGATATATAAGGCCTGGGAAACAGTTCATTTGCCAGCCACAGGTACCTACAGAGGGAGTAAAGTTTTCCTTGTGTGAGATTCTTTTGGAAAGGGACGAAGAAAACTTGAGGAGAAGATTTGAAAGGCCTGGAAGCTATTACAGGAAAAAGAAGGTCAATTTGCTTCCTCATCAGGCATAATGTTTGAGATGGATAAGCTGTGACTTGTGGAGCTCGAAACATTTCTGAGAAGCTTCTAGTATATACCAAGTAATTCTGCAAGTATGTATTAGCATCTGCCCCACCTGTACTGGAGGCAAAAAAAGATGAAACAACAAAAAATCCTGCTCTCAAGGTGCTTACCTGCCCTTCCCCCCCCCCATACAACCTATAAACTGATAAGTAGGGACATGCTAATTTTAGGAGAGATTAGGAAAGGCTTCCTTTCTGTAGGAGAGTTTTTATCCTCCTTGACCTGGGGTCTGCCCAACTGAAGGGTGGCACCAAACCAGCTCTTCCTCAAAGTTTTGGTGCTAGGAACAGAGCCTTGAGGAAGGTGTCTCCTCGATCATACCAGAAAGCAAGAGGAGGAGGGTGCCATGCATATACAAGACCAACTGGGAGATTTTCAGAAAGGAGAGAGAGATCTGAGCTGTTATGCAAAAGTCTAAAAAGAACAAGAGATTTTAGCATAAGGTAGATCAAACTGAGTTAACCAATCTGGCTCTATAATTTCTTTTTTTTCCCCTTAATTTTAAAGAGCCACTAATACCAGAAACGCACTTTGACTCTAGGGAAATCCAGCAGATGATCAGCTTTTTCTTTTTCTTCTTTTTTTTTTTTTATCATCTACCCTGTTTTTGCAGGATTGAACCCCTCTGTTGGCCCAGCTCTGAGAGCCACTGACTGGCAGAGGTATCTTAGAAGCTTGGCTTTCTGTAATCAATCGAAATAACAATTTTAAAACGTGATATTTGTGAAGTGCGTTGCAAACCTCTGTGTCATTTAAATGCTGGTTGTTCTTGTTGTTATTACAATTATTGTAACCTCCTAATTGGTCTTCCTGCCTCAAGCCATTCTACTCTCTCCTTCGTCTTTCATACCGCTGCCAAAGTGATTTTCCTAAACCCAGGTCTGACCCTGTCACCCTCCCACTCGGTAAACACCCCTGGCTTCCTAATGCCTCTAAGATCAAATATGAACAACTGTGGTTGGCATGTAAAGCATTTCATAATCTGGCCCCAACTGTGTCTGTCCAGGCTTCACACACACACACACACACACACACACACACACACACACACACACACACACACACACACACACACGGCTCTCCCTGCTTTTGCACTGGCTGTGCCCCTCATCACATACTGGGGATGTTCTCCCTCTTACCTTCAGAATTCCTGGTCTCCTTCAAGACTCAGCTCAAGTATTTCCTTCTGTAAGACGCCTACCACCCTCCCCTTAGCTGGGGGGCACGTAGAGTCAGGAAGACCTGAGTTCAAATGTAGCCTCAGACACTTAGTAGTTGTGAGATCCTGGGCAAGTCGCTTTATGTAAAGTCTGTCTGCCTCAGTTTCCTCATCTGTGATATGGGAATAATAATAACATCTATCTCCTAGAGTTGTTGTGAAGATAAAATGAGATGATATTTGTAAAGCAGTTTGCAAACCTTAATGTTCCATGCAAATGCTAGCTATTATTATCATTATCATTTTTATGATTATTTACTTTATATATGCTTCATGTGTATACTTATATGTGTACATCTTGTCTGCCTTATTAAAATGTAAACTCCTTGAGGGCTGGGATCATTTCCCTTTTGTCTTTGTATTCCCAGGGCCTCCTGTAAACACATAGTAGGCCCTTAGTAAATGTTTAATTAATTAATTGATGATGAAATGCTGTGTGAGCCCAGACTGAGTGAGGGCTTTTGCCTTTTCTCATTAAGGAGAGGAGACTGGAGTCAGCCAAGGCTATTCAATCGTGTCATTTATTTCCCAATACTATCTACCTTCCTCTTTGCCCTGAGTGCCAGTACATTCCAACTGGTTTATTCCTGCAGTTTCCCATTGCAGGATGGTGAAAACACTGGCAGGAATCAAGTCTTGGTCCCACTGCTTGGGAGAGGCATGGACTGCTCCAGGTTACTTTGCCATTTTCTCCAGTGCAGTTTCCTACTTTGTGAAATGGAGCTAACACTTGCCTGGCCCATCTCACAGGTTCATTCTAAGGATTAAGTAAGATAATGTCTGTAAAGTATTTTGGAAGTTGTAAAGTACAACAGCTCTTATTATTATTCCTGTTTTTGATAGCACAGCCTCTTTGCTTTCCCTAGTCTTTCCCTGTTTTAGATTTTGTTTCTAGGCTGGTTCTGAGATATTTGTGTGACTGCCCCCCCCCCTTAGGCTTACATGTTGACCCTGAGTTAATCCCATCTCCTTCAGCTCTTTTTGTTATTCTCCAGTGCTTTTTTAAATGTTAATGCATTGCTCATTCTTAAGGCTCTCTTGTCTCTGCCAGGCCCAGAACATGGCCTTCCCCTTGACTACACAGTCTGTAACCAGTAGCCATTATTTCTGCTCCCACGTGTGCTGTGTCCCATTACTCTTGGTGCTTAGAGAATATCGCCTAAGTAATTGATACACCTAAACCTGGCTGACTTGAACTAAAAGTCTTTAGAATGAAAATTTCAGAAAGGGAAGGGACTGCTAGAGATCCTGTAATCCATCCCTCATATTAAACAGACAAGGATACTGGCCCACAGTGGGAAGTGACTTGCAGCGTAGCATACAGTGAGTCAATAGCAGGGCTGGTGTGCAAGCTCAGTTTTCCTGGATACCATTTTGTTCTTAATTCCTTGTTTTCCCTACATCATTGAGTCCTGTACACTGGGAAAGAGCCATCCTTTCTGAGGAAACTTCTGACTTTATCTTTTCTTCTTCACTAAACGTCAATGGTTAGGGTGCAGGGGCACGCGAGACCCTTCTGGGCACTGATCACACCAAGGCAAGATGCCTGCTTCCAAGAGCTGCCATGTGGTAGGGCTCACCTTGCACCTGCTGCATCAGAGTTTAAGAAAGAGCTATTGAATTAACTAATTAAATGAATATTATATAGAAGGACATGGAAACGTGGAGAATTTTGGAGTAATTATAGCTAATATTTATCTATTGAGCACTTTTAGGGTTACAAAGTACTTCCCTAACAACAACCCTGTCAGTCCTCATGAGGATATTGTTTATTTCCATGGGAAAAGTTGTGGAAATTTAGAGAGAGGCTGCTTCTCTCCTGACTTATGATTCTGCAAAAGTCTATATCCTCCCTAATCAACTCTCTGAGAGTACCCAGAGCCCCACTGCCAAAAGCCTGTGAAGGAAGGTTCTGAGGATAACCCTACACGGATTTTCCCTTCTAACTTTTTTTCTGTCTTGCCTTTCTCCCCTTACCTATTTATTTTAGGCTATAGACCCAGGCAAGAGGCCCAGCAATGAGCCCAACAGTGTGTCCACAGTTCTCCATTCTCCAGCCTCCCTGCAGGCTGCACTTGAACCACTTCAGACAGAGAGACACGAGTCTTCCTTGTTTATTACATGCTCCAGGGAAAACATTGCCATGATGTGCTCTCTTGCTCTCTCTTGTGTTCTCCCCCCCCCTTTCCTCCCCCTACTCTTACGTCTCTCACTGTATCTGTGTTGCCTTCTGTCAATAGTAACACCTCAAAAACAGGGACCCAGAGAATGATGATGCTTGTTTGGGAAAATGTGCGTCTAGACCCCATTTAGAGGAAAGAGTGTTTGTTTTTGTGGTTTTGCTTTGAGCTGACAGTTTAGGTTTTCAACAACAGCCAAATCTCTGTGTGGTTTCTACATCCTATTGTTGGGTTTTAAATGCTCTTTGCATGGATTCTGTTTTTTTAGGTCTTCTCTCCCTGGCAACACCCAGCTAATTCAGAGCTGGCTTTAAAAGTGATCCAGGAAGATGGATTATCTGAAGAACAAAAAAGATTGTAAGTTGCTGCTCTGAGTCTTTGGGCCTTCTTTCCTGGGTATAATTGCTAAGTAATGTATGCCTTGTATTTGAGGGTTTTGAAAGGACCAATGCTAACATCTGTTTATCAGCCTGGACTATTTATATATCACACACTCTATTATCCAGAATTCTCAGGAGAAAAGGAACTTGAGAGATGAAATAACAAAGCAGAAAATCATGCTGGAGTTGCTGCCATCTTACCCATTACACATGTAGTTCCTAGCTAGGTGAGCCAACTGAGAGCTTAGTTGTACCTGCTTTTCCCTTCCTTGTGGGCTACCAGCAATGACAAGGCCACATGCCACATGCTAGAAAAGTGGACAGTATGAATGCTCTGTAGTATTCCATATAATCAGCCCTGAATAATCACAAATTCATTCACCATCTTATTGGCATTAGAAACACAAGGGCTTTTGAACAAATGAAAATATCATATGACTGTGTAGCAAAGAGTTTTCAAGGAATTAATCAAAAGCAAAATTAACTCTAAGTTATAGAGCACCCAATTGAACCAATGTTTCTTATTTCAGATACTCCAATGTGCAAAAACTCTTTAGTGCCCAGTCCTATCCTGTTGGGGAAAGAGGGAGTCAGCTCAGACTCCTGAATGCCCGTCTCCCAGATCTGGACGGGTAAGCCCCTGGGTTTCCTATTTGTGGATGATTTATAAAATTTTCTGCATTTTATTATTGGGGGTAACAGTGAACTATAAGGTTGGCATGAGGGACAAACTCCTGGGAACAATCTGATTCTCCAGAGTAATGCCCCAAAGTTTGTTTTACAGCAGACAAGTCTAGAGTTTCCTGCTTGAATGGGCACATTGAGGTTGTATTAGAGATTGGAAGGTAATAACATCAGCTTTTGTTTTTTCAGGTTTCTTCAGCACTTTGCCATCTGCAGTGTCAGCCAGGAGCCGGTAATGAGGTCCCATTTTCCTGTCCTCCTGCAACAAGGTGAAATCAGGCCTGCTCAGAAAGTGGAAAATGAAAAGGTAACCGAGCTAACCCAGTAAGCCAGGAATCTGAAGGGAGGGGCCAGGGCCAGGGCAGCTAAGGCGGATCCTGTCCTCGGCTCTTTGGGGTTTAACAAAGAAAGTCCAGATTTCTTTCATGAACTGACGCCTCCTTCAAGTCTGATGTAATTGTGCATCTGAAACCTGCTTTGGTTTGGTTTGGTCCATGAGCACTTGTGGCTGATCTGAAGGAAGCTTAGGCAACACCAGGACCCCTTCCCATTGTACAACCCTCACCTAAGGCCCCTTCTCCAGAGCAACAGAGGGTTTGTGGAGAGCTACCAGAGCCTACCTTGGTTTACCATGTAAACCAGAGCCCAGGTTTCCTGGCACCTATTCTAGGACGGCCAAGATCAAACAAGTAAACCCTCTTCCCAAGGGTCCCCCTGCATTCCCTTCTTATACTTTCCAGTGGACTTCTCTCCCTACCAGCTGCCCAGCACCTTAGTGTCCATTTTTATTGGACCTCTCCAGTTTAAACTGGAGACTAATAGCTACTTGAGACCAGAGCTTTGGAAAAATGGAAAGCGGGACAGGTTACTTTTGTTAGGGGGAGTCTAGAGAGAGGTCTAAGGATGACATAAGGTCATCCCACAAAGGGGTCCATTTTGGTGCAGTAGCACAGTAGGACCCAGGGTAGAAGCTCTTCAAGGTCAGGGACCATTCCTCATTTTAGTCTGTGTACCTCTAGCACCTGATAAAGTACTTTGCATTTCATAGGTTCCTAATTAATGTTTATTGAATTACATTGTATTCTGCTATCCTAGGTAACCATCAGGTGACCTGAAGATTGGGGGTGGGGGAGGGAGTAGGAGGAAGGGACTACCTAGTTTTCCCTTGGGCTGACACTGCTCCTGAGGGTTGGACCTCCTGAAGCTTGGTGTTGGTGCATGGGCATGGAGCAGAGCTGGGTTGGGCTTCTGTGCTTTGAAATAACCCAGGAAAATTTGTTTTAAATTATGAAGAAAAATATGTGCACTTTCCCTTCCTCTTCCAGTGAATTCAGTCCAATTTATTAAGCCCCTGCTGTGTGCAAGGCCCTTTGCTGGGGTCTGGGGACACAGACAGAGCCACACCAATCCCTGCTGTCAAGGAATATATATGTGTGTTTGTGTGTGTGTGTGTGTGTGTGTGTGTGTGTGTGTGTACACATACACATATGTAAAGGAAAATACAAAGTAATATGAAAAAATAGCCGTATATAGATACATATATACACATACATATACATGCATGCATATACATACATGTATGTATGTAAAGGAAAATACAGAGTAATTTGAGAAAACAGCAACAACCCAGGGAGTCAGGAGGAGCTTCACAGTGAAAGTGGTTCCTGAACTGAGCCATGCAGGAAGCAGGGGATTCTCAGAGGTGGCAGGGGAAGGCGGGGTAGAAATCATCCCAGCCACACCCATGGATGGCAGAGGGAGTGTTTGCAGTATTGACTGTCCAGCTGTCTTTCTGAGAAGTTCCTAACTTAGTTATACATATTCCCTTTCTCTCTATGTCCTCCTCTCTCTTTAATCCCATTGACTCTTGTGGCTTCAGCAACCACCTCTATGCAGCCAATTCCCAAATCTATGTTTCTAACCCTGGCCTGTCTCCTGGGCCCTAGATCCATTCGTCTCTAATTGCTATGGGAAATCTTTACCTTAGCCCTTCCTATCCATCATGCCAAAACCAAGCTCATTCTCTTTCTTCGCCTAGTTTCACTGGTTTTATCTATAACACCACCAATCCCCCCATTTTCTCATGTCTGTAAGGTTGGTGTTGTCATTGACATCTTCTCTGTTACCTTTCCTTAGCCAGTCATCAAGTCTTTCACTCCCCATATGTCCCTGTAACATTTCTTATGGCTATTCCCAGCCTTCTCTCACGTCTCCCACAGTACAGATCTCCTTACCAGTCAGCGTTTCTAAGTGGTCTTCTCAACTCCATCCTTTATACCAGCACCAAATAATTTAGCCATTCCTAGGCTCAGAAATTTTAGTGGGTCCCTAATTGCCTCCCAGATAAATTTTGATTTTTTTGTTTTGGTCTAGCCTTGTATGTTATGTAACTCTTGTTTATGCATGATATGTTCAGGTGATCTAGTCCTGATCTCTGCTCCCTGAACCCTCTGGGTTCTCTTGCCTCCATATCTTCGCTCCCAGTGTTTTGTATTCCTGAAAATCCTTCCTTCTTCTTCACCTGATGAATCACTACCTGTCCTTTAACTCTCAACTCAAATGCTGCCTCCTTCCTTTATGCTCTGAACCTGTAACGATCTTGGACCTTATATAGTTAGTTTTTGGGGGCAGCTTTGTAATGTACTTGCCATAAAAGATTATTGTAATTACCTTTGCAATTTGCACCCCTAATAAAATTTAAGTTCCGTAAGATTAATGGCTCTGCCTGAGGTAATAATAACAAAAGTTTACTTTATTAGTAACAATAATAGCAGTAACTAAAAATTATGTAGTGCTTTAGAGTTTGCAGAGTGCTTTATACATATTGTAGTTACTTGGTCCTCACAACAAATCTTTAAAGTAGTACTTTTATGCCCATTTGATGGAGGAGGAAACTGAGACTAAAGAGATTAAGTGGTCTTCCCAAGCCTGAGGCAGGATTTCAGCTCAGGTCTTTCTGACTTCAAGTCCTGAGCTCCATCCTCTATGTCACCCAGCTGCCCTCTAAGGTTTGCCGAGTGCTTCCTACACCCATTTGATTTAAACTTGGTCTCTACCCTGGCATTGTGTTTTCACACAGTTCTTGCTTACTTCTTGAATGTCTTTTCCTTCCTGAAGGTGATTGTCAACATTGTCACCGGCCTGCCAGGCTGTCATGCCAGTGATCTAAGTGCTTTCCTGGTGGCTCTGCATAAGGAATATGGAAGGTTGGTATGGCTGACCTTGTCTTTGCTTTGGGTGAAAAGGATTTAGCAGGTCTCAATCAGATGAGAGGGCACTTTGGCCATGAGCTTGGCCATGTCCCCATGCAGGCATGAGCATCTGGATAGTTCTTTGTTGACTGTGGCCTTGTTGAAGAGGTAAATAAGGGTCAGTGACCATGATGGAAATTTGGGTAAATAGTGGGCCAAGGGATCTTTGTAGTCTGATCCTCAGAAGATGTATGAATCCACACCAATGCAAGGGCTGTATACCAAAGGGATTCCTAGAGCCCAGTGTGCAGGGCACCTGTTGGAGGTTTTCCCACATCTCACACAGACCATCTGTCTGTTTGACAAGAAATGCTCTTTACAATGCCTTACTGAATGCTTCCTGTCTTCTCATGGAGGATGCACTCAAGGTGAAGAATGAGATAGACATTTTTGGACTTTGTCAATGTGGGAATTTGTTTTGCTTGATGATGCACATTTGTGCCAAGTGTTTGGTTTGGTTTGGTTTTCATTGAGGGGTGGGAGAGAGAAAATAAATGCTAGTTAATTGGAAAAAATTTTTTTGTTTAAGTCCTGCTGACTGAGATGCTTAGCTAGGCTTTGATGTCTGCCATGTCCAGGCTTTGTCTCAGAGGAAGGAAGAAAGGAAGGAAGCAGTGGAGAGCTAGAGGAGGAGTAGATTTGTCTGGAAACCCTGTAAGGGGAGGTCTTTGGGAAGTGCTTGGGAACCCTGTTCTTGTTGAGTACTGACAGATTGACTAAATAGCAGCCTGTCTACATAGCTTTGGGATTCCATTCCTCTTAGGTCAATCAGTCAGTCAGTCAGTAAACATAAATTATCTATTTGAGGGCCTTCTCTGTTCCAGGCATTGTGCTAAGCACTGAGGATACAAAGAAAAGTAAAAGACAATCCTTGCCCTCCCAGAGCTCACAATCTATCCCAATTTTTTTTCAGTCTACCTGCATTTTACCTTAGTTTGTGTTGATTTGAGCAGAACTGGGTTTTAAATAATCTAAACTTGTACTGGCCTTTCCTAAAATCAGATAAAGAAAAATTTTAGCATTAAGTTCTCTGGACTCTATAAATCACTATTTTCTCTCTCTCCACAAGCTCATTTTCATATTTTCACTTCTTTGCCTGAGCTGCTAGTAAATTCTTTTGAAAATGTACTTGTGGGTTGGAATTAGTAATGAAGAGGGAGTGTCCATGTAGACCAAACAAAAGCTTTTGGTCACAAAAATGAGAGCATAGGAAAGGGAGGGCTTTGGGGTCTGAGCGTGACTAAGGAACTACAAAAAAGAGCAGGCTCCAGACGGACTCTGGGATTTTAGACCATCCTTCCTTGCTTCCTTCCTTCCCAGAGCTGGCAGAACATTGCCTTGCACAGTCCCTTCTTCTGATTTTTCAGCTCTGCTCCATACCGGTCACAAAGAATGGTTGCTTTTGTTCAAGCAGTTCTCATTATAGCCAGAACAATTGATAGAAGTCATCTAAGCAGCAGTTGGGGGGAAAATATCGCACTATGTCTGAGTTTGTTTGTGTGGTTTCCAGGTGGATGGTGTATAGGCAAACCATGGACACCTCTGAATGTTTCAGTGCAGCCCACTTCCAAAGATACTTGATGAGTGCCCTGGAGGCCCAGCAGAAGCGAAGTGCCAGACAATCAGCATATACCCGGAAAAAGACCAGATTGTTGGTGGTGTTACAAGGGTAAGCTCCTGAGAAGATGTGGCTAAACAGCAACTCCTGTGAAAAAGATCTGGGAGTGTGTCAGTAGTGTGACTGACTGGTCAGCCCCCAAAGCTATGCCAGTATTAGGCTGCATTAAGAGAGACTCTAGCCCCAAGTCTTTAAGTCTAGCCTAGTGCTCAGATTCTTAAAATCTAGCCAGTTGCTCACAAATGTTCAGACTCCTTAAGACTCTGACCAATAGGGCGGATCTTTAATAAACCTTGTCTTTGGCTGGGGAAAAAAAAAGAGAGAATGTAGAAGGAGCAAGGTGATAGTTTTGCTCTTCTCTGCCCTGCTTAGACCGAAGCTATGTCATTATGTTCCATTCTGACCATCTCACTTTTGGAAGGATCTCAATGAGCTGTAGCATGTCCCAAGGAAGGAGTTCAGGATGATAAAGAGGCTGGAGTCCATGCCACATGAGGTTTGGTTAAAAGAACTGGGGTCATAGCAATGATCACCTTTCAGCTTATTCATTCTACTGTTAGAACTCTTGCTCAAAAAATCATCAAAAGAGGGAAAGGAGTAATTTGTACAAAATCATTTGTAATGCTTTGTTTGTAATTACAAAAAATTAGAAACCACCTTTATATACAACAATTGGAAGGTGGCTGAATAAATTACATATTAGTGTAATGAAACATGGTACTGTTAAAAAACGTGATAAATGTAAAGAAGAAAGCAAACAAACATGGAAAGCCCTGTATAAGGTGATGCAGAGTGAAACCAGCAAAAAGAGAACCACGTATCTAGGGCACACACACTGACGACATCCTTTTTTTTTTTTTTGGTTAAGAGAGTGAAAGAAGGAATGAAAATGGCATCAAAAGTGATAGAACTTAAATCAGACCTAGAAGACCCAAAACAAAAACATTTTCTTTGATTGTTTATGGTTTGTTAGTTCTTGTAGGTATGTCTTTTTGAAGGCTAGGGATTTGAGATAAAATTTTGAACCCTGTTTTATGTCTGCTTGATGGCTGAATCAAGTTTAGTACTTGGAGTCAGGAAGATCTCAATTCAATTTGCCCCAGAATTTACTAAGTTTCTGACCCTGGCAAATCATTTAAACACTGTCAACCTCATTTTCCTCATCTGTAAAATGAGGATAATAACGGCCCCTCCTTGATGAGGTTATTTTAAGTATCAAATGATATACCTGTTAAGTGCTTTGCAAACCTTAAAGTGCTATGTAAATGCTAGCTTTTATTATTAAGTTTATAATTTTTAAAACCTTTTTTTAAAAGTTGCAGAAAGACTAAAATATTCCTAACAATTACAGACATTTCTCCCAAAATGGAGTTGAGTAGTTGCTGTAGGTAGGAAACTCCTACTTGGAAGTCTACAAGGAGAAGCTGGATAACACCACTGGTCAGGAATTTGTAGGGGAAATTCTAGTCAGATATTGGTTAGACTCAATGTCCCTCGTGAAGTCAGGGGCAGTGATTGTGTTCACAGTCAGTCACACCTCAAATTGGGTCATTGTTTCCACTAAAGAATAGGCTAAGAGGAAAGGCTGCCTTGGGTGTCCCGACTCTGACAGTAAGGCTTAAAGAAGGAAGGCTAATGTTTAAGAGATAGAGGAAGGAGATAAGACCCAGGGCAGTCATTTCTCTTCCTCAAGGTAAGATTCTGCTGAGCTGCCATGAATTTTCTTTGCCTTGACTTTTTATCTAATGTATGCCACTTTTGGGGGCAGATGAATAGTCTGAACCATTAAGTGGCTTACTTCATCCTTGTCCATTTGTTTTTAGCAGTTGTGGAATGAATTTCAACCCATTGAGTAAGGAGTGCCGCTGGGGTGTAGGGCTAGGAGCAAGATGAAGAACTTTACAATATGCATCTGATGGAGTTTCCACCTTCCTAATAGAACGGAATTGTTTTTGGATTCAGACTTCGAATATTCTTGCTCCACATTCTCCACACTACTGCCAAAATAATAGCCTTCTAAAGGCCTAGGTCTGACTGCATCACTCCCCTTTACCTATAACATAAGTCATTCTCCTTAGCCTAGCATCCATGTTTCCAGCCTTAATCCATACTGCTTTACTTCAGGAGCTCTAGGTTTCAGCCAAGCTGATGAACCTCTAGCCATTATACCTTCCTGGATTCCCCTGTTATTAGTGCTTTCCTACCAAATTTTCTTGGTCCTATGTGGTATGTCCTTGTACTACGTCCAACCCTGAGCATATAAATTCATTGGTGGCAAGGTTTCTTTCTCACTTTGCGACTGGTGCCTTGTCCATAGTAGGAGTGTAATAAATGTTTACTGAATTGAATTGTTGATTTTCCAGTTCACAGCAAGGGTAGCAGTTTCACAATAGGAAGTTTTGGCAAGAGTGGCATCTTCCATGTGATTGGAGTGAAGACTGGTCTTTCTTTCATACAAAAGACCTTACTCCTGTCTTAGCAAGTCAGGACCCTCAGATTGAGTTACTGTAGCACCTGAATTGACCCATAGTGTCTCTATGGGAATCCACAGCTTGTACTAAATATTGTGTCTCTAGGGCAGTGTTATTCCTGGCCAGGCCTGTGCCCTTGAGGCTCAAATATTGAACTCTTGACAGTTTCTTTTGCTACGTGTCTTTGGTCCATCCCCTCTGGTATGAACTAAGGTTTAGTGTTTCACTCTGTACAAAATGGCTTTTGTCTTTGGACAGTTTGACTAATCCTTCAGGGAAAGTCTGTTGCCCTTCTGAGCACAAAACAAGGTTTTCTTTTGTTTCCAGGGACTAGCAGGTTCCATTTGACTTCACCAATATTGGCAGTTGGCATTGAAGGCCCTAAGGCTTTGACATCCACTGAAATTGTTGACTAACTGGTGGTTGTCTTTAAAATGGAATCAACAAAAACCCTTGACCTGATTAAATCATAGATTCAACCTGAAAATACAAAGACAGAGAAAGTAATAGACTTCAAGAGGCAGTTAGATCATTATGAAGTATCCTTACTTTGGAGAAAAAAAGGCTATTCCCCCATTGTTTGATGAAGGGGATCTTAAGGCAGAGGCAGATAAAGAGGAACCACAGCTTTTACTACTATAATAAGAGATTCTGAATTCCACTAACATGTATTATGTACCTGTTGTGTGCCTGGGATTGTGCTTGGCCCTTGGAGTAGAGAGCTGTAAAATCAAAGTCCCTGCCCTCAGGGACCAGGGAGTCTAATAAGTGGAATAGAACACTCACACAATCAGTATGATATCAGACATCTGAGCAAAGGAGAGACCTGAACAAAATGCTCCAGGAAAATCTGAGAGAGAAAATGCTTCCAACTGGCAAGGATGAGGGAAGGTTTCTTCTTAGAAGAGCATGGTGCCCGGGCTGTGGCTGGAGGAAAAAACAGTTCCATCAGGGGAGATGATGGAGGAGTGCATTCTAAATAGAATATGGTTTAGATGCATAGCATAGGTACACTGAGTGTTTGATAAGCTAGGTAACAGTGGGGAGCTTCCGCTGCAAGCACTGGCCCCCTGAGATTGTGAGCTCTTTCTGTGTCTTCAGTGCTCAGCGCCCTACCTGGAACAGTGCAGGCACTTCATCAATGTTTACTAATTGGCTGACTGATTAAAGGGGGTCCTCTTCTGGCAGTTTTATCTAATGAAGCTTCTCTGGGCCAGGAATAGGGAGGCGGGCCCCTTTGTTATTTGTGTCCCCGGTGCTTTGTGCTGGACCTGGCACATGTAAGCGCTTAATACTTTCTCACTGTCTGCCCACTGTGTTAGACCAGAAGAGCTAGCTGAAGGCCCCAGGATTACTCAGGGTCCTTGGATAAAAGGCTCTCTAAGAAGAGCTTGGCTCCACTGGGCTTAGCTAGGCTGGGCTTGGGCTGCTAGCCTGGAAGATTAAAGCTTGTTTTGCACTTTATTTTTTTTCCTTTTGAATGAGTAAAGGTTAATGCTATGTTGAAAATGTTTTGAAAATTTAGGGCAGTCTGATGGGGGTCCCGCCCATTCCTCTCTGAGGGAAAAGCTATTGTGTTGAAATGACTGAAAAGCCCTTGGAGGCTGGCTTGAAAGACTTTCATTTGAGCGGCTTATTGTCTAATTCTGCTTTAGGAAATGAGAATCAGTGTCTCACATACCAAACTTTATCTTTTTTCTCCAAAGGTTTTTTTTTTTTTAATATGAGTGGGAACAAGGCCAACTTCCTAGGCCTAAGATTTAAACGTAATGATTCTTCTAAGGGGTGAGAGTTTAAAAGAAAGGTGTGGGAAGTTCCAGGTCCGAGTCATCTTACTGTCCACCTAAATGATCTGGAAAAGAAGATGAGTGGAATGTGAGCCTCATTTTCCAAGAGGAGAATGCATTGAAGTTCTCACCTCTGAATCCCTTTGCAGCCCATGGCCCATGACTGACTGGAATTGTGTATTGTATGTCAGGGTGTATATGCATTGCTCCCCACCCAGTCTGTCCATTCATTTTGCAGAAGTGAGGAAACCATAACACTACTCTTTAAACCCCTCAGTATTTTCTCAAGTGTGGGGAGTGAAGGCTTTGAGTTGTTTTCCTCCCTTCAGGAGAGCTGAAGTTGATAAGTGAGTGAGAGGCTAACTCTTTTAGACACAACTGTAAGGGAGAAGCCCAAACCAGCAGTGGGTTTGCCTCACTTGGGTGTTGGGGAGTTGCACTCATCCCGAGATAGGTGGAATAATGGATTGAGACGTGGATACAGGAAGACCCAGCTGTATAATCTCTGGCAAGTCACCTGACTTCTCCATGGCTTAAGTTTCTTGATCTATAAAAGGGAGTTAGATTGAATGGCCGTTTAAGGTTCCTTCTAAATCTAATCCCGCATGGTACTTGTTATGACTTATAACTTGAGTTTGGGCCTTAGAGAAATTTTTGGGACAAGGTATTCTAGCTTTAAATAAGGATAACAGTTGGTTGCAAGTGTCCTTCACCCAATGTGTTGTGGGTTCCCCTACTCTTCTTATTGTAGGGTGGACTGAGAGGTGTCCGTGGTTAGGTGGTGTCTATAATT